GCCGTTTTATGCCTCTTGGAGAAGGTGGTCACTACGACCGCCCTGCTCCTCACCTTTTCCAAGAGGCTGTGATCGCTCCGTTCTCCAAGTCCCAGATCGAGAACTATGTCGAGCAGTATGTCCCCTTGGAGCCAAGGGCGTGGGACACAAAGGACTACATGGACAGGCTCACCGCGATCCCCAACCTACTTGATCTGGTCAGGAATCCCTTCCTCTTGTCGTTGTCGCTGGAGGCACTGCCAGGCGTGACTGAGGGCAAGCAGGATCTGTCGACGATCGAGATCACGCGAGCCCACCTCTATGACACCTTCGTCAACCATTGGCTTGATGTGAACAGGCGACGGCTTGAGAGGAACAACGCCTTGTCGAAGGACGACCGCGACATGCTAAACCAACTGGTCAATGCGGGGTTTAATACTGTGGGTCTCGACTACGCTACCAAGCTGGCAGGAGCTATCTTTGACCGGCAGGACGGGAAGCCAGTGGTCAAGTATGTCCATTTGAGCGACAAAAACACATGGAAAGCTGAGTTCTTTGGTCCACAGCCAGAGATCCGACTGTTGCGGGAGTCGTCGCCATTGACCCGTGCTGGCAACCAGTTCCGATTTGTACATCGCTCAATGCTCGAATACTTTCTCTCTCGAGCCATCTACGACCCGATCAAGGCTGACAACGAGGATGATGAAGAAGATGACGCCGAATCCGACGAATGTCCGAGTCCTTCGTTGTTCGATGTCAAGAGTCCCTTGTTCCGACGAAACCTGCTTACTGAGCCCTCTATCATCCAGTTCCTGTGCGATCGTGTGAAGTCGAACCCTGACTTTGAACATCAACTCCGTGCCGTCATCGACCTGTCCAAGACCGACGCAAGTGCAGCCATCGCCGCCACCAACGCGATCACGATCCTAGTCCGAGCCGGCGTATTATTCAACGGTGCCGACCTTCGCGGGGTCAATATTCCTGGAGCCGACCTAACGGAGGGCCAATTCGACTCTGTGCAGTTCCAAGGAGCCAACATGACGGGAGCCGATTTATCGAGGAGCTGGTTACGGCAGGCGGATCTGAGCGGGGCGCAGCTGAAGGACGTTCGATTTGGGGAGTTACCCTCTCTTGAGATGGAGAGTGCTGTGAAGTCCTGCATCTACTCGCCTGACGGGACGATGCTTGCTGCGGGGCTTATGGTATATGGTGTCGATGTTTACATCACCACCTCATGGACGAAAGTTCTGCAGATTCGAAACATTGGGACAGTTTACAGCGTTGTATTCTCACCTGACAGCCAACAAATTGCGTTCGGTGGCAACCATAGCACTGTACGAGTGTGGGATGTCACGAGCGGCGAGGAATTGCTGGCTATGGAAGGGCACACTGGAAGCATATATTCGGTGGACTATTCACCTTGTGGCAAGCTGATCGCATCGGCCGGTTATGACAAAACAGTGCGACTGTGGAGCTCGCAGACTGGAGAGAGTCTCCTTGTCTTTGTCTTGAAGGGTTATATGTACGGTTTCATGAGTGTCAAGTTTTCCTCAGATGGTCGACAACTCGTATCGAGCTGTTGGGATGGGAGTATTCGGTTCTGGGATCCAGAGACAGGAGAGCTGGTGCGTGAGTTTAACTCCCCGTTGGATAACGTACTCAGTCTTGCCTATTCTCCTGATGGCAAGTGGATTGCCTCCGGCCACGGAGGCGCCCAGATAGGCGGCTCTTTGCGGCTTTGGGATGCGGTCTCCTATGAGCCAGGGCCAGTCCTACAGGGCCACACTAGGGACGTCGAAGGAGTCGCATTCTCTCCAAACGGCCAATGGATCGCCTCTGCCAGCGAAGACAAGACCGTGAGACTTTGGGATGCATTGACAGGAACCCCTATTCTCATTTTGTCTGGTCACGACGCTACCGTGCAAGATGTTGCCTTCTCTCCTAATGGTCTTCAAATTGTATCGGGAGGCGACGACATGAAAGTTCGACTGTGGGAATTGAGTTCTAACAAGTCGAGCGTTGAGTTGGAGGGATATCGAATCGATTCGTTGTTGAAAACAGCATACTCTTCCGATGGCCTCTCAATCCTCACCGCCAGTGACCACAGAGTCCATCAATGGGACTCGACGACAGGACGATCTCTACAGAACGCGTTTCAGTTTCCGGAAGCAGTTTGGGTGGAATATGTGGAGTTTTCACCTGATGGCAATCAGATAGCGGCCGCCGTTGAAGACAGTGTCCAAGTATGGGACCTTCGAACCTGTGCAGCAGGATCTGTCTTCAAAGTTGAAGATTACCATCTCACCAAAGTCGTCTATTCGCCTTGTGGTCGTTGGGTCGCTGTTACTTTCCACTTCGGGGGGCGTATTTGGCTGTGGGATCTTCATGACACCACCATCAAGGAGCATCATGGTTTCATTGAGTTTGAGAGTATGATACTCTTTGAACGTAGTACCGTGGCCTTCTCCTCTGCCGGACACCAGCTTGCGATCAGCTTGCACGATGGCTCCGTTCGTGTTTTTGATCCTCAATCAGGCGACCGTTTGTCATCCTTGCAGCTGGCGCTGGGAACCATCGGCGCGCTGGCATATTCTCCGATCGGCCAGCAACTAGCTATCGGCGGCGACGACAGCTCGATATATCACTGGGATGGTCAGTCGCAGGAGCCGAGTATCAAGCTGGATGGGCACAGTGCGGGAATTTCTTCCATTGCCTATTCACCTTGCGGTCAGTGGATCGCTTCCGGCAGTAAAGATAGGACGACACGACTGTGGCGTCGATGGCAAGAAGGCGAGTCGGAGTATTGGCAGAGTGCAGGCGTGGTCCGTTCATTTTTCGACACTGTTTTCAATATTTCATGGAATCCAATTGTCCCCATGGAGTTTGTCACGCGTTGCAATGGTCAGTCTGTCCAAGTGTGGCGAATGTCGATTGATGGCGAAAGCGTGGTTGTGAGGATGCTTTGGGGGCTTAACATTGGAAGCCTCTGTGCCGAGGGTCTTATCTCCAAGGACGCGACAGATCTGAGCCTGATGAACCAGAAGCTGTTAGTCCAGCGCGGCGCCGTCGACAGCTCATTAGTCCCTGAGGGAGAGAGATCAGACGCGTAAGGCCTGTTAGCCTCCTTGCTCCAATCAACACCCACCACAACCCTTTTCCTTTTCAAACTGAGAACCTTGAGTACATTACAAATAACCACTAAATGTATCCTTTTATTCTCAACCCTATTGCTGTTACTGTCGTTGCTGATGGTTGTGGTTGGTTATTTGTTCGTTGTTGTTGGTTTATCGTTGTTGATTGTTGTTGATCGTTGTTGATCGTTGTTGTTATTGTTGTTATTGTTGTGGTCGTTTTTTACTTATTTTGTTTTGAGTTTTTGGGCAATGCAGGATGATTAATGCTCACGATCCATTTGCCGGCTATTCGTCCTGCTCATAGCAACCACCTTATCCATGTCCCTCTCTATCCTCAGAGCCGCCACCCTCCTCAAGGTCCTCAACAGAACCGGTAATGATCCGCTCGTTTAACTCAGCCTCCAACTCTGACCCATGGTGGCGCCGAGGTGTCGAATGAGAAGGTGCGGTGTGAGTGAGAATATCCATCCTGGGTCAGTTGGCCATGATCCACCCCGGCTCCTTGTCTTGGTCAATGTACTCCTCCGTGCCTGATACACCCAATATGCGCCGCTCCATGATATCTCCAAGGAGGTCCATTCTCGTGCCGAGTGACAATGCGAGGCAATCGTAGTACGGGTACTCTTCAAAGGAGTTCCCTAACGATTTCCGGTTCCACTTGCTCTTGGAGATTCCAATGCCGAGACCCACCTTTCTCAGCCTTGTCAAGCGACCGAGTTGTGCACAGACTACACATTGGAGATCCAGACTCCTTGGTGCATATTATTGTAGGTGTAGTCTGTCGCAGACCTGCCGGCAATAGTTCGCGTGATATCCGCATATGTTCAGACAGCGACACCGTTGTATATCGCTTGACACTTCTCCAGTGGTATTCACGTCGAATCCACAATCCTTTCTTGGTCTCGATAGTCGATACGGCACCAGATTTGAGGGTGAAACAAATTCCGCCAGGCTTGGTAGACGCGAGCACAACAGGCAAAGTCGTCTTCTTCATCATATCACTTTAGTGGCAAGAGAGTGCTGAGAGGAGGCCATGAGGGGTCACTAGCCCCCCCCCCCCTCATACCGGACATGCGATGCCCAGCCTCTTGATTTAGGGTGGACCGACATGGCGGTGACCCTATGGGGCGCCTAATCTTCTCAACACCAACTACGCTAATGAAGGTAGGATATATGAACCATTTCGTCTCGTTGAACATCATATTTTTATAGATGGAACCGCGGGTATTCTCATGGGATGACGGCATATTATATGTGAGCGACAGGCGATGGGATGGCAGGAAAATGGGATCGAGGGAAACCGTGTACCCACTCAAAATGATGGCACACTCATGGGATACCTTTGAGCTTTTCTTTTAAATATAGCATACCCGGCCTTTCTTTCAACTATGCCATCATGTCGGGCATTCTTTATACTATGGCATTATTTCGCTTTATAACATTCTATCGGACTGTAGCTATGGCATTATATCAGGCTTTGTTATAAGTGCACAATTAAGTCGCCGAGCCAATTGGGTGGCGGACTTTCTTGGGCCTTTGATGACTGTCGTTCTGAGGCACTCCGTTCCATTGTGATCTTGCTATTTTGAAACTATACCCATCTGAGGCAGTGGGGAACCGAGGATAAACATTTGCCTATAATGAGACTCATACTAAGGTCTGCGGCATTTTTCACTATCGGCCTGTTTTAACTATAGTGGCATTACTTAGGGCAAGATGAATGAGACCAAGCGTTGACCACAAGCGATGAAGAAAAAAATCAATTTACCGCCTGCATCAAATCCGATTGTCCCACAGCCATATCTATCTTGACAAGCGATGAAGGTACTCCTGGAGGGAGAGAATCAGAAGAGCTGAACAGGTCCAGGCCTTGCATCACCTCGGTTAATGGCCATTGTCAATCGTTTCCAGAGCGAATTGTTGCTCTTTCGTGGGTAAGCCCTTTTGTGCTCCATTTTTTTTTAGTAAGACGTGGAAAATTTATGAAATTGATAGACACTGTGTGTAAACAATTGTCTAGAGAAGAGAAATAACTTGGAATTAGTACATCACGCCATGGTAAGAACTTTTCGGCGTTTGCTCAATGGATGGGTCTACGGCGTAAATATTTATTCAGCGTGGAGTAAAGAATGATGTCCATTGTTTTTGATTTGTGGACACGCCAAATGAATGTCATTTCACTGTGGGATGAGAAGGAGATAATTCTTATTTTTCCCTTTGCCCCTTTTTCGAACGACAAGAGAGAAAGAAAGAGAAGAGAAGCGCCCAATTCATATCCGTCGGATCGGCATCGGCGTTTCGAAGTCGCTCAGTATCGATCGAGCCAGCCAGTAGGCGAGGAGATGGACCTTGCACGATCATTTTAGAGTGGAGCTGATAGCCATATGTGACACGTTTCCTACCGATGCATTACTCAGCAGGACGCCAGAGAACGTGTCACATTGGACTATATAGCAACGGACACAGTCGCCTCGCTCTTTTCCCCATCATCCACCTCTTCCTCTTCGCTCTCTCCTACATACTCCTCGCTCCTCTACACTCTCTTCTACACTCTACACTCTCCTCTGCACTCTACACCCACAACAACAACAACAACAAGACCAAGTTGCCTTCCTCCCAGTCCTCCACCGAGTCCACCTACGCCGCCCCAGTCAACTCCATCTACGAGCCAATCGCATCCTCCAAGAACCGACCCATCTGCCCTCAAGAAAACTACTACATCGAACAGCCCGCCACCCCAGGAGCTTACCTCGGTCCGATGACGCCTCCCTCCCCAACGCTCCCTCTGCCGACAATATCCCCCTCCTCTTCCATCCCTTCACCATCAAGGACCTCACCATCCCCAATCGCATCGTCGTCGCCCCCATGTGCATGTACTCCTCCTTGGATGGATTCTTCACCAACTTTCATCTCGCCAGTATTGGATCCTTTGCAATCAATGGAGCGGGTCTGATCCAGGAGGCCTCAGCTGTGTTGCCTAATGGACGGATTACTCCTGAGTGTGCAGGTCTGTGGGATGATGCGCAAGTGTTCAAGTTGAAGGAAGTTGTAGACTTTGTGCATGTTCAGGGTGGCAAGGTTAGCATTCAGCTTGCCCATGCCGGTCGCAAGGTAACTTTCTATATCTTTGATAAATGATTTACTCCGACTTTATTTTGAACAAAGAAATTAACACTGCCACTCTTACCCTCTTTTCGTGATACTTCCAACAAGCGTCTGCTGAAGCACCATACACAAAGTACCCCGAGTCGGCCTTCTGGCCCGAAGACATGAGCGCCCCCTCAGGCGGCGCACATCTCCAATGGGACAAGCACCACCGTGTCCCCCGCGAGTGGTCTCTCGTCAGATCCAACAGGTCATTGATGCCTTTGGTACCGCAGCCGCCCGTGCCACCCGCAGAAATGAACACTGTCGAGATTCATGGTGCACACGGATACCTTATCCATAACTTCTTTCCCACCTCACCAACCAGCGTACGGACCATTATGGTGGCTCTCTTGAGAACCGCGCTCGGTTCTTGTTGAAGGTTGTCAAGGCTATGAGGGCCAACTTCCCAGCTGAGAAGCCTATCTTTTTGAGAGTTTCGGCTTCGGATCTGGTGGAGGAGGTTGAAGGGATTGAGGACTCGTGAGAGATTGAGCAGACGATCTAGATTGCCAAGTGGGCCCGTGACGCTGATGTTGATGTCCTTCACGTCTCGTCGGGTGGCAACGCTTCTCAGCAAAAGATCCTCACCTCCCCCGGATACCAGGTTCCTTTCGCCGAGCAGATCAAGCGTGCGGTCCCAGGGTTGGCAGTTGTTGCGGTCGGAATTATCCTGCATGGTCCTCTGGAGGAGGAGGTTTTGAAGAGTGAGAAGGCAGATCTTGTGGCTGCTGGAAGGACTTGTTTGAGACACCCCAACTTTGCGCTGAATGCTGCTAGGGAGTTGAATGTCAAGGCGGCGTTCTCGCAGCAATACTCTCGTGGCCGTACTATTCACAATTAAGACGTACTTCAGTCTTTACTTTTTTCCTTGCAACTTTGACATACACACCCTTTTTTCTTCGCGAGTCTACTTTTACATAGAATTATTCATCAGCCTCAATAACAACGTCTGGATACTTGTCCACAACAAAAAAAGGCACAGGATGGTTTGCTTTCCCTTCAAGTAACAGCCTGGCGATGAAGAAAAGAAAAATAACCAAATTACTCACACTATCAAGAAGCGGAGCTTGACGCTGAAAACACTCGCGCATTCTGAATATGATGACCAGATTTTTTCATTCACTGTGTCCTTTGAATACACACGCAGGCACATGCATTCAATGCCCACTTTGCATATTGCTATATTTTCTTTTCTTTTTCTTACATTCCCTTTGTGACTTCTCTTCGCAACTTCCTCTAAGCATCACGATCCAGATAAGGATTTCACGCGATGGTGAACAAGACACGTTCGATTGAGATAAATGATCGTTTTCGCATTTGACGAAGACAAGCGCGTTGTTCGTTTCCGTTTGGTTGCGGACTTTTCCGGATGTCGCGAGGTCTCTGTAGTCTAGTTAATCGCACTTTTACTGTAGTATTTGCATTGCACCAGGGATCGCTTGTTTGCTCAGGGAGTCAGAGCAACTGAACTGACAAGTGTTTCTTTGGTGCATCAGACTCGTCCTCTCTTTATTCGCTATCGGTTGAGGGTATTACAGCTATCCTACAATCCTGCCTACGAATCCTGCCTTCTGTAACACTACGATAGATTTATCTGAAACCATGTTTTGGCGATCCATTACATCGGTCGCTGGCACTGAGCGTTACTCCTTTTCTTTTCTCTTTTTTATGACACTATTCCTTGTGGTTGACCATGGTACCGGCGACCTGACAGGCCACTCGTTTGCTTGCTGGCTGATACCCTTTTTCCAGCTGCCATCTGTTGTTGTTTGTTGTTGTTGTTGTTGTTGTCTTGTTGTCAACTATACATTCATAGTGCTGAAAAGGGAAAAAATGTGCACAAGCCCCTGTTTGCCATGGGGGAGGTAAATGGGAAGAAAGGAAAGGGAAATACGGTTACCAAGAAGGCAACAATGACAAAAATCTCATACGCTCTTATCTCTCTCCCTCTCTCTCTCCCTCTACCCGACTTCTCCCCTTTCGACACTCCTCTACCTCCCAACTCCACTTTCCTTCGTTCTCGCATTTATTTTCTTACATCACAGAATCCACCAGCGCCATGTAACTTTAGTGATCACCCCATTTTCTTCATCCTCGTTCAATAGCCCAACTTCTGATTCAGATCAAGCTCACATTCACACACCCAACAGTCATCATCAGACAACAGCCATCACTTAGACAAAAGTTGCAATTATCTCAACTGATCGCTTTGCATCCAGTATAACCCAGCACCAGACCCATCGCCACCTCACCTCACCTCACCTTACCAAAAGTAAAATTCGTTTCCTAATCCACCCAAATACAAAGCACACAAAAAAAAAGTTCATACCAAAGCTGTCAAGGTAATATAGGCAACGACTCGACAACAAGCTGCCTACAAGGAAAACTGACGAATTCGTGCCTTCTATTGAACACGTCCATGTTCTGTCACTTTCTCTACTCATAGTCAAGCATCCGTTGCTATTCCTCTCCCTTAACTAAAGCATCGGTCAAGTACAGCAAAACACAACGCAAAACAACACAAAACAATAGGGAAGCAATATCAAAGCAGAAAAGCAACAAAACAAACGCGCAAGCGCAAAAACACCAAAGCACACACAGATCACAAACCGACCACTGTTTCCCTCTCCCGTACACCGAGTAAGTGCAATAGCCATGCGTAACATTGGTCTCGTTGTTTGCGATCTTTTTCTCCACGGACATAATTACTTACCGTCATCAATTGCATGCAAGCATATAGATTTCTCCCGACTTCTCCAGTCCGTCAACCAAGAACTCCAAGCCTAGCAACCATTGCCACACCTATAAGCCACTTTTATCAAGGTAAAGAACAGCCTACACAGTGAGCTGGCTTGGTGTGCATGATAATAGACACCAAACACTAACGCATTCCGTTGCTATTGGTAATACAATAACGTCCTTAGCAAACCAACCATGTCCAGGAACTCGCACTCCATCCCTTCCGGTCCACCATCTCAACTTACCTCACCAAGCTATCCCCACACTGGGCACAATGACGACAACAATTCTATTTCTTCTCAGCGCATCCGCAAGCGGGACAAGTTCTTTGCCTTCTTCAGATCGTCCAGTCATGAGCGCAAGGCCAAGAATACCGATTCTACCAGCCCAAAGTCCTCTATCAAAGGAGCCTCGGTTGCCAGTACTGAAGTGTCTGCTCATCGCCTTTCCATTGTCAGTACCCCTGAGAGTGTTGACATTGAACAAGCGGTCTCCACCACCGCCGTCAAGAGTACTCCCTCCATTGTTCACCCCTCTACTTTGCTGACCAAACCTCGCCTGGACGTCTTCTCACAGAACGTCAATGCGCCTGCTGTGCGCATCCCTTTACCCGCATTTGGCGCTCGCATCGACACCACCCCTCAACTTGCCCTGTGCATCGGCTTACTTTCTAAAGTTCACGACGCCGTCGACCAGCAACAGGATCCTTCGCAAGACTTGTCATCCGATACTGTTGCTCGCCTGGCCTGGGTCAAGGTTATGAGGCAAGATCCTACTGAACGAGAACGCCTCTTTTGGTTAGGAACTCGTATGGTTGACGAGTTTGCCAAGGACGCCTTCAAGGACTCGACCGAGATTGCCGAGATGGTCCTCATCGGACCTGTCATGGACATGGAGCATTACCGCGCGTTACTCTCCAGCATCATCGCAGCGTTTGACCATTCTGTGATTCTGAGTGTCGATCTCCTCCAAGGTCTCGTGCAGTTGGTGCAGTCTGCACCCCCTGAATCGCTCCTCTCTGACGACCTGGTAAGGATTCTTCGTCTAATCCGACTTCGTCTGCAGGACACTCACCAGCAGTCGACTGTTCATCCTTACCATCTTACGTTGGCGCTCTCGAGGTTACTTGATGTTATGGCGGACCACAAGATCAAGGACCTGAGCCGCGTGGAGGATCACGAGCCCTTGTCTGGAGTCCTGTCGAGCTTGACAGGTAGCTCGGACCCCTACCTGATGTACCAGGCTTGCTATGCGTTTCAGGCACTGCAGTATGTACCTGATGATGAGACTGTGCTCCAGGCGGTTCTCCGACAGTCCATTGATGTTGCAAGTGGGTTGGTCAAGATTTCGGCAGTGATGAAGCTGGATCTGGATGCAGTTCTTGAGGGACTTGGCAAGCTGCAGGAGGTGGTTGGCAGCACGGTTGAAATTGCAGGTACTGTGTACGAAGGCTTTTGCTCACTGAAGGAGAGTGGCCGAGGTGTGTTTGACAGTCTGAAGGAGGGATATGGATCTGGCAAGAAACGTCCTTGGTATGCCGCTGTCCGTGCTGCTCATGCTCTTGCTCACTCTGGTCAGTTGCAGGATCTCAACCGCCTGATCTGTGAAGCACCTTGTCGCCGTGATCCTCTGTTTCAATGGGGAATCTGCCAGTTGCTAGGCGAGATTGCGTCTGATGACATCTGGGATTCCCCTGTTCGCCGGCAAGCCGTTGAGCTTCTTGGTGACCTGTTCCAGAACGATCCATTGTGGGGTCAGGATGAGAGCGTCAGGACCTGGATGTTGAACATCAGTGGCCAACTCGGTGCTGTTGATGACGCAGCTGTCAGCAGCAGCGCTATTGCCTTGGTGAAGGAACATCAGCAAGTTCAGCCTGCCACCACCAAGCTTCCTTACCTGCTGAGGAACCGACTTCCCTTGCCCACGTCCTCACCAACACTCGTCAAAGTTCAGAAGACCCCACCACTCGAGTACGATTTGCGCCGGCTCCGCATGTTGAGGTTGAGACAGAGCCACCAAGACGTCTACATCCCGCCTATGGCCAAGCCTAGTCTGAAGGCCAAAGACGAGGACATATTCTTGCTGATGGAGAAGATGCAAGAGTTCTTGGCTGGTGAACGACAAGTGATGCTGGTGCTTGGTGACTCTGGTGCCGGAAAGTCGACTTTCAACCGCCATCTCGAGCATCGTCTCTGGACCGACTACAAACCAGGCGACCATATCCCTCTCTTCATCAATCTCCCCGTCATCGACCGCCCTGACCAGGGCCTGGTCGCCAAGCAGTTGAAATTCCATGGCTTTTCGGAGGATCAGATCATGGAGATCAAGCAGCACCGCCAACTCATTCTCATCTGTGACGGATACGACGAGAGCCAGCAGTTGGTCAACCTCCACCGGACCAATGCTCTGAACCAGCCTGACCAGTGGAATACCAAGATGGTCATCAGCTGCCGCACCCAGTTCCTCGGACCCGAATACCACAGCTGCTTTATGCCTCTTGGAGAAGGTGGTCACTACGACCGCCCTGCTCCCTACCTTTTCCAAGAGGCTGTCATCGCTCCATTCTCCAAGGCCCAGATTGAGAACTATGTTGAGCAGTATGCCCCCCTGGAACCAAGGACCTGGGGCACAAAGGACTACATGGACAGGCTCACCACGATCCCCAACCTACTTGATCTGGTCAGGAACCCCTTCCTCCTCTCACTTGCATTGGAGGCGCTACCAGGCGTGACGGAGGGTAAGCAGGACCTGTCGACGATCAGGATCACGCGAGCCCAGCTTTATGACACCTTCGTCAAGCATTGGCTCGACGTCAACAAACGACGGCTGGAGAGGAACAACACCTTGTCGATGGACGACCGCGACATGCTAAATCAGCTGGTCGGCACGGGGTTTGTTTCATTGGGCCTCAACTACGCTACCAAGTTGGCACGAGCTATCTTTGATCGGCAGGACGGAAAGCCAGTAGTCAAGTACGCCCATTTGAACGACAAGGACACATGGAAGGTCGATTTCTTTGGACCCCAGCCTAGGGTTCGACTCTTGCGAGAATCGTTACCGCTGACCCGTGCGGGCAACCAGTTCCGCTTTGTGCATCGCTCAATGCTCGAATACTTTCTCTCTCGAGCCATCTACAACCCGGTCAAGACTGACAACGAGGATGATGAAGAAGATGTCGCCGAATCCCACGAATGTTGTAGTCGTTCGTTATTCGATGTCAAGGGCCCCTTGTTCCGACAAAACCTGCTCCCTGAGCCGTCTATCATCCAGTTCCTATGCGATCGTGTGAAGTCGAACCCTGACTTTGCACAGCAACTCCGTGCCATCATCGACCTGTCCAAGACCGACGCAAGTGCAGCCATCGCCGCCACCAACGCGATCACAATCCTGGTCCGAGCCGGCGTGTTATTCAACGGTGCCGACCTTCGCAGAGTCAAAATCCCTGGTGCCGATCTTTCCGGAGGACAATTCGACTTTACGCAGTTCCAAGAAGCCAACCTGACAGGAGCCGATTTATCGAGGAGCTGGTTGCGGCAGGCGGATCTGAGCGGGGCGCAGTTGAAGGACGTTCGGTTTGGGGAGTTACCCTCCCTTGAGATGGAGAGTCCTGTGATGTCCTGCACCTATTCGCCAGACGGGACGATGCTTGCTGCGGAGTTTGGGGAGGATGGTGTTGATGTTTACAGCACCACCTCATGGACAAGAGTTCTGCAGATTCGAGACACTGGGTTAGTTTTGAGCGTTGTATTCTCACCTGACAGCCAACAAATTGCGTTCGGTGGCACGGACGAGACTGTACGAGTGTGGGATGTCACGAGCGGCGAGGAATTGCTGGCTATGGAAGGGCACACTGGAAGCATATATTCGGTGGACTATTCACCTTGTGGCAAGCTGATCGCATCGGCCGGTTATGACAAAACAGTGCGACTGTGGAGCTCGCAGACTGGAGAGAGCCTCCTTGTCTTGAAGGATCATAAGAACACTGTCACGAGTGTCAAGTTTTCCCCAGTTGGTCGTCAGCTCGTATCGGGCTGCTGGAATGCGACTATTCGGTTCTGGGATCCAGAGACAGGAGAGCTGGTGCAGGAGTTAGACTCCTCGTTGCTATCCGTTGAGAGTCTTGCTTATTCTCCTGATGGCAAGTGGATTGCCTCCGGTCACTACGGCGGCTCTTTGCAGCTTTGGGATGCGGCCTCCTATGAGCCAGGGCCAGTCCTACAGGGCCACACTGATAACGTCCTAGGAGTTGCATTCTCTCCTAACGGCCAATGGATCGCTTCTGCCAGCGAAGACAAGACCGTGAGACTTTGGGATGCATCGACTGGAACCCCTATTCTCGTTTTGTCTGGTCACAACGAAACCGTGCGAGGCGTTGCCTTCTCTCCAAATGGTCTTCGAATTGCATCGGGAGGTTTCGATAAGAAAGTTCGCCTGTGGGATCTGAGCTCTAGCTGGTCTAGCGTTGAGCCGCAGGGATATCGAGTCGATTCGTTGTTGAAAACAGCATACTCTCCCGACGGCCTCTCAATCATCACTGCCAGTAAACACAGAGTCTATCGATGGGACTCGACGACAGGAGGATCACTGCCGAACGCGTTTCAGTTTCCGGAAGGAGTTTCAGTAGGAGCTGTGGAATTTTCACCTGATGGCGATCAGATAGCGGCCGTCGTTGGAGAAGGCGATGTCCAAGTATGGGACCACCGAACCTGTGCAGCAGGATCTGTCCTCAAAGATGAACGTTACCGTCTTACCCATGTGGTCTATTCGCCTTGTGGTCGTTGGATCGCTGCTTTCAACTGGGAGAGAAGTGTCTGGTTGTGGGATCTTCACAACGCCAGCGTCAAGGAGCATCATGTTCTCATTGAATTCGAGAATAGCGAACGCTTTGAACGTAGCAGCGTGACGTTCTCCTCTGCCGGACACCAGCTTGCGATTGGCTTTTCCGATGGCTCCGTTCGTGTTTTCGATCCTCAATCAGGAAAACTTGTGTCATCCTTGCAGCTGGCGCCAGGAATCATCGGCGCGCTGGCATATTCTCCGATCGGCCAGCAACTAGCTATCGGCGGCGGCGACAGCTCGATATATCTCTGGGACGGCCAGTGGCAAAAGCCGAATATCCAGCTGGGTGGACACAGCGCACTAATATTCTCCATTGCCTATTCACCTTGCGGTCAGTGGATCGCTTCCGGCAGCGAAGACAGAACTGTTCGACTATGGCGTCGATGGCAAGAAGGCGAGTCGGAGTATTGGCAGAGTGCAGGCGTGGTCCGTTCATTTTCCGACATTGTTCTCGATATTGCATGGAATCCAGTTATCCCCATGGAGTTTGTCACGCATTGCATGAATCAATCTGTCCAAGTGTGGCGAATGTCGATCGATGGCGAAAGCGTGGTTGTGAGGATGCTTTGGGGGCTTAACATTGGAAGCCTCTGTGCCGAGGGTCTTATCTCCAAGGACGCAACAGATCTGAGCCCGATGAACCAGAAGCTGTTAGTCCAGCGCGGTGCCGTCGACAGCTCATTAGTCCCTGAAGGACAATGATCGACGCGTAGGGCCTGTTAGCTTCCTTGCTCCAATCAACACCTACCACAACCGTTTCCCTTTCAAACTGAGAACCCTGAGTACATTACAAATAACCACTAAATGTATTGTTTTCGTTTCAACGCTATTGCTGTTGGTTGCTGTTGTTGTTGGTTGTTGTTGGATGTTGTTAGTTGTCACTTTCAGTGTACACCTCCGTGCCTGTTACGCTTAATATGCGCCGCTCCATGACATCTCCAAGAGGATCCATTCCCGTGTCGAATGATAAAACCATGAGATCGTAGTACCGGTACTCTTCAAAAGAGTTCCTTGACGATTCTCGGTTCCACTTGCTCTTGGCGAGGCGATCCCAATGCCGAGACCCACCTCCCTCGGCCTTGCCAAGCGACTAAGTTGTGCACGAACTGCCCATTGGAGATCTAGACTCTCTTGGTGCATGGCCTCGTAGGTGTAGTCTGTCGCGGACCTGCCGGCAATTTGTTTGCGTGATGTCCGGTCAGGAGTTGCCGCCGATCGCACATAAAACAATGTCTAGTCCTGTGAAAAAAAAAAATCTCACTTCTGACTTGACCATTTCCTTGGCATCGATCCATCCTTCCACCGTCTCGGGCGTTTTGCACGCACAAAGGAATGGGGTAATAGGGCTTCGTAAAGATTTTTCATGTACACGTCGGCGGTGATGAGTGCGTTTCTGATCACGACCTCCAGCTGATATGTGTAGAAGGTTGGATCGATGGCCTATTTGGAGAAGGACATGAGATCTTCGTACAGTCCTAACTGCTCGAACGCCATGATGATAGTGACCGGTTATTTTTTAGAGAGAGAGAGAGAAAGAGTAGAGATAATGAACAAAAGACGTATCGGCTGGCAACGTTCAAGGAGGGTGAGTGTGGTTCCATGGTAGTAGGTAGTGTTCGAGTAGATTGTTTTGTTCAAACCAAACTCATAACAGCACCTTATGTCAAGAATGAGATGAATAAGTGCTTAGACTAGGGAAAGGGGTGTCATAGAATATTCTGTGCGCTTGTACATATCCCTTTGCATTTGGTTAATGAAGCAGGCACCATTAGATGCTTACCAATTAGCCTGATTTCAATAGCACGCTCATAAATATCGTAGGGGATATCATCCTTCTCGGGAAAGACACCCTCAGAAGAGGCCCGCTAGTCCTGTTCCTAAAATAAGGACGTGAGAGGGCTGGCTGGTGACCGAATTGGGGCTTGGTGTAGATACACATGATAGTAATCACCCTTGGAGAAAGTGAGAGAGAAGCAAGGAATTGAGGAGAGAAGAAGAGGAGGAGTAAAGGCCCTTGTCTTTTCTAACATATTGCAGAAAGACAGTGCAACTGAACTGACAAGTGTTTCTTTTGTGCATCACAGACTCGTCTTCTCTTTATTCGCTCGGTTGAGGATGAGGATGAGAATGTGACCGAATGAAAACGAAAAAAGAGAATGGTGAGGGAAGCAAGTGGAAGGAAGATAACGAGAGATAAGTAGCAGATTGGAAGAGCCGGGAAAGAATACGCAAGCCACTGTTATGTAACTCGATGCATGTCACTACCCTCCCTTGCAAATACGAAAAGAATACAAAGAGATAACTTTGTCTGTTCTTCTCTCAACGGGGTATTCTCGTTGATTCTGATTGATGACTATGAGACAGTTAGGCATTTGTTAATGAGAACGATACCGTTAAGGAACTGATCGCGTTCTTAATTCTCAAAGAGGTGGTAAAAAAAAGACTGTTTTATTAATCTGTTATTCACGAATGAATTTGGGTAAATCAGAGGACAGTGACGGCGTGCTTCTTGGCCTCCTCTTCCTCCTTTTCCTTTTGGATACGCTTTGAGGGTTTCTGGGAGATGACGTCCAATGTGCCACGCTTGGGAGCCTGGGGCAAGAAGTTGGCCTGAGGACGGTAGGCATTGTCCTTTGTCATCCGCTTCAGCTGCATCGATTTTGGGATCCAATTGAACAAGATATGTCGCAAGACTCGCTCCCACAACGTCTATTCGATCAACGGAAACAGTGAGTGTTCAATAGCTATGTGATGAATCTTGTGGATATTGCATGCGCGTGATGTATGTACTTTGGGACAGAAACTTACATGTCCGAATTGCAACTGGGCAGCAAATTCTGCTTGTGGGTACTGCTCCTTGACAGCATCAAAACGCTCCTCTTTGAAGTCGCTCAATGCCTGCTTGATGCTTTCGAAACTGGTTGGCTTGATGTCATACAGGTGGTTGGCAAGAATGACGGCATCCTGCATTGCGTTCACGGCGCCGGCACCTGTGCTTGGGAGTAGCTGAGGCATTAAAAAATAATAAGTCAATATTGCTGTTGGATCAAAAACACTAACAGCGGATCGACGGTTCCTTTGAACACCCATTCTTCTCTCACCTTGTGAGCGGCTAGAAAAGGAGAGGTAAGGATGCACATGTATTCAAAACATTAGTCGTGGAAACCGATACAATGTAAGTGAGCGCAAAACGGCAAATAGGAAAAAAAAATGTATATACCATCGCCGATCAGAACAGTGCGTCCGTGGTTCCATGTCTCGAAAAGCATATCCTCGAAGAACACCTTGGAGACTCGCTCAATATCGGTCTCATCGAACAGGTCGCCCAAAGTACCATAAGGCGTCATGAAATGACGGATCGAATCCATCATCTTTTGGTTCTGTTGAGGGACCCAGTCTGACGTCCTGAACTGGTCGTCCGCGATCTCGGTGATACCCAACTGAACAACGACATTCCAGCAAATCCTGTTTCCTGGAACGGTAAAGGTCACCCACTATTGAAACGTGCAGTTTCAACAAGGAAACTGGTTAAGCGAACGAGCCTCTTACGCGCGTATACTTTTTTGAACTTTGTAAGACGACCTAGGTTACTTACAGTGTATGGAGTACTTCCATCACCAATGATACCATAACTTTGACAGTCCTCTTTCAAAACGTCCGGGTACTTCTCAGGGTCGAGGGCATTAGTCGTTCCCACCAAGGATATGAACCCCTTCTTCATCTCTAAGTTATCAGACTTGGGGAGGAGGCCTTCCTTGGTCAACGTCTTGTATAGGTGCTGACGAACGGCACTGTGGGCTCCATCCGCACCAACGAGAATGTCGCCATGGAGAGTGGTGTTGTCGCTGAATCGTACCATGACTCCTTCATGGTTCTGCTGGAAGGACAAAACCTTCTTAGACAGGTGTATCTTTTCCTTGGGGATCTTGCTGAACAACAGGTTATGAAACTCTGGACGAGGGAATAGGAGGCGTTCGTATCCAAAGCTAGGACGAAACAAATGATACCAGTCACATGTAAGTGTTTGCACGAAAAGAAGAGCCTTCGTTGCGAACGAAAAATCTGGGGATTTGGTGATGGTAGACCCACATGTCATTGTCAATTGGTGTGATGTCGGCAATGGGCTTCAGCTTGTCCGTCAGGATTGCTCTGCCCCCGCGCATGGGCTTCGAAATCGCCAGCAGTTCCTCATAGAGTCCCAATTGCTCGATAGCGGCAAGAATGTTGGGTGACTATTTACAAAGAATGGTGCACAAGAGGGTTGTGGTTCAGTACATGTGCCCAGGCTGGCGACCACTGAACAATGAGGGTTGACGTTACTGGTTTGGTATACTTACAAGACACATGATGGCGCCTAGGACCGGCAATGGAAAAGGTAATATGATAATAAGCCGAGGGTATTATGGCGGGTCATTCTTCAAACATATTGCTTTTAAAAAGACGACTGGAGAACAAACGCATACCTAGAGGCTTAATCTCGGCCGACCGCTCATAGATCTCGTAAGGGATGCCTGCTTTCTCCAGAAGAATCCCAAGGAAAAGCCCACCCAGACCACCGCCAGCAATGAGCACACGAGGGGGCTTGTCAGTCACCAATGGAGGCAAGTCGCTACCCTTGGCGCCAGCCAAGGAGGGGGGCATGCTTGTCGACTTATCGAAAGGGACGCTCATGCTCAGAAATATGAATTGGTATTGTAATGTGTTTGAGGAGTTGTGAAACAGGAAACGAGATGGTCGAAAGTGAGAAGAATGAACAAGAATGAAAGAGCGATGAGAAAAGTGAGATTCAGAATGAGCGAGATGGAGGACCCGAGTCGAGTCGAGAAAAGAGGAGTGAGGTTCGGCGTCTGCACCCTTCCTTTCTTCCCATCCTCCTGCCTCCTTCGTTTTTAGGTGCTCTCAGATAGTTACACAGCATTGTATTTTTTCATTTGGAATCAATGAATGAGTTGTTGAAGTAACCAATGCGGCCTGTGTCCACTAAGAGTAATGGGAGAACCAATCCTATGCCGCGTTTATTTTTTGAGGCAAAGGAGGGGAAGGAAACCGCCAGGGGAGACATATGTATGACTGATGGTGTATCGGTGTAGACCAATGATGTGTTTCTGTTGTAACTTCGGGACCTGTCAATGATAGCCTTCAACCATTCACGAAGCAGTCGGCACGAACATCATTTTTGATTACCGAAAATCAAAACAGAACTAACGCTCTCACCAAGACGGACCTTTTTTCGCTTAGGTTTATGGTCATGGGAATGCAAACAGAGCTAGCTCAGGAAGACGGAATCAATATCAATGGTTTGTGTATTGAGCACAGCCGGTAATTGGAAAATGAAGTCAGCTCCAGACTATTCAGGTGAGTATGAGACCGATAAACAATGACTGACTTGATCGTGTTCCTGAATCTCAGACTTTTTCGTCGTGATACGTATTGCGTACGACTAATCCATTTTCTTTATTTCTCAACTGTGGAAAAATTTAAAGGGCGGCGACGTTCTTGTTCCTCGTCTCGTCCTCCCTCTCCTTCTGAAGACGCTTGGACGGTTGTTGAGGAATGGTATCCATGGTCCCGCGCTTAGGTGCCTGAGGCAAGAAGTTGGCTTGGGGTCGGTAGGCGGTATCCTTGAGCAACTGCTTCATCTGCATGGATGTTGGGAGCCAGTTGAACACCACCTGTCTGAGGATTCTTTCCCAAAGTGTCTGTATATCGGAAAGGAAAATTAAGTTGGCATTTCTTTATCTTTTTGAAGATTATAGCAAAAACAAAGGAAACAATGGAGAGAGGGGTGACTTACATGTCCATAGATGAGTTTGGCGGCGATGTACGACTGTGGGTACTGATCTTTGATGGCCTCATATCGTTCGTCCTTGTAATCGCTCAATGCCTGGGTGATATTGTTGAAAGTGGTGGGTCTGATATCATACAAGTGGTTGGCGAGCAGAACTGCATCCTGCATCGCGTTTACTGCGCCAGCACCACTGCTTGGAAGAAGCTAGAAATATAATGAAAGGAGAAAGGTAGTCGGTGAGAAGGCTGTGCATGAAAAATTGCATTGATGCGATCGTCTAATTAATCGCCTTTGCCTTACTTTATGTGCAGCTAAAAATGGCAAGAAAAAGGCAAAAAGGGTGTCAATTCGCAGAACTGCAGCGAGGTCATATGCACAGGCCGACACACAGCACCCAAAAAAAGTACTCACCATCGCCGATCAAGACAGTTCGTCCATGGTTCCAAGTCTCGAACAGCTGGTCCTCAAAGTAGACCTTAGACACTCGATCAATAGGCGTAACATCGAAAAGATCACCAATGATGCCGTAAGGTGTCTTGAAGTGTCGAATCGCGTCCATCATCTTCTTGTTTTCCTGAGGCACCCAATCCGATGACTTGAACTGCTCATCTGCCACATCGACGATCCCCATTTGAATGACCACACACCAACAAATCTTGTTGCCTGGCACAGCAAATGTCACCCACTTTTGCAGAAGGTGCATGGAACAATATAAAAAAAAAGGTAGTTAGATGGCCATTGGTGCCTCAGAAGTGTCGTGCTCTTGCTTTACCAGGAAGTTGCGTCAAGACTTACGGTGTAGGGTGTGTTTTTGTCGCCAATGATGTAAAAACTCTCTGAATCCTCCTTCAAGACACCAGGGTACCTGACAGGGTCTAATGCCTCCGTTGTCCCAACCAAGGATATGTACCCCCTGTTCATCTCCTTGTTATCTGACTCGGGTAAAAGTCCACGTTTCTCCAGCGTCTTGTACAGGTGCTTGCGGACAGCGCTATGGGCACCATCCGCTCCAACAAGGATGTCACCCCTGACCGACGTGCTGTCTCCAAACTTCACAGTGACGCCGTACTGGTCGTGTTCAAAGGAAACGATCTTCTTGGACATATGGAGTCTCTCTGGAGGCGTCTTTCTGACCAGCAAGTCGTACAGCTCTGGACGGGCAAATAAGATGCGATCGTAGCCAACTCTAAATTTTTTGTTTGTGAAAAATGGCGTGAGCGAAATGGTTAAAAAAAATTTGTGTGCGCCTGATGGTAATTGATATCCCACGGAATAAAAGGACATGCAGGGGAGTGACAGGAACGTACAGATCGGTCGTCAAAGTTTCAGTCTTGCCAATTATGTCCAGGTCACCGGTGTAGAAAGTGTTCCTGAGCGCCGGTTTCGAGAATGACATGACCTCGTCCAGCAGACCGAGTTGTTCAATTGCAGGCAGGATATTGGGCGACTAAAGAGGAGGAAAGGGGGAGGAACCACCATTAGTTACAGGGTCGCAAGGTTGATTGTTCTTTATGTGTAATTGTGCGCTTACCAAACAAATGACAGAGCCTAGGAAACAAGGGATTGAAAGAAAGGAAGGAGAGGACACAAAGGTTAGTAATGCATGTTTGTCTTATGTCTACGTGGCATCACTCCTTGCATTCCTCGAGTAAAGAATCAGGTTCTATATACCAAGGGGTTTAATCTCTGCGGCACGCTCATAGATGTCGTATGGGATCCCCGCCCTCTCCAACAGAATGCCCAGGAACAGCCCAGCGAGACCGGCACCAGAGATAAGGACATGAGGAGGCTGGTCAGCGGCCGAATTGGGGTTGGGTGTAGGTGCCTCCGTGATAGTAGTCATCCTTGAAGAAAGTAGGCGACAGCTGCGTGAAAAGGAGGAAGAGGGGAGTGAGGAAGTGAAGAATGAAGGATGGGTGTAACGGAATGAGAGGAATGGAAGAAGGAAAGAGAGACGATGCATGAGACGATGAGCAAACCGAGATTCTCTCTCTCTTCTGTTGTCTTCTTCGACTCTGCGTCTCGGTGATGGTTACACAGGGTATGTATTTTTGAGCCTGTTAAGCAGGCAACGCACAACAACGGACAATCCTGTTTATTGCACACTTTCAGGGGTATGGAACATGGAGCTGAGACTGACTGGGACTGGAAGACTTCTCGAGCAATCGGACTGTTGTACTGTACGCCACAGAATGTTATTCCCCTGACACATGTCCGGGACCACGCTGTCCACTTCTATCTTAATTCTTCATTTTTCGGCGACATGCAGACAGCAATATCGGCTTCAATTAATTGAAATAAGGAAGAGAGGGGGAGTCTTTTATTGCGACCCCAAAAATGTAGCAGATGCTGTTGCAATTTTCTTGGCCTCTTCTCTTTCCTCTAAATACGTTTCGAAGGTGCTTGGGGGATATTATCCAAAGTCCTGCGCTTGGGCGCCTGCGGCAGGAAATTGGCTTGAGGACGGTAGGCAGGGTTCTTCTGGGGCAGCTTTTATATTGTCGACTTGGGGCCAATTGAACACGACCTGTCGAAGAATCCGTTCCAAGAACATCTAATCAATCAACGACGTTAAAAAAAATAATATCGCAGGCAACACACACATCAAAAGCGCTGAAGAAAGGTAGAACTGGTGATGTAGAAAGAGACTTACATGCCCCTATATGAACTTGGCTGCCATATAGGATTGTGGGTATTGTTCCTTGACAGCCTCGAATTTTTCCTCCTTGTAATAGCTCAATGCCTTCTTAACATAGCACCCTTGCGTCCAACGTCTACCTCACCGTACTAGAATAATGTAAATACTGTGCATATAGAAAATGGGAAGCATGTGCGTGAATTGCGTAGAGCGAAACTAGTGAACATTATTGCCCTGACTGTCTGTTTCTTTATTGAAAGAGCTAAAATGATCATCATGACAAAACAAATCAACCCTTCAAAACGTGTCCTTGCACTGTTATGTTCTAGAGGAGTGGAGTATCCACTCTTCCCTTTTTATTCACAAGAGCATATAGCCGCTTCTGGTCTGGTTCGGCTATAATAGAAGGACTAGACCAGGACCAATACAACCCATCCTTCACTCCTCTTCACTTCTCTCTCCTAAATTCTTTAATGTGTATTGTTTTGAGTAAAGAGTTGGGACAAATTTTAAACAGCTTCGAAAAGCCGTCAATAGTCTATAACAGTTGTCATCTACATGGAATGACACTTGGTCCGACCAACCTCGCACCGTTTTTGTCCTTCTCTTCCATACCGTACGCTCCTCCTCAACTTTTCTATCGATCGGCCGCTTGCATTATCCGCGGCATATGGTATGACGACCGGAGTTGGAGACATTCTAAACCGAAAAACCACCTTTTTAAACATGCAATTTCTCATGGTATTTCCGTACCTGGGACGCGGCTGTTATCTCCTTTATACGAGCGTCAACCATGGCATCGATGGGGCCTTTAATGGTTTTGAGTAGATATACTCTGAGCTCGTTTGCGAAAGTTTGTTCATCCATTGACGATGGGGGAAAAGTGACGATGGGATGTGTAAAGCAGAGGTCTGCGCTGATGTGAAAACAGGTTGACCTGTTATCGGCTAAATGTTCTACAACTCAACCTGCTCTCATATCAGCCTAGACCTCTGGTTACTAATGGAAGCTCTGAACCTAGCTACCTCGTCTGCAATTTTTGTAGACGAGGTGGGGTTCAGAGCTTCTTACTAATGTACAGTACGTGTGCTAAAACCTTAATATACGGCAGAACGATCATCGACCGATCATATCGTTCTACACGCAGTCCGCAGCCGTCATGCTTCTTACCTCTTGTACCTAGATTTCACATCCTTCTATCTTATCTTATTCACCACCTGTTGTTATTTCCCTCCCCTCCAAGTCAAACTCACTGGTACTATCCTCCTCTATCTTGCTTCCCATCTTTTGTTCTGAAAAACCTGAACGTCTCCCAAGCAAGGAAATCGTGAGTATAAGTTACTGCGGCTTGATTTTCTGAGGATTGATGACTGCGCCGCACTTGAAATAGCGTATATTGTTCAAGAAATGCCATGCACGCTTTCAGTCTCTGTCCAGTTTCGTTACGTCTTGGTTACAATTCTAACCTACTATCACCTGCAATCCTATCCGACCATTACCTAGCTCCAGCCATCACCATCATGAGCAAGCTTCTTGTCGTCTTTTTTGCCACTGGCCAACAGGGCAGCTCCATAATTGACTATGTCATCAACGACTCCGCTTTGTCCAAAGTGTACAAGTTGCGTGCCGTTACTCGGGATCCTTCCAAGCCCGAGGCTCTGGCTCTCCACAAGAGAGGCGTAGAAGTCGTCAAGGGTGACATGGATGACAAGGACTCTCTCAAGCAGGCCATGCACGGAGCACATACAGTCTTTGCCGCGACGTTAACTGTCTACGATGATCAAATGGAGACTAGGGAGCGTGCTCAGGGGAGGGCCTTGGGAGATGCGGCAGTTGAAGGGGGCGTTCAGTACTTGATCTTCAGCACCTTACCTAATACCACCAAGATTTCCGACGGCGTCTACACCGTGGCTTCCTTTGATGTGAAGGCTGAGACGGAGCAGTATATTCGTGGCCTGCCTCTCAAGAGTGCTTTCTTTTCTCCTGGAAGCTTTATGCAGAACTACCTGGGTATGTTTGCGCCTTATCCTGTCGGTGACGGGACGTACGCTTTCAGTAACATCGTGTCGCCTCAAGCTCCGTATCCCCACATCGACACCCTTGGCGACACTGGCAAGTACGTAGGAGCTATCCTTGCTGAACCTGACAAGTATGAGGGCAAGGTTTTCTCGGCCGCAACCAAGCTCTACACTTTCGAAGAGGCCGCCCAAGTTATCAGCAAGGTCACCGGAAAAGATGTCAAGTACAAACAGATATCCGTCGATGACATCAAGCGCATGATGCCGCCTATTGTTGCGAACAATGTTGTTCCCATGATGAAGTACGCTGAAGATTTCGGGTACTATGGTAGCAACACGATGGAGCTGGTAGAGTGGTCCGCGCAGAATGCTCGTGGCAAGTTGACAACTCTAGAAGAATTCTTTGCCAAGAACCCCATCAATCTTCATTAAAAAATACATACAATTCTTAACCTTAAAATGAACGACCAAGACGTGGCCTTGGAAAGAACTATGATACTTTCCAAGCTGCAAGATTAAAAATCATCGTTCTTTCTTATTACTATCTGCAACCACATTCACACCACTTACAGCACTCCTGAAAAAGAAACAGGTATAGTCAAAGACCAAGAGAGGAACAAAGAATGAGGCTATGATGGAAGAGTCAAGGTTTGTTAAGAACGAATAATTGCGAGCCTATTTTGTCGCAGACGACATCCTAGGTGCTGTTTTAATATCTTCTAATCTTCACAAGTGAGCTATGCATCAGTGTAGAGGCCTATGATGGAAATTGTGACCGCTTGACAACAAAGACAAGATCCTTGCAGCAGATTAGGATTATTGCTCAAGTCGTATATCATGAATATGCTTTTTATCAGTCAGGATCTAATATGACACCCTACCTGTGTGATAGTAACAAAGAACCTTATCCATTGCCCAAGTTTGTCCATTCTCTTGGTCTCTTTTGACTTATCCTACTGACTGTACCTTAACTTCGATCCATAGACGAAGAAGAAAAAGAGCCTTGTATGACAAGGTCTTCGAATATATCTGTGCTGGTTAGAACTCAGGTCCTTGTGGCTGTACCTCGTGGCATGTGTGTTTTTTGTGCTTTTTATTATTTTCGCGAACGAAGAATAGAAGGGAGAGGGGAAGTAGCTTAATGGTAAACCTCCTTGGCAGGATGAAGAGGCCCACGGAAAAACGTAACAGCGACCTCAATGATCGCAAAGAACCCGGTAACAATAGGGACAAAGATATGACTCTGCATAAGGGTACACTCAGCATCCACACTACCGTCGCTATTCGCACATGAAAAGGGCTTAATCCACCTATCCCTCCCTGACCTCTCTACGACAAACTTGAAAAACATGAGCGCGACATCAATTTGGCGGAGCTGGACACTGATCAGGAACAGGGCCGGGAGAAGCATAAGAGACGCACGGATGTACTTGTTGGAAACGAGAGGTTTCTTGCCCCATATGGAGTAGAGGTAGGCGGGGAAGAGGACGACGGAGGCGATGATGATCGCGTAGTCTCCCCAGTAGTACTCGTACCGTAGGTCGGGGCTGTAGTCGTTGTAGTCCTCGTCGGCGGCTTTGGCGGCTTTGGCGGCGTTGGCGGCGTTGTCGGCGTACTTGTTTATCAAGGGGATCTGGTAAGCGTACCTGGCGATGGTAATGCTGAGGTTGACAAGTGTCACGAAGGCCATCCAGAGGCGTAGGCCGAAGATCGCAGGGGCCATGTTGGTATTTGTGTGCGTTTTGATTGACGTAGGAGAAAAAGGAAATGAGGAAAGAGAGATCGAGAAATAGAGCGAAGAATAGAGGAGAGAGAGAGAGCGAGGCCTAAGAGAGAAAGAACAGTCAAAGAATACGAACAGAGCGAGAGAGAGGGAGTGAGGGAAAGTGAGAACCTGTTACCAATAGAACGAGAAAAAAAACTCAGAAGTAAGGTGTCGCTCTCTTTAAATAGGCCAACGCTTCATGGGCATATCCCTCTCCAAGCAACTATCCACCAGTCACATTACCCGGGTTTGCACAAAGGGGAAAGAGCTCCCTTCTATTTTGCTATTGGCTCCTTTCGATACGAGAGCCAAAAGTCGACTTGTCCAGTCAGTTTCTTGGAAGAGTTCCGTAGAAGAAATATACCCTAATCTTCCCTCTCTCAAACTTTAAACAACTTTTGCTCAAGACCTCAAGTCCGTAATGACGAGAACTCTTCACATCCTCTCATCCTCTCTTCTTGCATTCTTCTGACTTCGATTTTAACATTGCATCACGAACAAAACGCCCACATGTTGTCGTCAGTTTTTCTTGGTATCGAAGCCTTTGACGCCTATGCATCTTCCTTCGGGTGTTTTTCCGCTGACATCCAAAACACGCTTGATACCAATTAAGTAGAAAGCGTGCAAATATGTTTGTGAGAGTAAAATGACCGGAACGACTTTCCGGGTCGTCTACAGTACAGTTTTTATTTTTTATTTTTCAAGGTTAACTTTTGTCATCCGGCGGAGTGGGGCTCATGTGGCGTGAAAGAAGTACTGTAATGGAAGAGAAGTGAGAGGTGGCGCATACACACACAAAACATATGCAAAAAAAAAACAGGCGTCTCTATTGCCGTTTCGCCTTCGAAAAAAATACATGTCTTTTACTCTTACTGTTGGGTGTCTATGCGACCCATAGGTTGTATCTGAGAACAAACAAACAAACAAAACACAAGCACGAGAAAATGGGGAAAGGCGATATTGGTGGAAAGATAAGTTTCTAATGGAAGGTGTGGAAGGCGAGGTGGTCGTGAACATGCAAGGGGATGAGGGGCGGGAATCCAATAGTCCAATTATTTATGTTTCCCATATGGCAGTCAGTCAGTCTGTTGATCAAAAGACCAACAAACAAACAACAAACAAACAAACAGTTTTGCAGTCATTTCCACCATGACTCGCACCCATAACCTTAGGGTATTTTCTCATATCGTAAGTCTGGATCGTAAGGTCGACAAGGCGGAGCCGGACACCGATCATGAACAAGGCAGGAAGGAGCATCAGGACGGCGCATCGTTTGCCCCGGATGGAGTAGAGGTAGCCGGGGAGGAGGAGGAGGACCGGGGAGATAATCGCATAATCGTCACATGTGTACTCGTACTGGTAACCGTAGTCGCTCTCGATTACGCCTTGCTCGTACATCTCTCTAATTGTTCGGCCCTCATCTTATTTACTTGGGGATGAACCAAGCGTGGAAAGTGATGACGATAATGAGGTTCACTAAGGTGGCGAAGGCCATCCAGAGTCGCAGACCGTAAATTGCGGGAGTCATCATTGTCTCTGTTTTTTGAAGAAGTGTGTGGGGAAATATGGAGGACGTAGAGAGAGAGAGAGAGAGAGAGAGAGAGATGATGATGAATTTGCACGTTGCACTCCTTTAGCAAACAGCTAAGATTGGTAGCCAATCGCCTCTTCACTAGGGCGGGTAAAAGGAGAAACCACCGTGCGGTGATGTTTTCTTCGCCACCTGCTCTGCCGCTTCCCACCTTCAAAAAAATACTAAAGTCGACTTATCCACTAGCGTTTCCAGTAGCAGAGGGAAGGTTCTGAGAAGAATATTATGCGCACTTTCCTCTTCCACCTGCACACACAGCTAAACTTTAAATCGCCATAGCTCTAGGAGTGCAGTGAGGAGAGTCATTGGCACCTATATCTTCTACTTTGCTGTTGAGATGCAACGTGCCTTCGCTGAGGTTAATGGAGATGCTTGTTGATCTGAGTTTTCCTGATTAACAATGTTTACCTTTTCATTCAAGAGAGTAGTATGTGGGGAAAGATGGAATGAGAGAGTTTTGACCTCGAAAGTGAAGTGATGAAGGAGGAAGGAATCTGGGATGAAGGAAGAAGCAAGAGTAAAGATGCGCACATCGTTCATCACCCAAATAAAAAAGAGACGGGTTACAATTGTAGTAGGCTTGCTAAGCTCGCGCGCGCTCACAGCATACTGGCAAGATCCCTCTGGTTCGGGCTACCCTCACATGATTGAGGTGGTTGACCAGGCGATCGTTGCGCGTTCAGTTGACATAGATTGTTGGCTTAATAGACGCTAGTTTCGCTCAACGACACTCACGCTGAAATGATGGTTGGAACGAGCGTCTCTGAAAGTGGCAAAGAACACCAGAACCACCGTGTTTCCCATTTCTTCATGCACAGTATCTACATTGTTCTATTGTGGTGAGTTTTTTTCTTTTTTTTTTGGGAGAGTGTTGGTGTAGAAAAAGAACGGTGTTGGCTGTTGAAATAACAATGAGGCAAAAAGCCAACAGCTGTGGGATAGTGATGTTGAATTGGGGTTTAATATTGTACGTTGGAGGTTGGAAAGACAAGACCTTATCAAGGTCATCATCAGACCAAAGTATTTTGGATGTGTATTGCTTGAGGATTGTTTGCCATGCAATGTATTTAGGAGCGCACTGAAAGATGTGATGCGCCTTGTCCTCGCATCGCTCACGACATCCAGCCATGTTACAATGAGGTTCCTGCTTCCAGATCTTATGACGTAGAGTCCCACAGGGGAGCCAATCCCTTTTAAACCTCCACCACATGGTCCTGGCCCGGTGTGGTATCTTTGCGCTCCAGAATTGGCGCCATTGTTTCGAGGTTCCCGTCTCTGGCAGGGTTGATGAGTTTGGGTCTGGTGGTGTGTCCTGCCTCAGAAAGGCTCGGTGTTTGTTCGTAGCTGATTCCAGTGTAATGGGATTACTGTCGTTCGGGATCAAGACAGAGGAGGGGATGCATTGTGCCAGTGTATCGTTCTGTGTGATCTTGGGTGGGTTCGAGAGCGCTTGTTGCATACTGTGACGCATCCGACGACGTTCTTGGTAAGCTTGGATCCCTAGTTCCACCTGGGCAAGGCGGAGCTTAGGGGAAAGGTGCTGACCAGTTGGAGTAGCCCATTGTTGTCTGCAGAAAACTGGGAAATCTCTTCCACTCGGAGTCTGAGGGCCTTGATGGTGGTGTCTGTCGTTCCAAACCACCACTCGATCGGTGAGAAGGCAAGTGTTATGGAGTCAGGCAGGGAGTCAACAAGGGCCAGTGCTTTGAGGGAAGGAAGGAAGGACGCCGCGGAACACCCATCGTTGCAGGCCGGGGAATCCTGCCAAAAGAGATCTGTACTGTCCATCCAACGGTGTTAGGAGGAAGGCAAGGCGGTGAGAAGTTTTGATTCTCCGTTGGATGATATCAAGGATGACGTCCTTTACCCCAAGAGACGTTATTTGCGAGAGCATTGCGGATATGCATGACGCTCATGGAAGCCTTGAACTTGTGATGAACCATATCGGCGCATGAGTGCAAAGAAAGCCGCAATGTGAGATTGTAGGTAAGAGAAAGCGATTGAGGATTAAACGGACAAGAAAAGAACACTTTGTCAGTGGGTGGACGAACCCTCGTATTGTTTCAGCAACTAGGCTGCATGGGACCAATGTCTGCATTTCCAGGTCGAACACCAAACTCTTGCAAACAGCAAATTGTTACGTGTCCTCCTGGATCTCATGCACCAACACCCAGATTCCATGTCAATGGTAAACACGACGCTATGCAAGACGGAGTTTAACTGCATGGTCTCATCCAGGGTGGCTGACATTAAGACGACGTTCCCGTAACTCTATTTCCAGATCGAATCTCCTTCCATTAAGGGTTGGGGCTATCCTTCTGGATCTCATGGACCAACGCCCAGATTCCATGTCAGAGTGAACCACATGGTCTCATCCAAGATGGCTGTTGCAGCAACGTCAGAAAGGGAACAATCTTCAATCTTTACTTATCTTGCAAATGTAGAAGAAACAGTGAGGGGGAGAGAGAGAAAGGTTGTGTGAGAATGTGCGGGGGAAGAGGGAGAGAGAGAGTGTAACGCCACCCGCCCCTTAACTTGATGACGCTAAGTAGTGGTTTTTTTTTCCGCCATTCTCACACGACAGGCATGTCCTTCGTAGCCCACTCTGTCGGCAAGCGCAACGCGTTCACTTACGAGTCGACGATACTCGACGAAGGATCAACTTCTCTCAACAGCAATTCAACTACGCTCATCAACGAACCCAATGTACCCATCAGCAACAGTACTACATCCTTCAAGCAGCCTTAAGCCCTGGTGATCAGTTCCCCGGCCACCTTACCTCATCGTCTCCTTCTACCGCCTCCTTGGCCAATATTTCTAGCGTCAAGATGCACCCCCGCTCAAATGTGTCCACGCTCATTCAGCAGTCGCGTCCCGTATACATAATGCCATCTCCTGCCCCAACTCATGCCACTCTTTCCTCGCCTCCGCGCACAAGTCGAAACGTCCCTGCCGACGACAACAGCGATAACAACCACGACGACTACAACCAACAGATCATCAAGACATTTGGCTACAACCCCAACGACATCAACAGCATTATTGACTTCGTCGACAAAAACATTGATCGCAGTCTCCTCAACGACGACAGCAGCAAGAAAAAGAGGCAAAGGCAAAAGAGCTATACGGGGATTTCAATCCAACTCCTTCTGGTTCAAGGCGGGTGTAGACGAGATTATCGACTGGTACAGCGACCAGGAGAACTATAGCAAGCTGCAGGTCGTAAGCCCGGCGCATGGCCATAAGAAAATCGATCTCCACAATAAGTTGGTTGCTACTCTTGGACGCCTGGGTATTAAGTGGGGTACAAGACAAATCAAGGATAAACTATACCACATCGATATGGCGTTTCGCAAAGCCGCGGGGCTTTGGCGAGTTGGACTGACAGGCAGAAACAACAAATCAGCCAAGGCCGAGCAGCTTCTGGTCTGTCCGTACTTCGATAAACTCAGCCGAGTCCTATCCACGAGTGCTGCGGAGAACCCTCCTCCCTTTCGAGTATCGGGCCGCCGAGGACAGGATATTATCCAGGACGACGATGTTCATGTGGTCGGCGAGGACGACGAGGAGGTTATTGAGAACCATTTCGCCGTTGTTGAGGATGAGTTGGAAGAAAACATTGGTGGTCGTGCGTGAGGGTTCGCCATATTCCAGTTGGCCTCAGCGTCAGCTGTTTACCCTCCATCTGGATGCTCGAGGCAAATATTGTGCAGAATCATGCACGGAACGATCCATTTTGAGACCTTGGAGACCTCCTTTCTACTGTTGATCTTGACAGGAAGGCACTGTAGAGACTGCCACTTGAGTTTCAACCACCCAAAAGCGTGCTCGACCTTGACTCGCGCCGATCCATGGGAGACGTTAAATTGACGCTCATCCTGAGGGGACGTCATTCCCCTTGAAGCGTGTGATAACAATCTCGAGCAAGGAGTAGCCTGCATCTCATCCTCCGCAAAAAAAAAATCGGCACTGTAGCGGTAGAGCCTGATGCCTTTGTACGCGGGAGAGACATTCAAAGAACCGACGTAACCGGTGGACACATACAGGAAGCGGCCTCGATGATCGCAAACAGCAGTACAGCCCATCGCGTAGACGCGCTTGCGGGTGTTCCAGGAAATGGTGTCATATACCGGAGCTGACTCGAACGAGAAATAGACACCGTCCACCACTCCCATGCAATTGGGGAAGTTCTTAGCATACTTGAACCACGTCTTTATCTCGCATTTTCTTTTGGAGAAACATAACGGGTTGATAAAGTATTAATAAAGATTTTGAAGAATGAACAAAGCTCGATACCTTCCAACTCCTTACATACCGTTCATAGTCGGGCCAGACAATAAACCGCTCCTCCATTCTCTCGATCGCCTCAATCCATCAACGGGGTAAACAAGTCGACTGACCTTTGTCCAGCACCCATCGTGAACGCAGTTTTGTACGTTGAAATTCCCTTTGATCCCAGACGGTAGAGTGCCACAGTGAGCTGGACCCGGACTGGAGCTTGGGTGCGCAGCGAGTTTGCGCTCTAAAATACGGGGTGGTCCTGGATAAGATCTGAGAGAATCTGGAACTGAATCGGCGTAATTTTTATGACCCTCTCAAACGCGACGGCGTCATACCCTGGCAGGATCTCGTCCCTCAACCGCGGAAGAGGGCAGACGGGGTACGAGGACGAAGGTAGCGCCTGGCATGTAGCTCTTGGAGCCTGTCGAACCAGAAGATTGGAATGGTCGGCGGGATAATATGACCAGCTTCAAGGAGGGTCTTCCAGTGTTCAAGGGCCACGAAAAAAACATGGCCCCAACAGTGCTGATGACGCTCTGGCGCTCAGATGGTTAGTGCTTAGAAAAATGAGGCATGGTATCGGTGGAAGGGGTGAGGGGAAAGAAGTGGAGTCAGAGGCATAATTTCATTCCCTCCTTGATGAGGTTCACCCAATCGGGTCAAGGTCGACGATCGCGTGTTCACAGGGCTGGAGAACAAAGGAGGTTAAACAAGCAGTGAAAATGGCAATCCTGATAAATGCACAGAGACCTCTGTTCCTTGGTTAAGATCCCCTCGTGCATTGACTCTCCCTTTTTGTTTGGTGGCAAAAGGTTACTTCATTCGATCTGCACTGCTAGTCTGCTGGTGCTGGTTGAGAAGGCAAAGAAGGGATGATGATGCATACTGATAACCGCTGGGCGAAGCCATCGAAGCTAGCTGATCAAACCTCCGTTGAGACTGACCGTGACTTTCGCATTGGTGCTGTAAGCCAGGTCTCTACAAAGCTGATATTTCGACGGTTGAGGATCATCTCAATCTCAATCAACGCAAAACAACCCAACCCACCAGACCAATTATTGTGGAAAGAGCTGACTGTCGAAGGATCAAGGAATGAGAAAAAGGAAAGGGAATGAGAAAGGAGAAAGAAGAAAGGAGAAGAGGCGAAAAGGGTGGGTGTGCGAAGTATATATGAACAAGGAGCTATGAAGGACGAAATAAAATAAAAAAGAGAGAAAGGTTCGAAAGGACAGCGTTCTGTTCCTCCAAATTATCTAAGAAAAAAAGGGGCAAGGACAAGAGCGTGTGGCAGTGAGCCAACACTGATTCTCTTCACTTGGAAGAAAAGGCGCAACCTTAAATCAGAGCAGAGGGACAAAGGAAGGGAAGGGTCTGTCCTGAAAGAAAAGAAAAAAGAGAGGGTTCTGAAGGTGTGTCTACAATTCATCTACGGAGGGTCTTTTTCTCTCTCAGTAAAAAACAAAACAGAAAAAAAGTGCGATTGCTCGATGAAAAGCAAGTTCCCCATCGTTCGATGATGATTGATCGTCATTCCACCAAGGCAGAGGAGAGGGGGAGAACACGCACGTTTCTCCATCCAAGCGCGAATGCCAACACTGTTCCATTTTTCGACTGTCGGCTCTTTATTTATAAAAATTAGAGTTAAAGGGGGAGACGCCGCTTTTTTTTCTGCGTGTTATGTATGGTATAAGTGGGGGAGAGAGAGGGGCCGAGGAGGGAAGGACGAAAAAGGGAGCGAGGGGTGTTGTTATGCCGAAGTGGAAGGTTGTGAAGAAGCCGCAGCAGGGGAGTAGTGTTGAGTTCCAGGAGTAGAAGTGGTTGCTCCTGGTGATGGTTGGGGGCTAGGTTGTGGTTGTTGCTGTTGCTGCAGGGGCGCGGGTTGGGCAAAGCTCTGGAACTGTTGTTGCTGCCCAGTGTACAGATAAGGTTGCGCCGCTACCCCTGGTGTTCCTGCTGTTGGGTTGAGGTTGTTGGATTCATTAGTGGGAAGGGGACCGATTATGTTGGAATGTTGTTGCTGTTGCTGTTGTTGTTGCAATGGTGCTGGCTGTTGGTAGTAGTAGTTCTGTTGAGGCTGGAGAAGGGGCTGAGGTGCGACGAGTCCCGGTTGCTGAGCATAGAGGATTTGGGGTTGCTGATGGGCCGGACTGACGATCATGACTTGCGCATTGTTGTTGTATCCCAGCGACCCATAGAGACTGTTCTTGGGCTGGAGGGGTCCCCAGGCATAAGCCATCCCAATCTCAATCAGCGAGAAGAGACCCGTGACAGCGCAACCAAAGTAAACGACCCAGCGAAGGACGCACTCGAGTTCTCCGCACTGAAAGGAACTCCTGCTCGATGACGAGGTTCCGGAGTAACGGGTGAGCTCTCGGTTGATGGCGTCGAAGGCGATACCCATGAGGGTGAGGCAGGGGATGAGCATCCAAAAGACCCGCATATGTTTTTCCTGGACTCGTTTGCCGCGGAAGCTGTAGACGTAGGAGACAAAGAGGATGGCGGAGAAGATGATAATTGCCCAGTCCTTGACGGTCATCCATGGTGGTTCTGTGTAGTTGAACGAATTGTGGTAGGTGCGGTAGGCGTAACAGCCGGTGATGGTGCCGATGTTGATGAAGGAGAGGAGGACGAGCCATATCCTCATTCCCCGTAGTTCGCTGTTTCCCATTATTTGGTTATAGTTGTTGATGTGAAGAGAGAGGCTGGGGCTGTAGTGAAAGGAAAGAATCAAAAATGAAAAGGAAGACTTACGGGGGGTTTTTATATGGTTTTCATTTGTGACTTTCACCCCAGAGGGGATCTAATTATTGCTTTTCTTAAAAGAATAGTTACCTTATGCCGTGCGACTTTTACCTCGTCTTGTGGTGACTTGGTATACGTGATGCATAGCCGAGGGTGCCGGGATCGAAGGGGAGACTGAGCACAAGGGAGAGTTCAAACGTGAGGTGGTCCAGCGAGAATGATAAAGGTTCGCGATCGACCGTTATAGAATTATACCTTGTTGACTACGTGGTCGCGCTTGATGGTTAAAAGTCAAACTTGCGAACGTGTAACAGCCTTGCTTTGGCGATCGATCTTCATTCCGGCTTTACATTCTACTTAGAATCCGTCATGGATATGGACTTGATTGAAGTTGCCTTACAGGCGAGGTATTCGTTTAAACTGATCTAAAAGACAAAGAAAAAGGGGGAGGGTACAGTAGGTATGAGATCGACCCCAACGTGAACCCGAATGTTAATTGGTCAAGTAAATCTATCAATGGCGAAAAATCGCGGATCCATTATAAAAAACGCGTACCTGGTGATTTAGGGTTCTAGCGGCCATGGTTTCCATCATACTCTTTCACGACCAGAACGTGCGCGATTGGCACTCCGGACTCGTACTAAAGAAACGACGATATTCCCTTTTATTGGTTATTACTGTTGTTTATTAGCCGGTGGCTGTGTTCGTTTATGTGAATGGTGAAGAAGGGATGTACTGAATCCATATTTGTTGTAGAGATGACAGACCGCAAGTGTGACTTCGAGTGTTCTTTTTGTCAGGATGGTAAACTGATGAGCTGCTTTTGTTATTGTATTGTTGCCATTTGTTGGTCATGAAAAGAACAAAGAGAGGCGTTGGCGCTTGCTATGTTGTTTTTTTGTGGCAGAGAGGGTTGCAGGTAGTGCTTAGAAATCATGACCCCATTTGGAAAGCATCGTAAGAAAGCATGACCATACATATGCATTGAGAAAAATCATTTCCTTCCTTGTTCCTTCGACTCCACACGAGAACTGATAATCAATCTCCTTTGCACTTTGAGATTGGGAAGACAAAATAAAACAATACACAACAAATAACAAAACAAAAGAAACAGTGGACAATGACCACCAGTGTTGTATTAACTCTCCTCTTGCAAGGTAAAACCATACCACGCTCCTGGGAAGGGAGAACCCACTCATAGATGATCTGTCACCACAGTTGGTCTTGGCACCTGAGGGTCAAACTCCTCCTCCTTCTCCTCCTCCTTCTCCTCCTCCTCCTCCTCCTCCTGTAGTTGCGGCGGTTGTTGTTGTTGTGATGGTGGACGCGGCTGCTGTGGTTGTGGTTGTACATGCACTTGTCTTGGCGGCATAGGAGGTGGATATCCCATGAAGGCATCTAAAGGTGGTTGCATGTCGAGCTGTCGGCGTACGAAAGGGGCTCCTGCGCCTACCGATGGGATGTTATAAAACATGAACGGTTGTGGGGCTCGTAAGGGTAGTGGGGCATGTGAATAGTTGTCGCGAAGTGGTGCTCGATGGTCAAACACTTCTTCTGGTAATGCGTGTAACAGTTGCTGAAGAGGTTGTGGTCCAGGAGCGGCCGTAGGATACATGCTGCTGGCATGGATTGGTGTATTCTGTTTGGGGGGCAACAGCAAGAAGGGTTGGTCCGAAGTCGAGATCTGTTGATTGCCACCACCACCGCCATGCGGATCCTGTAGCTGCTGCTGGTCTTGTTTGGTCATCGGGATCTCTGGAGGTCGAATATAGTCTACATTGACGCCCTCGGCGTACCCGACATTCGGTATATACGATTGGTGGTAGCCCTTGGGCAGCATAGGTCCCTTCCTGAAGGTGGCGTAAATCTCCAGAATGGCGAAGAATCCCGTGATAATGCTGAAGAAGTAACTGAACTCGACGACGCCACAATACATCCGTTCCAGTCCACTGAGGTAGGCGCAGTCGAAGGGTGTAGGTGGACCATCGGTCATAGGATAATCGAGACCCAGGACTAGGTGGATGTACTGGATCCCAACAAACAATACTAACACCGTAGGGATCAGCAGCAAAAGCGCGCGGAGGCTCTTGTGAAGTCGAGTGGTGATAACCTTGTAGGCATATATGTAGGCGAGAAAGAGTACTGAGGAGGAGACGATCAGAGTCCAGTCCTGCCAGAGAAAGAATTTGTTGTTTTTGAAAGTCGGTCCTTTGCCGATGTAGTTGTAGATGCGGTAGTTGCGAAAATTACTCCAGTATTTCCCTTCGGCATAGTGGATGGTCATAAAGACCAGGTTGGTGAATGTAAGGATGATCATCCAACAACGTAGGGCACGAAGGCCCGTCGATGCCATTTACTGAAGAAGAAAGAGTTGAAAGAGGAGGATGTAAGAGGATGGGTGATGCGGTGTGAAAGAAGAGGAAAAGAAAGATTACTTGCAAAAGAAATGAATGGAAAGAAAAATGATGACCGAGATGAGTACAAAGGCGACAACAGAGGGGAACTTGCATGAGGAAACAAACGGGTGCTTTCTTTTGTCCAAATTTGGACATCCACAACGAACAACAGGGCGCATACAGGAAAGTCGACAACCAACCATGTTGTGAAGAGGGAGGGAAAGGGTACACCTATCTCACCACCACCTTGCGCTCATAGTTGCCAACCACCCCATATTGTTTTTGGGGCTTTGTCAATGTGGGGTGGTATGGTGCTGTTTGAACGACGGTAGTACTAGCAGGAGGACGCTGGTCGTATTCATCTTGTTGGATCCGTGTGGGTGGGGATGGTGCTGTTCGAACGACGGTAGCATTAGCAGGTGGTCGCATGTCAAATTCCTGTTGGATCCGCGCGGGTGGGTAGACTGATGGTGGTCCTGCTGCGGTTTCTTCTGGAGTAGGGTTCGGTAGTGGCATTCTATAGTAGGCGGGCTCGTGCTCGATCTGCGCACGAGCAGGTAGGTACGATATTGGCGGTCCTGCTGAGGCCTGAACCGAGTGCGGGTTCGCAAGAGGTATGCGATTATCATACATCTGGTCTGGCATAGGTAGTCGTGGTGGTGGCTGATACTGTGCCCCAGGTGTGTACGTCTCGTATGCTTGTGCTTGTACTGAGTGCTGGTTTGGAATAGGTGTGCGATTATCATATATCTGGTCTGGCATAGGTGGTCGTGGTGGTGGCTGATACTGTGCCCCAGGTGTGTACGTCTCGTATGCTTGTGCTTGTACTGAGTGCTGGTTTGGAATAGGTATGCGATTATCATATATCTGGTCTGGCATAGGTGGTCGTGGTGGCGGCTGATACTGTGCCCCAGGTGTGTACGTCTCGTATGCTTGTGCTTGTACTGAGTGCTGGTTTGCAAGAGGTATGCGATTATCATATATCTGGTCTGGCATAGGTGGTCGTGGTGGCGGCTGATACTGTGCCCCAGGTGTGTACGTCTCGTATGCTTGTGCTTGTACTGAGTGCTGGTTTGGAATAGGTATGCGATTATCATATATCTGGTCTGGCATAGGTGGTCGTGGTGGCGGCTGATACTGTGCCCCAGGTGTGTACGTCTCGTATGCTTGTGCTTGTACTGAGTGCTGGTTTGGAATAGGTGTGCGATTATCATATATCTGGTCTGGCATAGGTGGTCGTGGTGGTGGCTGATACTGTGCCCCAGGTGTGTACGTCTCGTATGCTTGTGCTTGTACTGAGTGCTGGTTTGGAATAGGTATGCGATTATCATATATCTGGTCTGGCATAGGTGGTCGTGGTGGCGGCTGATACTGTGCCCCAGGTGTGTACGTCTCGTATGCTTGTGCTTGTACTGAGTGCTGGTTTGCAAGAGGTATGCGATTATCATATATCTGCTCTGGCATAGGTAGTCGTGGCGGTGGCTGATACTGTGTCCTGGGTATGTACTTCTCGTATGCTTGTGCTTGTACTGAGTGCTGGTTTGGAATAGGTATGCGATTATCATATATCTGGTCTGGCATAGGTGGTCGTGGTGGCGGCTGATACTGTGCCCCAGGTGTGTACGTCTCGTATGACTGTGCTTGTACTGAGTGCGGGTTCGCAAGAGGTATGCGATTATCATATATCTGGTCTGGCATAGGTGGTTGTGATGGTGGCTGATACTGTGTCCTGGGTATGTACTTCTCGTATGGTTGTGCTTGTACTGAGCTAGGGTTTGGAAGTGGTGCTCGAGTGTCGTATATCTGCTCTGGTGGGAGTTGTTGTTGAAGCAATGGAGATGGTTGGGCTGGGGTGGTCGGTTTTTGTTGCTCGGGTGTATCTAATGTCGCCTTGCCCTGTTCTGAGGATGAGAGCAACATGGGTTGGTCCGAGATGGCGAACGAAGTGAACTGCTGTGGGGACAGGGTCTGCTGCTCGCAGGGTCCGACGAATTCCACGGTTGCGCCGGCACCATTTCCTCCGTTGGATTCATACGAGTGGTTCTCCTTGGGCTGCATGGGTCCGTTCCTGATGGTGACATAGATTTCCAGCAAGCCAAAGAGTCCAGTGAGGATGGCAAAGAAGTAAGTAGCCTCAACCACTCCACAATAGGCCCGCTCTAGTCCACTGAGATAATTGCAAGCAAAAGGGGAAGGTGGTCCGTGATTCCTCGGGAACTCGAGTTTGAGAACCAGGTGAACATATTGGATCCCCACAAACAACATCAACACCGTTGGTATGACCATCAACAACGCCCGGAGGTACTTGTGAAGTCGAGTAGTGATGACCTTGTAGGCGTATATGTAGGCGAGAAAGAGGGCCGAGGACGAGACGATCAGAACCCAGTCCTGCCAGAGAAGGAATTTCTCTCGCTTGAGAATGATGCTGTTATTAGTGCCGGTACCGTTGTAGACGAAGAAGTTGCGCCAGTTGTCCCAGTACTTTTGTTCGGCGTAGTGGGAGATGATAATGACGAGGTTGATGAATGTTAGGATGAGCATCCATATCCGCATCGTTCGGAGTCCAACGGTCGCCATTGTTAGAAGAGCCAGAGTGTGAGAGAAAAAGGGAAGGAGGGTGAGAAGGAAGGGAAGTTTGGGACGAGGAAAAGGGGGAAGAGGGGATGATGGGTGTTGACAGTCGGTTATGAAGATAGAGACAGGAAAGTGAAAAAAGGAAGGAAAGGCATAAAAGAGATAAAGAAAAGACAGGAAAGAACAAACAAAAAAGATCTACTTCGCCATGACCATGACACAAAGATACACCCCACTCGCCAACGCAACAATAAAAATGGATGTCAACCCTGTGACACATAACTCCGTTTGTGTTTGCATTCCCTCGTAGCCTTCCAATTTCCAAGGGACTGTGCCACACCCACATAAATAGGCCAATTGGTTGAACACGACTCCTTATTTTTTTTTTTTTTTTTGACAACCCCTCTTTCTTTTTCTCTCTCTCGCTCTCAACTCCAAGAGACAAAAGCACCATCTGATAGGAGGAAAATGGAATGGCGAGGGCTATGATCAAACATAAACCTCTGTTGCGGCCATTGTTATCAGTTGAAGCGAGAGGAATAGAAAAAAGGGTATGTTGGAGGGAGGAACGCTGGTGGGGAAGAGGCTCCTGGAAGGAGCGACAACAGCGACTCACTCAAAAGCACAAACACACAAACCAAAATTAAGGCGAGCTGGAGAAGCGTCTGGCGTTTTGATCCAAACATTAAATAAGATTTGTCTTCGACTGCAAAACGCTTACAAACGAACTCGACTACAGTCAAGACACGACAGCAGCTCGCCGACCAGAAAAAAAGGATTTTCATTAAAGAGAACTATTATGTGTGATGAACTACACCTGGGTCATTTGGGGGTTGACTGTTGATAACCGCACCATTATCCTCCGAATCGCGATCTGGTTGAGGAAGAGGCTAAGACCTTTGTACAGGGACCTGCTCGACAGGGGCCTTGTCGTCCACAACAACACCCTTCTTTGATCTCAACGGCCCCTACCGCCAACACACATGCGCCTATAATAATATTCATAATATTCATAACCGACTCGACCAGGTCAAATAGCACGTAACATTTGTCGACAGGCAACTCAATTGGAGGTTGCGCAAGAAAGGGGTGAAAAGTGTCCAATGAAAAGGAGAGAGACACAAAAAAAAAGAAGGTTGACAACAACAATGTTTATTTGTGTTTACCTTTTGGTGGCGGTCTAATTGAACAACCAAGACCCGCCTTTTATTTCTTTACCATCTTGCCTTTTTTTCTTCTTCAGCAACTACAACAACATCCAACATCATCCTCCACCAATTCAACTTGCATCATCTAGACCTTCTTGCATGCGCCACAATAAACAACCGTCCGATCACTTTCCATCAACTCATTGACCCAACTCGCATTCCTGATGTAGACCAACAGTTGAACAAGCCCTTTGTTTTATTACGTTCTAGTGCTACTGATGTGTAGAGTGAGGAGGGTAGTTCTGTGGGTTGGATGAGGCGACTTGTTGTGGTGGTGGTTGGTATTCAACAGAGGAAGCGACTGGAGAGTGTGAGTACGACGCTGTTGAATAAGGCGCCGTTGTTGTTGTCGTGGGAACTCCCGACACTGTTGGGTAGTGATGCAGTTGCTTATGGTGGTAGTTGTTCCTTTGCTAGACCTGTGGTTGTTGGTATTGGGGGTTGGGGTCGAGTGCCACAGACTGGTGATACCATTGCTGCTGTTGTGGAAGCGGTTGCTGTAGAATGGGTGCCTGCTGCTGCATAGCTGGATAATACGCCTGCTGCTGCTGTTGTAGTACTGGCTGATGGCCATAATATCCCTGCTGCTGTTGTGACTGATCAGGACTAACAACAATAACATTCGCATCCTGCGCATATCCGCCGCCAACTCCTCCAAACAGATGCCCCTTCTCCACCAACGGTCCCCACACCAGCGTCATCACAACCTCGCACAGCACAAAAAAGTCTATAATAATCGACGTAAACATCGACGACCAGGTCATCAAACACAAAGGTCTAAGCCCACAATGGAACCTCTCCTCATAATCCCATAAAGCTTGGCGGAGGTACATTACCACTCCAACACAATCAAAACATGTCTCATGCTACCCCCCGGAGCGCTTTGACCAAACGAAAGGCCGATGGAGATTCTTTCGCCGATGGTGGAAAGAAATATAAGCTTCGGTTCGCTATCGGAGGTGAAATCATCCCCACACCTTCACTTCCACCACAGCCCATACCTTCACTTCCACCACGGCCCACTCTTAAACGTCACGAGAGCACCATTGTGAGTCCTCTCCACATTGAACATGTCAGCAATTTTTTTTCTGGCCCGTTTACAGCTACGCACCAATCAAGACGGCGTGCTAAGAATGACATCGACATTGTCGGTGACGACCAACAACCTGACCCAACTGTCGAGGCCAACCAACAACACATCCGCATTATCGGTGACGACCAACAACCTAGCGAAACTGTCGAGACCGACCATCAACCTGACAACACTGCTGACTACACTGTCGACGCCGACCAACAAGCCATGCCTTCCTCTTCTGTCCCTGACGATCACAAAATGTTGAAGATAAAGGTCATCGACGCCGCCTACATCATCCCTGACAAGATTATGGAGGTTGATTATGATGATACCGTTGCGCATCTCAAAGACCTGATCATTCTCTCATTCCTTAAGGAGGCCTTTCACGTCCAAATTATCATATGGTGTTTGTTACATCTCTGTAGATCTCGACAATATCCATAGCGACTATGGGATGAGAATGTACATATGATACCAAGCATATAAGACAACCATTGTAACATTTTTTGTTTAACTATCCTACTAAACACCAACCTATTCTCCAAGCAACAAAGTCTTCTTATTTTTCGCACACCACACTCTTGAATGTGTCCATCTACTATTAACCTGTAACCCTCACTGCAAGATTCGCCAGAGTAGTTCTTGTATGTGATCATCTAAAGCACTTGTATTCTCAACTGTATCTTTGGGGCGAAATACAGGGGAGAGATTACATTATAAAAATTCTTGTGCTGTCTATTGCTATTTTATTCCGTGTTCTGTTGCCCACTATAAAGAGATATGTCAGCTATGAAAGTCAACACTCCGTTCCTTGGGCTTTGGATATTTTTTATATGCCTTTTTATATCCTCTGCACATGAAGGGGCCGCTAAGGAGACAACGCTTGACCCTCGCAGAATCCGTCTGACTTTCAATTCGAACAATGTTTGTGCTTCCACCTTGCCTCAGGGACGAAGATCGATAGGTCATTTGTGGATCCGTGAAAACACGCGACTTAGGGATTACTTTGGAGGTGAGCATGATTACCGTCGGGATAAAAAGAATGCAGTGAAAGTCTGTGTTGAAGTCCGGATCCTCCCATCTCTCAAGTAGATCTAGTCCCGTGTCTTTTTAACTATGGAGTACCAGCCGAGGCATTGCTTTACCTTAGTGGTGCTTGAAATAAATTCTACTCAGTCATTTAAAAAAAAAAAAAAAAAAAAAAACTTTTCTTCTTCATTCCTTGCCACCGCACAACACACTAGGCAGAAATAAATAATTCCAGCGCAAAAGGGTGGAAACAAAGCACTTGCTTCCGGTGAAAATGGTGGAAACACAGCACTTGCTTCCGGTGAAAATGGTGGAAACACAGCACTTGCTTCCGGTGAAAATGGTGGAAACACAGCACTTGCTTCCAGTGAAAACGGTGGAAACAAAGCACATTCGCTTCCAGTGAAAACGGTGCAAACAAAGCACTTGCCAACGAAAAGGGTGTCTCTCGCCCTGTCACGAAAAAAAAAATTCAAGCTGGGGAAAAGGGCGTAATCAAAAAAAAGTAAAAGGAAAAAGGGTGTTCCTCACCGTGTCAAAAATAAGTAACAGCGCCACCAAAAACAAAATTCGCTGTGTTCGCTGAGTGTTCGCCGAGTGTTCGCTGAAAAAAATAATTTGGCTGAGTGTTAGCCAAGTGTTAGCCAAGTGTTAGCCAAGTGTTAGCCAAGTGTTAGCCAAGTGTTAGCCAAGTGTTAGCCAAGTGTTAGCCAAGTGCTAGCCAAGTGTTAGCCGACTGTTCGCCGAGTGTTTACCGACTGTTCGCCGAGTGCTTACCGATTGTTCGCCGAGTGCTTACCGATTGTTCGCCGAGTGCTTACCGATTGTTCGCCGAGTGCTTACCGATTATTCGCCGAGTGCTTACCGATTGTTCGCCGAGTGCTTACCGATTGTTCGCCGAGTGTTTACCAATTGTTCGCCGAGTGCTTACCGATTATTCGCCGAGTGTTTACCAATTGTTCGCCGAGTGCTTACCGATTGTTCGCCGAGTATTTACCAATTGTTCGCCGAGTGTTTACCAATTGTTCGCCGAGTGCTTACCGATTGTTCGCCGAGTGTTTACCGATTGTTCGCCGAGTGTTTACCGATTGTTCGCCGAGTGTTCACTGATTGTTCGCCCAGTGTTCTTGTTTTCGCCGCACGATTTCCCAAGGGAATGTTCGCCCCTGCTCACTTTTGGAAAGCAAATTCAGAGAAGCATTTTTTTGCATCCAGAAGAAAACGGATGCGTCCAGAAGGAACTCTTTGCTGACTAGCAGGCAAGAAGTTAATGTGCGAAAAATTTATTTCGAAAAGTTCTGAGAGTTCCTCGGCAAACGATCTACCAGGAAAGCCGGGCCATCTCCTGTGTCAGCTGCGGGACAACCACCTTTTCATTGCAATTCTTCAGACCACCGTAGACATGATCAGCAAGCGAATTCAACAACTCCTCCAGGCCAAGGGATCTTTTCCGATCAAAAATCCTTATCTCTTCATTGTCTTGAAACAATTCCAAGATCTCCCGAAGGAGCTTTTCAACGTCCTTGCCAATCTTAACCTGACTTAACAGATTCGACACCAACTCCTTTTTCAAAACGGTTTCTTCTCCTTGTACGTGCACTTCCTTGGCGAGACGGCCCAGAAACGACGACACCAAACAAGCATCTCCTGATCCCTGCGAGACAATACCCAACGTGAACACCGTGACCACTTTCGCCAACATCATGGTTCTGATAAAATGGCTGGACGCCCGCGCCATCAGATAGGTCTCCCTCCAACAAAAGCGGGATCGAAGCTGTCGGAGGTTTTCGACTTCGAACCGTGGAGTGATTTCGTGGGAGGCAATTTTCGACGCCCGGTCAAGAGAGCGCTGATCGATGAAGATTCGGATGTCGCTGCTTCCGTAGAGGGGAAAGGCGCTGGAACAACACCCTGCAGTGAACGCGCGTTCGGACGGGGAGTCCTTGCCCAATCGCCAAAGCTGAGTGACAAGGAGGTTGAAGCCCTTGCAACCAATGACGAGACGATGGTCTAACTTGTCATGTTGGATGCGACATATGGTGGCGTGAGGGTATAACCCCAATGTTGAAGGCTGTGAGATCGATGAAACGCTATCACCGACGCTAACAGCCTTTTCTCGATGAATATCAACACCGGGATCTCGTCCGTATGATTCTGCAACCAGACAAATAGCTCCGTTCTTATTGCGGGGATTGAAGATTACACAGCCTGCGAACAGAACAGCCGTGGCGTATCTCAAGGCCGGATTTAGAAACCAACAGCCATAAAGTAGCTCGTCCCACACTTTTGGGAGGTACTCGTCTTGCGGAATCTCGACCCAGCTTGTGGAAGACAGCAATTTAAAGTAGGGTGAATCAGACAAAAGCGACAACAGACCTTCGTCAGGCGTGTCTCGAGAGGGTGCATCGAGAGAACCAAGATCCCGGCCTGACATATTCACGCTGAAGCTAACGTTTCTAATGCGCCCATTAGAGCTTGTAACAACCACTTCGGTGGGCGTCCAGAAACGCTTTGTCACAACTGACAGCAAACTGGGTGATAAAGGTCCTGTTTTAAAGTCCAAACCAAGAAAAAGAAATAAATGTCAGAATCAAAAAAAAACCCCCCCCCCCCCCAGCTACAACAGCACGACGAAGTCCGCAAGCATGATAAGACGTACTTTTTTCAGAAGGTCTTGGACCATCATGTGGAAGCAAACTGACTAAAAGTTAAAAGAGAGACAAGCAAAACGACGCATAGAAAGTACCATCAGGACAAAATTACCACAACAATGGATGTTAGCTTTAGACAACGTAGAGTTCTCGAGAGTACTCACCAGATTCATCGGTCTCTTGCTTCATTTCAGGAGGATCGACAGTTCCACATATTCCCTCAATGCCTTGAATAGCAACGGATGCCACAACATCATCATCTAGAAATCATTGACAAAGAAAGCTGATTAAAACCCCGCACAAAACAACTTGCACGTATTTCGACATTTCATTGTTTTTCAAAACAAAAACTTACCAGATATATCAGAGAAGCTAAACGACACATCATCAACGAGAGTTTCCTCTCTATTTGAATCAGGGCGATTGAGCGAAGCAGAGGGATTCTCCAGCAAAGCAGAAGCAGCGGCACCAACTGAAAATGATGTTAAAACTCAATTCAACGTTGTTCGCCTCTTCATGGTTATGATCATTGCTGATTGATGTTTCCCTTACATTTGGCATCATGGACAAGGGAGGCAGTCAAGGTCAAGCCCTCTTCGGTGAAAACTAGTTTTTGAAAGAAATGAAAACAAAATGTCGTGTGAATAAGAGATCCGGAATGATTTGTTTGCAAAAATACATCAAAAACTTACACTGGTCGCAGCGCATGGCAAACATGGTTTTTCAAAAACAATCTTCTGTTTTGAAAAATCTTGTCGCAAGACTGACATTGCAAGACAGGAGTCATTGACTTGTCCCAAATCGGCTTCGCATGACAAACCCAAGATTCTGAGATGATCTCAGCAACAGGATGATGATGTTGTGAATGGTGCACGTAAAGTGCTTGTTTGTTGCCGAAATATGCACAGGGAGGAAAGTTGCATTTTAACACTGCGTTCTTTTCAGCAGCATTTTTTGATGATTTTTTTCCCATTGCAGTGTTCATGGTCGGAAAGACGTGAAAAAAAAAATGAAAATTGAGAAAAACAAAACCTTTCGGTTGCTTCTTTTAAAGTGAACTTCGTCTCACTGTCAAAATCAAGGGGCGAGTAAGAAGGAAACAGAAACAAAGGACCCGGTCCAAAAAGATGATGTGGCTCACTGAGTCAACTCAGGGGGCGCGTGCTTGAAGGCAACAAAAAGAAATGACCCGGTCTAAAATGACGATGTGGCTCATTGACTCAAATTAGGGGGCAAGCGCAAGAAAGGAACAGAAAGGAACGCCCTTGGACATGGGATGTCAATTGTGCAGAAAAGGAGACAAAGCTCCGCAGCCGTCTCCTTTCAGCTTGTCACTTCCAACAGCTTCTGGCTGCCTGCCTTTCACTGCAAATTGTTTGGACTGCTTGGGCTGCTTGGAGTGCTTAGACTGCTTAGAGTGCTTAGACTGCTTGGAGTGCTTAGACAGTTCACTGCGAACAAGCCGCAAATTTGTCTCAAAGAGCCACAGCATTTTCTAAAACTGATTTACCATTCCCCATGTTGACTCAATGCACCAGATCATCATTCGATTCTTTCGACGAACATCTAACCTTCTCCACATTGACAAAGACACACTCCAGGCAATCGACTCATAAAAAACGTGAAGCATGCACTTTTGACTTTTGTCAACGAATACCTCTTGAAACACCTTGGGAATCTCTAACAAGCACAGATCGACGACATTGTCGCGATTACCATGGTGATGAAAAAGACAACATTTTCGTCAATGACATGAGATTCACCCTCCAGCGATTTCCAACAGCGGAACACAAATACCATTTTGCAGGTGTGCATTCACAGAAGTTCGTGCCCTCAAGCGTCATATCATCGGTTTTCGCTGCAAGGAAACCATTCGTCCTCCATGTGACGTTTTCAACGAGAGAGCATCAAAAATCGCAACCTCTGGAAAGAGTGGCCATCATTCAGAAACATTAGATTTTTGTCCCTCGCCTATCGCCACAAAACCTCCCCATGACAAAGACACCGCATCAAAAATTACATTAGAGAAAAAACCAAAACAATGGTCGCAAATTAAAAAAAACTTTGCCTTCTGCTGTTCCTTTTTTGCCACCAATGTCTTTGCCTCTGTCTTCACCGTGTCACGACAAAAAAAATCAAACTGGAAAAGGGCGTGAACAAAAAAAAGGCACCAGCGTTTCCAAAAAAAAAGGAACAGGAAAAAGGGTGTTCCTCAGCGTGTCATTAAAAAAAATCAAAGCGCATTTCTTGCTTTTCTTGCGTCCAAAAGGAAACGGACGCATGCAGCGTCTTTTGTTGGGTCACAAACCAAATCCAGCTGGTGGAGCATGCGTTTGGTCGGATCAAGATCATTCAAGGTCACGCTGTTACCGTGATGGACGAGCCCTTCGTTTCCAAAGCTGTCGAGAACTATTTCGCCACCATCGATCTCTACTTCGCGAAGGAAGTGCGGAAACGTATGGTAAAGTCGACCGCTATTGAACAGGGATGTGTGTTTGAGCGGTTCATGATGAAGGTCTTCAGTGAAACATTCAACACACGACCTCTATCTGAGTGGCCGCATCAGCCCCCAATCTCTGATATGTGCCCAGCTCTCGTCGGCAAGGTGGAAGTTGTTGGCTGGAGGGAACCTGGACTCGAGCAAGGCACGACTCACGGGATGATGTCGATGGAGTATTTCATGGACGCTCATGTTAACCATGGGTCAACCCGCAACAACATGCCTGTCGCGCCATTTTTCTTTCCCAAATCCAAGCCGTCGGGACCAGACTTGGTTTTCTTCATTCGGATCGACGGTGCTCGATTGGTCCCTGTCTTCGTTCAGATGAAGCTGCATCAAGGGTCGTCTAACTTCTCGGAGACGGATTGGAATGACGCACTCAGCACAGTCTCGGCAGCCAATGTGGCCAGGTAGTCGAAATGGACATACATGTTCAACACTGTTGGGATGAGCATGAAGAAGGCACGGAGGAACTTGTGGAGTTTGGGGGGCCGGGTGGATTTGAGGGCGTAGATGTAGGAGAAGAAGGGGATGACGACGGAGAAGATGGCGACCCATTCTTCCCAGTACAGGATAGGCAGGATAGGGTAGAAGATCTTGGCGAGGTAGGAGTATTGGGCGGTGATGAGGAGGAGGGTTGTGGTTGTGAGGATGACGAGCCATATCCTCATCTTGCGGAGGGCTATTTTCGACATTGTGTGTTGTTGTTGTGAGTTGAAGGAGGAGAAGGAAGAAGGTCAAGGAAAGAGGTGAAATGCCAGACGATACAATTAAAAAACGGACATGGTACAGCATAGAGCTACTGTACTTGGTGTGAGCGAAAATAAAAATGACTGGTAACCAAAACTTACACTTAGAAGCAAAGTCGAAGAAAAGGAGATGTCGGTGATACAAACGAGGTTTCAAGTGGTGCCCTAGGATCTCAGGTACCCCCCAACGGGAGTTGCTCTCATTCCAGCCAGCCGTCTTTTAAACTAAAAAAGAAGGCGTACCGGTACTTGACGGCGAGTGTAAGTGACTACAGCGACCGCCGGAGGGTTGATAGGAGATCCAGGAATGAATGTCAAACGAATAAGTCATGGTCGCATCAAGGTCTCCCTGACCTACGTCTATGCATCCTCAAGGGTATTTTCTCTCATTGCCTTTACAGTATCTCTTTTATGTTTTAGGGGAGTGGACCATCCACTCCTCCTTTTTCTATTCATTAGAGCTGATAGTCGTAATAGAAGGACCTGACCAGGACCTTAATACAACCCATCCTTCACTCCTCTTGACTTATCTCTCCTCAAATAACTAAATTCTTTATCCCTTCATCAAGGTGACTGCTTCATTTTTAAGCTCATGTGCTCAAAAGTTTAAAAAAACATTCAACATCGATAGACGTCGGAAAAAGGGTTCTTGGTTTATTAGTGCGCAGGAGTAAAGGGAGAGGAGGAAGGATGGTGCTCTGATATCGACGGTTGAGAAGGCTGTGGTGAAGGCTGATATCCTGATGTCGCTGTTGCAGCAATTGGTGACTGCGTGTACTCTGAGGGAGTAGAAGGGAGGTCCTTTAATGGCGAGCCTGGTCCTTGCGGCGGCTGTTGTTGCTGCGTGACATTTGGGCCGATGAGGATGGGTTGTTGTGGAGGGTGCTGGAGTTGTTGCATATGAGGGTAATAATACTGCTGTTGTTGTTGTTGGAACTGTTGTTGCTGCTGAGGAGAATAGTACTGCTGTTGCTGCTGGTAAGGCTGATCAGGACTGACGAGGATGACATTGGCGTTCTGGACATACCCACCCTGCGCCCCTCCGAACTGATGCGCCTTCTCCAACGGACCCCAAGCCAGCGTTGCTCCAATCTCAATCACCACAAACAACGCCGAAATCAACACCATGAACAAGTTGGTGTACTGGAGGTAGCACGGATAATTCCCGATATCCCCACAAGTAAACGGCGTCCCCTCATAAGGATAACGGCTGTACGCCAACTCCAAATTGATGGTTTTACAGGTAATGTACAAGACCATAATAGTAGGCACCAGGAGCAAGAAGGTCCGGAGGTACTTGTGGACGTTTTGGAATCCTGATCCGCGAAGGGACAGGATATAGAAGATGAAGAAGCCGATGGCGGAAATGATGATGGTCCAGTCCACCCAGCGGAGATTTCCGCCGCTGTAGCCGTACTTTTTGTTCAGCTCGATCTCGTAGCCGATGTAGCCGTAGCAGGCTATCATGCCAAGGAAGTTGAGGGTGGTGATGAAGACCATCCATTTTCGAAGTTGGCGGAGGCGGATTTGGCTCATCTTTTGGTGTTTTTGTTGGTTGCTGTTGGTCGAAAAGATGAAGGGAAAAGAAGAAAAAAGGGTAAGGAGAGAAGAAGGAGAGAAAGGAAAGTGTTGAACGGTTAAGGCAGAAACGAGGGGAGATGGACAGAGGATGACGAAGTGGAAGTTATAGCAGCTCAATTGCATGAAAGGGAAAACAAGGGGGAAGGGAAGAGATGGATTGGAGAGCAGAAAGAAAAGAGCGGCGTGTGTGGTCGAACAGGAAAGGAGCAAAGTTAAATAAACAAAGGACAAAGGGACCAAGAGCAGAGGATAGAGTCGAAAACCTTAAAACGGATCCAACTAAAATTCAATTGCAGCCTTGTAAGGCCGCGCCGCTTTGGGTCGGAGAAGAAAGGGGAAATAGAGAGAGGCATGTTCGTTTGTTTTGCTTTGTTATCTTGTGCATGGAGTGGAGGAGTATGGGCAAACATGTCCTGTACAATGAGGGGAAGGAAATGGTGGTCCAAGGACAATGACAAACAACATGACATATTTTTATTAAGGATGCGTGGGTATTAATGGGGGACTGTGTCGGCTGTCGAGTGGAAGGAGATTAATATCCATAAGGAGTCGAAGGTGCTGGCTGAGCAAAACTCTGCTGTCGCTGCTGCTGCTGAAGCATTTGTTGTTGCTGCTGTTGCTGCTGGAGCAACTCATACTGCTCCACCTGAGAGATGTATCCTGCCCCTGGTGATGGCTGGGAGGTAAAACTTGCCCTTGGTGATGGCTGAGACGCATGTCCACCTGGAGAAGGGGGTTGCTGCGAGATATATCCTCCAGGAGAAATTGGCTGCTGTTGTGTGATATATCCTCCTGGAGTAGCTGGTTGTGGCTGGTATGGGTGCTGCTGTTGTTGTAGAGGCTGCTGGTATAAGTGTGGGTATGGCTGTTGGACGTTGTTGTCGATCTTGTAAGACGGGTTCTGTTGGTCCAACAAAACAGGTTGCTGCGCCATATTAGGGTAGTACTGCTGTTGAGGGTAGTATGGCTGCGGACTGACCATGACAACATTGGTATCCTGTGAATATCCTCCATTGGGACCCCCAAACTGATGTGGCGCCTCCAAGGGTCCCCAGGCGAGCGTCGCTCCGATCTCGAAGAGGATAAAGAACGCCATGATAAGATTCCAGAAAAAGACGGTGTTGCTCAGGTAGCATATGTAATCCCCGATATACGTGCACTCAAAGGGCGATGAACCTCTGTAGTTGTTTTCGTTAACGAATGCGACATATTTCAGTCGAAGGTAAAGGATCACGACGGTTGGGATGAGGAGGAGGAAGGCGCGGATGTACTTGTAGCCTTTTCCGGTGCGGGGACTCGACCTGAGGGAGTAGATATAGCTGATGAGGTAGATGATAGCCGAGAGGATGAGGACCCAGTCGCCCCAAAGGAGACCGTCCGAGGACCCTGATTTTTTGTTTTGCTCTATCAGGTAGCCGATGTAGGAGTACCAGCCGATGGTGAAGAGAAAGTTGAAGGTGACGAGGAAGAGGACCCATCCCCTCATCCGGCGCAAGGCGACGTATCCCATAGTTGGTTGTTGTAGGTGGTAGTGTTTGTCCTCGGAAGGTGTGTCGTCAAGTTGGAGGGAGTGGCAGGGGCAAGGGTAAAAAGAAACAACAAAGACGAGAAGAGAAAAACGAGAAGAGAAAAACGAGGGGGAAAATCAAAAAATAAGTGAACAGTCGGAGATCCAACAACAGACAAAAAAGGAGGGGAGTGTAATTTTAACCTATCATTGACGTCAGAGGCTCATTAGTACCCATAGACATTGGAGTCAAGGATGCAGGCTGAGCAAAACTCTGTTGACCCTATTGCTGGAGGAGTTGTTGTTGCTGCTGTTGAAGGATCTCGTACTATGGGTAATGTTACCAAGGAGGCTGAACATCCTCTTCAATCTTATTTTCCTGGTTGTGGTGACTCAACAAAATCGGCTGCTGGTAAGGTTGCATCTGTGGACAATAGTACCCCCCGCCATCATACTACTCGCACTATCGACCGCCCTCTACCTCGAAGTCAAACTCCAAAAACACAAAAAACGCTGAACATAATCACGACCATTTCCATATAACAATCAGACCCTCTCTCAGAGGTGGCTGGTCCACACGAAAGAACTCCACCCTCCCCAGACCGCCCAGAACAAGCGCAGACCGAACAGCGTACCAGCAACGAGAAAGAGCAAGAAGGCCCGGGTGAACTTGAAGGTGTTTCCGCGGCGGGGTTGGTAGGACATGAGGGAGCAGATGTAAGTGAAGAAGGGGATGATAGCTATGTGGATGTAGAGACCATCGAAGAACTTGATGCTGCTGTAGGAATAGTTGGAGGCGCTGTGGTGGGCGTTGATGTAAGGCACAATAGGAGTACCAGTCGATGGTGGCGAAAAAGTTGAAGGTTGCCAGGAAGTGGACCCATTGTCGCATCCTGCGTAGGGTAATGTATGCCATAGTTTGGGAATGTGGAGCGAAAATAAGGGAGGAATAGGGAAAAGAAAAGATAAGGCAGGGAGAAAGAGAATGGATGACACAGAGGAAGTGGGTTGGGAGATTTATCATTGTTTTTGTACATTCCCAGGTCATCGGGATCGATGCATGGGACTCAAACAAAAAAAACCCCCAAATCGGTTCTGCTCTAGTGCATAGCAGGCACCATGCTTCGGAAATATAATAAGTTAGTGGCCGTGCTGGAACACTGGTAGAAAGAGAGAGGATAAAATCTTGATAGTCGATTGACATAGCCCTTCCTCTTCTTTCTCGAAACCTGAGTACACGCCCTCTGAGACCTTCCTTGACAATCATTTTTACTCCAAATAAAGAAAGGAGGCACGCTATCGACGATACCACAAATGAGCATTGAACAAAAGCACATGTATATCCAACCGGGCTAGGCTGTTGTTGAAGGTGATGCTGGCTGTTGTGAAAACGTAGGTTGATGTTGTGGCACCGTTGCTGATGATACTATCGTTGATGCCCTTTTGGTTCAAGCTCCTCATGAGAAGAATACGTTCCTGGAACAACTTCTGTTTTTGTTGATTCACAGATATAAGCAAAAAAAAAAATGATTACCTGGATGCTGGAATTGCGGGCAGCAATCGCAGACCTGAGTACACCAATTTCGTTCGATATACGGGAATCATACTGAAGCTTGGGCTTTCTCACGACCGCAGCCATAGAGGATATGTCGTCCATGAGACGCGAGAGCTCTGGAGTCGATCTCGCAAGCAAAGGCGACGACGGCAACGATGAGCGGGACTGTTGTCGACTAGTCAATTCACCAGTACCTCCATCATCGAATCCTGCTGTGCTACCTCATCCTGCTGTGCTACCTCTTTCTCCTCCTTGGTATGGATTTCAGTCTGGACCCTACGGCTGCAAAGAAGACCCTCTTGAATTCATGGAAGACGAGCCACGAATGACGAGGCTTCTTGTAAGATGATGTGCTTTGTTCTTAGGAGGTGTTTTCGGACTCCGTGAGTGGCTGGCAAGAGTGGCCTCATTGGTGACAAGTACCGTGGTTGAAAGATGACACACATCCGTAGGGAAGCGTGTCCGAGATAGTGGTCAGTCTGCACCTTGATCCTGTCGCGGGAGCACTTGGTGACTAGATGGTTACCAAGGCAGTTGGTAAGAGACTGCTCGCAACAGAAGGCTCTCGCAAAGTCGAAGGCGAGTTGTTCAACGAAGAGAGTGTGTCCAGTTCAAGGGCGGCTGTGTTCAGCAGTGGGCTGTTGATGCCATAGGAAGTGAAGGAAAAGAAAGGAAGGGACGGAAGAGAGACCTTATCTATATGTGTCCGTCCTTACAGACGACAACGTGTCGTGTCCTGTCTGTCAGTCGCGTATCATTGCATCGGCTGTAGGACAACTTTATTTTTCATCTCGGCCCCATAATTTCATGAATGAATGTGTTTCCTTCGCCATTTTGCGCCAAGCGCACTCGTTGTGACCTTCTACCATCTACGAAACCATACATAAGGCTCTTTTTCGTTTTCTTCGTCTTCTCTCTATCGGCTGGGTGTGAGTAACTTTTTGTTCACAGCCACAAAGAGCCACAGACAGTCACCCCCAAAGTAATAGATGGGAAGGGAAGGAAGGATTCGATTGGAGGAGGGTGTCCAAACGCGCCGATGGTCACTTTGATGACCTATCTGCACATTGCGCTATCGAAGGTGAGCAGTTAAGTGGTGCTTCTGTCGATATCGAAACACATTTTAATGCAAAAAACGCTCTAGGAGGTCGCTTTATTGTTGAAGATCGCTAAATTACAATAGATCTTCAGATCCATGAAAAGGGAATATACTCAAGTAGCAAGGGGACAGGAGTAACGAAAATAAGACAAAGAAAATGGTCAATTGGTGGGCTCTGTGGATTGAGTGCTTCGCCCAAACATCCAGCACAGTCCTCGTCAGTCGATAATCATCATTGCATCCTATTTGAACTTGAATGAAACCCCAGCCTCTCGATGTTGCCGGGCGACGGTCTCCAGATCCACATACACGATCTCATTTCGGGCCGTCTTCTATTATAAAATTAAATTAAAGAGCCCCTGATATGTTACCACCCTACCAAAAAGAAGGCGTCGTCCTTGAAACAAATATAAGGAGTTCGTAATACAAAAGAGACAGAACCACTTACGCGATTCGACCGTGTCACACGTGATGGAAGCTTAAGGATGTCTTCGACTTTGATCGGTCTAGCTGCAGTCCCTAAGGGCACGGCCGCAGAGCCGATCTTCATCCGCTTGGAGGAGGCACTAGGACCATTAGATGGAAGGCTGACGTTCGCGTGATTGCTGTTCGTGGAGGTGCGACTTCGCCCCCGCTTGGCGACCGTCGGGGTGAAAGCAGATCCGCTCAGTCCTTGAATGATAACATAGCCATCTCCATCGGTTTCAGAATCGGATAGAGAAGGTGCTGTGGTAAGAGTCGAAGTTCTAGATAACGACGTGGTTCTGCTCATCAGAGCCGGAGCTTGAGTTAGGCGTTCTGCTCCGGCAGCATCGGTTCCCAGTTGTGGCCATGCCTCTCGGCGCATGACTTGCTTCCCTTTAGAAACGGCAGAGAGTGGCCGTGGGGCAGACTTTCCAGCGCTCGTCAGATTCTGGCGTCCCGATCCTGCAGCGTTCGTGGTTGGACGCGGTGCCCGCTTCCGAGCCTGAACGCGCTTGCCCTTGGTGGAGCTCCTGACAGTTGCCTTTTGTTCAGGGGCTGGATTGTTAGGCAGCGTGGTGGTGACAATCGAAGGACTGTTGAACAATGGGACGAGAGTTGACGGGAGAGTGGGTGACTGCATGGCGTGCGTTGTGGCACCGTGCTCGTCGTTTTGGCCCGTCACCCCAACTTGCGAGGGGTGTGCTTGGCCTTCTCGAGGGGCTGGCGTCGGAGAGAGAGAATTGCGGTGGCTCATGGGTGTGAACCAATTGTAACTGCTGCCTCTCCCCTCGTTGACGCCCTGCTGGCTCAAGTTCCTCGTGATACGAACCTGCTCCTGGAATAGCTTTTGGTTTTGCTAATTCACATTTGAGGTAGATCAATATCTGCATTAGTTTGATGACAAACCGTCAGACAGAGAGACATAGAGGAATAGAAGTCCAGGTGAATTGAACAACAAACAACAAAATAATTACCTGGGTGCTGGTGTTGAGCGCCGCAATCGCCGTCTTGAGGTGACTAATCTCGTTCGAAATGAGGGCGCCACACTGAGACCTCCATTCGTTCATATCCTGCTGGGGTGTAGGGCTCTGTCCAGATGAACCTTGTTGAGCCTGGACCTGGATGGCGTCCACAGCGGTTCTCAACTGGCCAGTCAAAATCTCGGTCCAGTTCTGGAGAGACTCTCCGATGCACTGCTGTACCACCTTCTCTGTTTGCGCCACCATCGACATTACCATCCCCTGGCCCTTCTCCTCGACAATACGCGGATCAACTTGCTCCTCAAATTTCTGAAGACAATCCTCAAATTTCTGGAGGATATCCGCCGCTACGTCCTGCGTTGTCGTACTCTGGCTCGTCGAACCTTGTGGGACCAGATCTCGAACGTCATCAGTAGACACTCTCAGCTGCTCAGTTATGACCTTGGTCCAGTCTTGCAAGCTCCCATCAAGGCGTTGCAGGATCGCCTTCTCGGTCTGCGTCACCATAGCTTCTACCAACTCTTCAGTCTTCAGCTGGATCCGCTCGACAGCCTTCTTGCTGGTCTCCTCGACCGCAACATAAGTCCTATCTCCTTCTTGTTTGGTCATCTGGATATGGTTGTCGAGTGTATGTTGGAGCTTACCAACGACCGTCGTCAAAGTGGAGATCTTGTCTATGAGACGAGGGTGCTCTGGAATCGAACCCGCAAGTAAAGTCGACAACGGCAACGACGAGTGTGGTTGTCTTCGGCCAATCGATCCGCCAGCACCGCCTCCATCACCGACTTCTGCTATGTTTCTTTGTCCTCCTTCTTGGGCTGGATCTCCGTCTCGACCCTTCTGCTGCAAGGAAGACCCTCTTAAAGACACCGACGACACACCAGGAGTCGGGGGATTCTTCTGGAGATGGGCTGCTTTGTTCTTGGGAGTCCAAGTCGGACTACTCTGTGGGTGGTACGCCGGCAACAAAGTCCTCACTGGTGACGAGTACCGTGGTTGAAAAGATGACGCAAGTCCGGAGGACAGTGTGTTTGGGATAGAGATCGGTCTGCTCCTTGATCCTGCTGCAAGAGCGCTCGGTGACGAGTCAGCCATCAGAGTGGTCGGAGAAACGCTGTTTGCACTAGAGAGCTCTCGCTCAGTCGAAGGCGAGTTGAACGAAGGGAGCGATTCCAATTCAAGGGTAGGGATCACATATGACGAGGAGTAACTTTTGACAACAGGTTGTAAGTACGGTAGGCTGTCATGGTTTGTCTCTTTCGGCTGCTTCGGCTGCTTCCGAGAGGTTTGGCTCGAGAGTATCAAGTGGGGTGATGATGATGTGATGTTCCTTGAGAGGGTGCGATCGCTGGGGGCATGGGTCAGTCCAGATCCTGACCTGCTAAGGGTGCGGTTGCTGTTACTGTTGGCACTGAAGTGAAGGCTGCTGTTGTTGTTGGTGGTGTTGTGGTCTAGCTGACCTAAGCTAAAGTCCAACCAGTGTTTTTGGGTCAGGGGGAGCGTGCTGGAGTTGTCTTGGGACATAGTTGGAAGTCAGGTAGTATACGATAACCTGGCTGACGAATAAGGGCGAGAGCGAGAGAGGGTGTCTGTGCTGTGCTGCAGTACGCAGCAGTTTTTGGTGGCGGTGGAGAAGGAAAAGGAGATGGAAAATGGAAAAGGAAGAAAGAGTGAGGAAGGGACGACTAAAGACAAAAAATGATTTTGACTATTTCTTTTTGCCCACAAGTCTGCAAATGAAAAACGCCACTATTTTTTAATACTTTTACATAGCGGGTAATCTTCGCTGTTTCGGTCTATTCGCGACAGTTTGGGCAAAAGAACTCCACATCAGACTTCTCGTAGCTATCAATATACAACAAACAAAACAGCGAGAACACTTTGTTAGCAAACGTCTCAGCAACAAACATATCCTCTCATGACCACAATGCCACCGATAGGCTCCTTATCTCACCTGAGGACACTGCAGGCACGGCATGACATCTCCTCGCAGGAAGCGCAATTCACTGCACAGAACTGGCACTCGGGTCGACCACAGAACGTACAGGGTCGGATCATTGCCTGGTATCGATCCCGCATCCCGGGAATCCTGTTCACCTCACACCCATTGATCTCGCCCGCACAGTTTGCAAACGACAGCTGTGACGCTTCAGGTTGAATCTGAGGCTGTGTATGTTGTGGTTGTTGTTCCTGAGGTTGATTCTTCCCGACCATAAAGAGACGACGGAGTGCGTCCGCTGCGCTGCCTCTTTGTGATGATAATTGTTGCTGTTGCTGATGAAGTTGAAGGGGTTGCTGCTGTTGTTGCTGCTGCTGTTGTTGTTGTTGAAGGTGTTGCTGCTGCTGCAAGGCCAGCTGATGTTCCCGTTGCCTTTGTTCCTCCAGTATCCGCCTCTGTCCTGCCATCATCATAGTCACCGTGCGATCTAATAACACCAACAACAAGCAAAAAGGCAAACACTCATAATCAATATCTAATTCGTTCAGTCGACGTAGGGGTAAAAAGGCAGAAGTCGTGAGTTTGGCTTAATATTTACCATAGACAATTTCCTCCTCGAGACCAATCCCTGAACGGGTCTTCATGACCAGGGGAGAGATATCCTCATAAGAGCTCTTACGTTTGCGCGACCCTCCTCCTCCTCCTCCAGACTCTGTTCCCGCGCCGTATTGGCTATTGCCCTGGAAGACGCTTGCAGATGCTGGCAACTGATTCTGTAATGAGAGCGAGTCAAAGTGGCTGTGGAAAGTGAATGGAGTATTGTTGTTGCTCATGGTCTGATGCAGTGAGAGCCTTGTGTTTAGTAATCGAAGGAGTTTTTCGTGTTTTCTGTAGGTAGCTTCCTGGGTTGCTTGTCGTACTGTAGTATGTGTTGCTCGTCGTCCTGTTGCTCGTCGTCCTGTAGATTTGGTGATGTCGGTGTGTTGAGAGTTGAGAACAAACTGAAGAAAAAGAGGCGACCTACAAAAATGTGGCTTTTCTTTTATTCCCGAAATTTTCATTCGCTACTCTACATTGGCCTTGAAAGTCAAGACGCGCGACAGACATTGTCAGTTCCTGGTAGACGCGTGCATGAACAATGATCTATCACACAAAAGAAAATAGCGTGTAAGTCAAGAAAGAAGCTGCGAGATTGGTAATTTGAAACGTAATAGCCATATCTTAAACAATGCCTCTTACATCTTTGAGTTGTTGTATCCCGACAAGTAAGCATCTTCCATGGCCGATTGGGTAACAGAAGAATCTATGCGGACGAAATAAGAAAGAGCGTCAGCAAACTCTCGTTTAATGCACCGAAGAGCAACATATAATAAACAGCACGTACACGTACCCGATAGATCACTGAATGATGAACCGACAGAGTTGTGGGCGCTTGACTTTTGAGAATTGGGTCCTGAGCGCTCCGGGCTTATCCTGATCTTCGCCGGCGAGTCACCTACAACAATGAAAGGACACAACCCGTGAGTAAATGAACAGCTTTGTCCAAGACGTTTACACCTGTCAAAGATTATGACGCTACCTTCACGACCAAGCCCCCGCATTCGACTGGGCGCCATAGTGTCCTTGAACCGAATGCCTTTTACTCTATCTCCATCATCCTCATCTCCACCATCGTGCCCCAATATCTCCTCAAGAGACTTGGTTCCCAGATTCGCCAACTCGTCATCCAGCTGAAACGGCATTTTGTCTCCTGAGGCGGTTCTCCTCTGGTACTCATCATCGGCTGGCCTCTGCAGCATCCCCGAGGCAGATGCCCCACCAACAGGCAAGAACGCCAGCACATCCTCCAATTGAAGTTGCTTGATCTGTTCTCTCAATGGTCCAGATTCATCCTGACTTGACCCATCATCATCCTTGTCCGTGTGATCTCCGTCAGTATCGTCATCATCGTCGCGATTGATGCCACGTTCTGAATGATGGTAGTTCAGAGATGACGTCGGGTTGTTGTCAATGAACCCGAGGCCATATCTACTTTGATTCTGCCCAAAGAGCGAGGACGACTGATATTCGCCTTCCCGATTCAATTGATCCGCACGCAGCTGTTGTTGATGTTGTTCTCGTGAAAGAGAATCGTTCGACGAGAGCTGGTTGAAGAATGATGTTTCCTCGAAAATCTGCGATGCGCTGTTACTTTGTGAATACGGCGTCGAGACTGATGACACCGTCGAGGATCTATCGTAGTCCTGGAACGTTGATGGGTTGGGCGCATCTGTGGTTCGCCCTGATGGTGATAATCTTGACCCTTGCCCAACAGGGCTACTAGAGTGGGATGACGCCGAAATAGTTGCGTGGTGGAACGGGTGGGCTGGTTCGTGAACTCTTCGGTCAGCTTGGGCACCCTCGTCGCGCGGCGATGTTGGAAGATTGGTGGTGTAGCTGTTGAGTCGCCTGTCGAAAGTTGCGCCGACAAGCTGCGAGCCACGTGTTGAGCGAGGTTGTGTCTGTCCCCGATCTGACGATATCCCTGAATTGTATATATTGGATTCAAACGGTGCCTGCTGCGAGCTGCCGGCGTTGCGTGTCGAGGGAGAAGGCGACGATGGCTGAACTGGTCGAATTGTCGAAGCCGATGATGACATTGATGCAGGTCGCGCATATGAGGGGAAGGTCGAAATGCTGGTTGACAACGACGGGCTCACCTGTGCCTTGAGGCTGGTATCCTGAGCTTGATGTACATTGGAGCTCGAGGTGCTGTTGGTTTGTCCGGAGAAGCTTCCTTCTCTCCTCCTTCCCGCAAAGCTGGGTTCTCTTTCCCCTTCCCGGTCTGTTGTTGGCGGCTCTGCGACTTGATGTATCCCAGGAATTGTTTGTTGGGGCGGTAGATTGGCTTCGAGAGATGCCGTCGTTGCTCCTGGTCCGGTTGTAGCACGACTTGTTGGTAGAGATAGTGTTTGTAGGTCCTGTTGCTCGCCTAGCCGGTGAAGGTCCTGCAATTGGTTTTGGTACAAGAATTTGGAGTGACGTATAAGGAACGGTACAGGGACGTTACCAAGCTGCCTCGACACAGCATTCCCTACTCGTCCAGAGGTTAACGTTATATGAGTTGCATTGTTCTCATAAGCGCCTGCAAGGTAAACGATGCGAAACAGGACAGCGTGTGTTATCGACGCAGAGAGTAGGCACTTACAATCGACTAGCATTGGTTTTGTTCTTCCAATGATCTGCCACAACGTCCTTTCCATCGCTTCTGTCCATTGGACCTATGAATGTAGGGTGGCAAGGGAGAGCGAAGGAGAATGAATGTTGGATATATATAGTGCCAGCGTGCATTCACGAGTTTCCTTCCATTCTCCCAGACGCGAATGTCATCAGAAAGATTGTTGCTCCTTCTTACAGGCTGCGAGTCGACAAAGCCCTCAGGTCGCGGGTAAGGGAGCCGGATAATGACATGAATAGGTTCGTCGAGTGAGTCCATAATCAAATGGTTGCGATGTGTGCGTGCGTGAGTAAGCTAATGGGTAAGGTACAAGAGTGAGCTAAGGTAGCAAGAAAGGGTAAGTTAGTTATCTCAAATCCAGGTCACGTTCCTTAATAGTGGGTGATCAATCCATTCAATATGACAGGAAGAGCCGACATCGAACCAGGGGGAATGCTGTCGTTGGGGCTGGACCGACTGAAGGTCCCCAAAGGGTTCCAGGAGATGCTGCTCTTCATCGGGAAGAACAACACCAACCGAGTCATCACCCAGTCACGGACTCACAGACAAGTATAACCCAGCGTGCGGGCCTGACCAAGGCGGCGTCGAGTACCCACTCCTCTGGCGGATCGCATACGACGTCCTCCTAGTCGCCATTGATAGGCAGAAGACGGAGTTCCTGGCTATCAACCCAACACACAACGGCACCATTACCTACGGAGGAAGCCAAATCAAGCCACAGGGCAAAGGCAAGGCATCAAGCATCCTGGGGGTGTGGTTCTCGGCTGACGGCAAAGCAAAGGCAGCAACAGAGTTGGCGAGGAAGGAAACAAGCACAATATGCAACATCCTGAGTAGGAAGAAGGTCACCGACAAACAGTCTATCTTTATTGCTGACTCTGTTCTCATCTGTATCGCATGTCATCAACCCTCATCGCATGGGAGGAAATCGAGCGGATTACAGCACCTTCATCACACAAGACTCTACGGGCGCCGAGACCTCAGGGACGCCCTGGCCGAACAACAAAAAAAACGGACCTACAAGAGGTGTATTTGAATATTCCCTTTTCTGTTTCGAGTATCACAAACTCCATCTTTTAGATCGCCACTTCTTTTATCTCCCACATGCAACCCATTTTGTTCCCATACTGGGTTTCCTTTTCTCGCAACTTCATCTGTTGCCACTATTCCCACACTTTGCTTTCCGTTTGCTTCTCACCACCCTCTTTCTTCATCACCTCTGCCGCCGTTCCCACGCCCATTTAGTCCCTTCCTTCTTTCCCTTTTAAGTTCACACCCTCTTTTTCATCCTGTTCGCTTTTTTTCTTTCACCCCTCGACTTCTCCATATCCTTTATTATCCAGCCTTCCTCACCATTTTCACTGATACTTCGCAGTACCATGGCCGAAGACCTTACCCTGTTCTGTCTTATTGATGGGCAGTCTATATTCAACGCTTTCTCTGTCGAGATTAACCCCAGAAAGACAATCGATGGCCTCAAGAAGTTCATCAGGAACGAAAAGACTCCCCGCTTTGACGATGTCGCTGCTGATGAGCTCACCCTCTGGCGCGTCTCAATCCCAGATGCGGACGACGACGACGACGACGACGGAGAGAACTTGCCCATTCTACCTGACAATATACCTAACAAAGACAGGAAGAAACTCAAGGCAACACGTGAACTCTCTGACGTCTTCAGAGAGGAACCAGCAAAGAGAACGATTCATATCATTGTCCAACGACCTCCTCCAGGTAATGCACACACGCGTTGCTTTCATTCACACCTTACACATAACCTTGTCCATTGTATTAACCTTAATTCATATATTCAGTTGCACTAACATAGCCCATGTGCTTGCCCCTGCTCGCAGCTTCACCGCTGGCTTGGATGAATCTCCCCCAGGCTCGACGAGTAAGTATCATGGAGTTTGTTTTTTGTTTGGGCTAATGCACAAATGTCATTCCATCTTCTAATCACAGTTCTGTTATGCGTATCCAGACAACCTCAGAGTTGACATCAAGAAGATTAAGGACAAGTTCTTCGCAACAGGATCAACGCATGCAAACTTTCTCGACGCGTACGTTCGAGGGCAGTACTCGCTTCCAATAGGGGGTTTCAAACTTGGGACATGCCCACTATGTTCAAATCGGAGCGTATTTCGAAATACATCAGCCCTTGAGGAAACGTATTTCCTTGGCGGATTTCCGTTGACGGCGCATTTGGTTATACGCTGTCAAATGTCAAGGTTTGAAGCCCCCTAATAACTACCTCTGGTGTGCGCGGCTTGCCAAAGGTCTTGCGTCGTGACGCTGTCGAATCACGGGACTCAAAGCCGAATCTGCTGTTTTTGGATCTCCCTGACCCTCACCAAGTGTTGACCTTCCCGTTCCTGAGAGGTTTCAATCGAATGTCTTGTTGGGCGTGCTGGAAAAGATGGAGTCGAGCCTAAGAATTACTTGTGTTTGGTGTTAGTGAATGCGGCAAAACTTGGTCAATGATTGAGATGCTCTGCCTTCAATGGGGATTCTACTTCAACGCGGCAAAATCGGACTTTGGATCGGAAGACCTCTTCCGCCTAGCTGTTCTCATTGACGACAACATATTGGACGACTAGTTATTAACGTATATGACTTGTCTCGACTTTCCATTCTACCTCCCCTCTTAGCCGCCAATATCAGCCGAAACACCCACGGCATTCAAGGGATTGCCGGGCCAACCTACGTCTACCGACCAAGATCATGAGAACGAGCTGCAGAACTCGCCATGGTGGCTAGCTGCACCCCTTTCGCTCATTTAGTTGGCGTCGTTTGTATTGTTCTTACTTCGTTTGGCCCGCCCGGTCGCCAATCTCCTGCTCTCCGTTGTGGTGCCGACCTCTAGTAGTCTGATATTCTTTCCCTGACCCTGCATTTATCCTTTAGTATGGTCACTCTCCTACTCGTGTCGATGCTCCTGTGCCTTTCCCAACACATATCATGAAAGATCTCTATAATTTCGCCAAAAAATATTCTGGACAATTAGCGTACTTGTAGCAAGATCGGACAAAGGAATTGTCTGTAAGTTGTCAAAACTATTTTGTTAACTGTACCGGGTATTTATTATTGAGCTGACAGGAGTGTTCATTTTTGAGCTGACGGATACATCTATTCTATCCTTCATGCTAACTTTGCTCTGAGTGGTATTGTCAACACCCTGAACCCGGAAATGCAAGCACATTGTGCAGCGTTTTCTGACGTGGTCGACCAATGACTGGATAAAGATCTTACAGATGTCAGAAAGTGGTCTATAAGGATTTGAAACAAATGCTAGGTCATGGAACTATGAAGGAACTTCGAGCGCTGCGAGTCTATTGCTCCCGCCGCCGTGACGACCTGGAAGAGGATTACGACAATGGTGACTGGCCACTGGACGAAGAAGTCGCCAAGAAGGAGCAACTCAAGATGATGATGAGCTTCCTGTACGTGTGTTTTTTTTTTGCCTAACTATCAGTGACGATGTTTATTGTACAAGGTAACTGGGGTATTTAGGTGGTTAGATGTGGTTAGAAGTTGGATGAAGTGGTGGTCTAACTGTTGTAATCAACTGGTCCTTTGTTTCTCTGTTTTCATCGCCTATTTAATTTATTTTGTCTTGATGACAGCTGCGATGAGATGATTTTAATGCAACGCATCTCAAAATCTTCGGAACACGATGTCTTCGTATGGAGAGGTCTGGCTAGGATCTTGCATGAACATGATCCGGTAGCTCGAGTTGGAGAGCTCGGGTCATCTGCAACTAGAGAGGATAGGACGTTGGTCGAGAATGAGTTCGGTGGAACAGACTCAAATGCGAGGGGCCGCAAAATCGATATCATGCACCAACTCTGCCTGGAGGGCAGGATTAAGCCAATCGAAATTATCGCTTGGGAGGCCAAGTCAGAAGCAGTTGCTGGAGAGGCTCTCCAGTCCCAACTGCACAAGAACATCAGGATTAACGCCTCAATCATGAACAATTTGTCCCAGGACATGAAACGGGACTTTCGAAGGCCCTCGCCAATGGTACTGGACATCGTCGGCCCTCGAGCGTTGGTATACACGGTTCAAAAGATTGAACCTGGAATCTTTGGTGCGGGCGCCGTCGGGGAAAAGTTGATTGAGCTGCCCATGAACGCCAATGGAATAGCCGAGTTCCTTGATGGAGGAAGCATGTCCGCGTTGCTTCGAATAGGGGTAATGTATTACCTTTTCTTTACTCTGCACCTATGTGCCTCTTTTTCTTATTCATTTCTGCTTATCGTTGTTTTCTTTACGCTCGCTCCAACAACTACTAGCTTCATAACTCCAAGTTTGCTTGTCTCGTTAAGGAAGGATACCGAAAAGCATTGAGTGAAGAGATAATGGCGAAGATGACTGGGAAGGCGAATGTTAGGAAAGAAGGTCCGCCGGTAATCTTTACCCCTACAAAGAAGCAGAAACAGAAGCAAAAGTACCAACAAATGGACGAGTGAATAGGCGATCAACGAAGCGGCGGCCTCCTGTGCCTAATTAATTGATCCAATTAATTCAACCGTTACAAGCCCTCCACGAAACGAATAAATAAATACGTACAGCCTTTACTAAGGTTTTCCATAAACTTAAAGCCATCATACTCTTTTCTACGCGCTCTTTTTTATTCTTGATCCCTCTCTTTAACTATATAACACATTTTCGCCTTTCCTCTCAACATACTGACTTACGATACTGATGTGACTAAACACAACCTAATCCAACCTAACTCAATCCGTCCACAAGTATATTGTTGTCGCTGATGTCGACCGCAGGAACCCCGATGGAAGGTTAGGGGACCATGATGTCTGTCTGTCCTTTGACAAACAAGTCGTTGATGGCAATGCCCAAAGTCCACTCGTGCTAGCTAATGTTGCTGGATGGGAGCTGGGAGTTCGGCACTTCAACTTCATATCACGCCAAAGGAAGCCTGAAAAGTGCAGGGGAAATGGAGACGGGAAAGAAAAATGATTTTATTCAATTCGACGAAGACAGATCAGCAGTTGTGTCCTGTATATAGTGGTTTGTCGACTCGTGAGGTGTCCCATGGCGACCGCTTTTCATTTTTGATTACATCAGAGAGACAGGCAACGTTATCATTGATGGCCAGATGGTACTGGATGAGGATCGACCTCCTGCTTGACCGTCAACATTCTTAAGGAAAGGAATGCGATGATGGTTGATCGAGCCGAGGGAATGTTATTCAAGAACAACGACGAGGTGGAGGAAGTTGTCGGGGTAGGCCATCGTCTGTGCTGCCCAGATCGCGTCTGTCTCCAAACTAGGTCTGACTCCATGGATAAGCACACTCGCAACAGGAGAACTCAATCCTGCATCAACAACAACAAGAGGGAACAAGTCTGGCACTGCTGCGTGAAGGATGTGACGCAGTGTTCTCGGTTGACCATGCTCATCTAGTGGAGACACAAGGTCTTGGATGACAGGGCAGTTCTCGGGCAAGTAGATCCTGACGGGGAGGTTCCTGGCCATCGTCCCGTCGTTCGACACTAGCCTCTGGTTCATCCCCCAGAACTGATCATAACTCTCTATTCGACATAAAATGGAAAGGGTGAGCAATTTGGTCCTTTGTTCTTGTTGACATGGCATAGCTGAACATCTGTCTATCCTACAAGTGAAGAGCCAAAAGAAGGACTTACTTGACCAGAGTCCCTCCCAGAGCTGTGTCTGGTCAGACTTGGACATGTTCATCACTTTCTTGGTCGATCCATTGCGGATATAATCAGCCTAAGCATCCAAATATCGACAAATAGTAAGAAACAGGAGGAGACAGAAGGATTAGAAAAGTCGAGCCCACCGTCACTTCCAGTTCTTTTAGGATATCGAGTTCGATGCTTTGTAAGTACCTCCTTGATCATGGACATGAAGTAGTCCTGGCAGCTCTTCAAGGTTGGATTCTTGATCAACTTCTCGCCTGGAAAGTTTTGACTGTGTACTGTTACTCTCCATGGTAGAGGGAGCTCGGTCTCCTTATTCATCGATGTTGCCTGTAGTACATGGATGTCGAATAATAAACCGATCGGATAATGCCTGTGTGTACGTATGGTACAATAGACCCGAGAGTTAGAATCCTCAGCGTCATTCATCTCCCCTTTTGCCTACTGCACCTTTCAAAGAACACGTACCATTTCAGAGGGATGCCTTGGTAGTCGAACCACATTTCGCCTTCGTCCGATGTGAAGCCAAGTCGTTTGGCGGCAAAGTCTCGACGGATCTGGTTGGTGATGAGGGAAAGGTATGAACAGCGCGGTACTTCAACCTAACCAGGCACGATTTGGTAAGCAAAGTAGAAAAATCAAACAAGAACGTCAGTCCACGTTTTTTTTCCTTCCACTTTGCGCCACCCACTGCAGGGCATGTTCACATACAAAGTACGGTTCCAGAATGCGTCCTTGTGTCTCTGTTGGATCCCAGATGAATTGGATGGGGATCGATCCCTCCCAGATGACTCTTGCTACGGGGTTTTCAGACGTGGTGTGCATGGTAGTCGTGTGGCGGTTGATGGTTGTGTTGGTTCCTGATTCCTCGATGTGTTGGTGGCGCAAAGAACGTTGCAGAGAGAAGTAATGAAGTGATTAAAAAAAAAGGGGGCGAACAAAGCCCTTTTTATTCACCATCCATCCTGGCAACCGTGACTCAAGCCAATAGTCGATAGTCGACGCCCAGCCATTGTTCTTAACCATGGGCGACAATCATGACGAAAAGAAAAAACTGTTCTATACGTCTCGTCTGCAAAAGCAGTTCCTTGTCGATTTTCTCTTTTTTTTTTTTTTTTTTTTGCAACAGCCGGCTTTTTTTAACCTTCTGACAGAAAAACGGGGCTCTCGTTTCCTTTACATTTGTCTGAAGACAAAAAAATGTATTCGTCGACAACAGAGTCGATTTCGAAACCATGGGACATTCTTCGAAGAAGAGTAAAACAGTCAAGATAAGAGCAATAGAGAACGAGCAAGAAAAAAAAAGGGAGCTCTCAATGGTCGTATTACCTGAAGCATGGGTGACCTTGTTCAGATCTGCACCGCTGGATGCGTAGTTAAAAGACATTGTCGTCATTCGTAATGGTCTTGCTGTTTGTCGACCTTTCTACTCTGGATAGTTGAACATAGGACCGCCTTTCTCAACATGGTCGACTTGTGTGGGAGTGTATGCATAATAGGTGGATTATCATTCAGCTGGATGTCCACATCGACCAGAGGCTACTTGGTACAGAGTTGCCTTCCAAGTCTGCTCGACTTCCCAGTGATCGAGCGTAGGTTTGCATGAACAAGTAACTGCCATCCACCCATCCCAGTCAAACATGTCGACGATAAGACAAAACGACCCCCCTCGTAGTAGGTCATTCACCTTTTGTTTGGTTGATACTTTTTTGGAGGAGGATGACAAAAAAGTTTAACCACATCACAAAGAAGGGAGAATCGTCCAAGGATGATGTTGTTTGCCTGCCTCTTCCTTCACTCTTCTTGTCTTTTCTTCCCTCTGTGTCCATTCTCCCTAGCGTAATCTTGATGTCCCCAGCTGACAAGTCAAGGCAGCACAAAGTTTTTTTTTTCTCTCTCTCTGAGTTTTAAGTTGGGCGCGAAACCTTCCATCCCTCCAGGGCGCGCGGGAAAAAAAAAACACAACAAAAAATACAAGAAAACGAGGGCGGCAAAAGGAAGAGAAATGATAGTGGGACAGTAAGGTCCAGAGAGAGAGAGAGGGAAAGGAGAAAGATGCACGTTGTCATCGCGCTTGAAGGTGCTTGTTTGTGCCTTGAGTGTGTTACTGACGCGATTGTGTTCATGTGGGGATAGATGTACAAGGAGGGGAATAGGCTATTGTGTTAGGTGATGTTGTACAATGGTGCTTATGGCATTGACTGGTGGGGGAAAGAGAAAGAAAAAAAAACAGGTGGGGATACGAAAGGGAAGAGAAAACGAAGGACCATGTATCCCCGGCGTTTCTTTTTTGCTGACTGACCTTTCTGACCTTTCTCGTCCTTCTTTTCCGCCGCTTCTTCTTCTTTCCCTTCTTCCTTCTTTTCTCTTTTTCCTTTTCTTTTTTCTTCTTCTTGCTCATTCACCTTCCTTTTCCTTACTCACCTCTTCCCCCTCACATTCACAACAACATGCCCGTCCTCAACGTCCGCGACCGTGTCAAGAACTCCGGTGTCTGGCATGACTTCAAGGAGTTCATTCAGCGAGGCAACATCATCGATCTCGGAGTGGTACGTTCATACCCATGACAACATCGAACAGCTCATTCACAACGACAACAATGACATTCACAAAAGCAACAGTAACAGCAAAAAAAGGAACTGAGCACTCCTGCTTTGTTCTTTGGGAGCTAAGCGAACGAAAAATAATAATATATGTGCAATTGCAGCAACGCATGCACACATGCACAAGCTAACATCACCCGAGTTATACACCCTCGTTTTCTTGACACGATCGACTAAACTCCTTTTCTTCTGTTCTTCTCATTGCTATTTCTCGCGTTAAATAATAACAGGGTTTGGTCATTGGCGGAGCCTTCTCGAAGGTGCTCAACTCCTTCGTCGATGATATCTTGACCCCTCCTCTGGGTCTTGTCATTGCTGGTACGTGCCTGAAATTCGGGTTTTGTTTGGTGAGGATAAGAGGAATGCAAACTAATGAGTGTGCCTTTTTTTTTGTTCACGATAGGTTCCAACTTGGAGAACTGGTTCATTGTCCTCAAGTACGGCCCAGAGGGCAAGAAGCCTTATAACACCCCTGAAGAGGCCCAGGGAGACGGTGCGGTTACCGAGAACGTCGGTCGCTTCCTCATGACTGCCATCAATTTCGTCCTTGTTGCCATTACCCTCTTCTTGATTATCTTTACCGCCACCAGGTTCCGCAGCTGGCGCCTGAGCCGCAGACAGAAGAAGATCAGCAATGGAGATGTTGACGCAACCAAGCCTGACGATGCCGATGCCTCTGGAGCAACCAAGACCTGCCAGTGGTGCAATGCCAACGTCCCTGTCGCTGCTGTCAAGTGCATGTATTGCGCCAGTTACTTGCATGAGAAGGTCCCTGCGGAGCTGTTGAACAAAGCCGCCCAGCCAGCCTTGATTGAGTTGGATGGTTAAACATGGTAGACTCTAGTTTGTTATGCCACCCATCCCTCCCCCATGTACATACGAGACAACCCATATATCTGCCAGAATGAAAAAAAAAACGATGGACCAGAGTGAGTCCTCTGGCACTTTATTTTGAACAAAATAAAAAATGCGCTCCAGATGCGCGTTCTATCTGAATCAATTTGTCTCTCTCTTATTTTATTTTCGGCGGACTTGCAGCTCCTTTATTCTCTCTTCCAATCAACCACTACACAAGACACACACAAGGACAGCGGCATGGAGTTCCCAAAGATCAACGTCTCCTCCAAGGCAGACATCCAATACATCACACAGATCTGGCGCAAGGCTCTCTTTGAAAAGCTGGAACAGAAGCATGGCGCCGACAAGGCTGACCCACGGGTCATGCAGGAAGTCAACTCCCTTCTCGATCAGGTACACATCAACAAACAACAATCATCGAAAAAAAACAAAGCAAAAACAAACCCAGGCGCGTCAAGGAGGACCGAGGAATAACAGTAACGTTAACCAATCAGCCTTTGTGGTTACGTGGAATTAGTGGCTCGAGAACATGGTCAAAATGGCAAGTGCCGGTGTTGACATCAACGGAATCCCCTACGACGACGCCATCCTGAACGAAGGTAAACCACCTCAACCCTTTTTTTTTGGTTTCCTCTCTTCGGTTGCTTAATTCGGGAAAATCACAACCAAAGACCAAGAATGACATTCTAACGGCAACCAACGTTATCCAACAACCCACCTTAGACGTGGAGCCCCTGGACGAGTCATTGGGACGCCGCCTGCAGCATCAACAACTGTTGGTCGAGGATTTGACATTGCAAGTCGCAGAGCGGAGGAAACGTGTGCCGGAGCAGGTCAAGATGCTACTCGATGATGCTATTCGTCGACAGTCGGCCATCGCTGACAGAGTTGACTTTGAACCTGAAGAGGATGAGGATTTGGAGGACAAGGCCGTCAACCAAGGTAAGGACGTGTGAGAGAGAAAAAAATGCACGGCGCGTGCGAGAAGGAACATTGCGACGATGGGAGCAAAAAAAGGTTGGCTAGTAATGCTTCTGTTTATCATTGTTCGAATGATCTAGCTGTGTTGGAGCGCCAGGATCTTGTTGCTCAGGAGTATGCGTCCAGCATGGCTCTTCTGAGTGGACTGCGAAAGGTGTGTCTTCTGTGTGTTTCTCCATCGCTGCTATGTTGTGCGGGAATAATTGCCACTCGTTTAATTACCACGATACTGATGATCACTTGCTTAATGTCTCTCCACAAATTAGACCGTATCATCAAACATTACGCGAGTAGAGAGCGCACAGGCAGTCGTCGACGAGCTCTTGCCTTGAAGGCTTTCCTAGAGACGTTACTAGTTACACCCAAGGACCAATTGCTCCAGCGCAACCGTGCTATCACATATGTCGTAACGTCACCCTATTGTAAAATATCAACTTCTTGTATCAACACCCAATACACAAAAAAATGCTTCGTTATCCTGTGGGAGAGCTTGTTCCGTTTTTTTGTGGTTTATTGACTAATGTACACGGCGTGTGGACTGGTGCTTTTGACGACTGAGGAGGATGTGCGTTGGAGGTTGAGCGTTAGACATGGTCTCTTTCCTCCTGTCAGCCTGCCAGTATGAGCACTTTTGATCCATGCGCCTTTTCAATGTTGGTTTCCCCGACAACTGCATACGAAATCACTCCCGTGTCCATGCTTAATCGTCGTCTGCGATACCGTAGCGACTAGTACGAGAGAAAACAAAATATGAAAGTTGTTAGTACAAATATACATTACCTGGATACTGAACAATGACAAGCTCATATTCATCAAACAAAAAAAAGTCAGCCAAGCGACTTACGTCTTCAATTCCTTGAGCTCCTCTTCCTTCTTGGCCAAGTTCATCTTCTTGGTGACCTTGTTGGGCTGGTAGTAGAGGACGATCAGATAACGGCCCATGATGTTGAATCCCTGCAGGTGCTCGTATGCGGTTTTGGCGTCAAAGATGTCCTCGTAGATGACGAATGCTGTTCCCTTTGTGTCGTTGGCGTTCCCCACACGGATCTGGCGAATCGCTCCATATTTCCCGAAAATGTCGTACATCTCCTCTGGTGTGATCTTGAACGGCAAGTTGCTAGGGTTTAAAGTAAAGGAGAGAAAGGGAGTTGGTGTGAGGGTTTTTGCGTAGACAATGTGTTAGGTGGGTGAATGGGAGGCGCGTGTAATACTGATCCCGCAGACGTTTGTTGGATACTGGATTGGCGTGTAGTTTTGCTTACCGGACGAACAAAGCCCTGTTGACCTCTGGTGGCAGGCGAGCCTATAAAGTTGAAGATACAAGTATATAGATGCGTTAGTTTTCGGCGTTCACAACATCGTTTGTTTGTGGAATTGCAGTTGAGGAAGAGGCAAGTTCGCTTTTGCTGGTTGCATGCAAGACTGAGGCTGATTCCTTGCGAAAGTCCATACGTTTGTGCGGTTGTTTGCGTTCATGGCTCTGAGATGTGTGTATGGGTTGACTGAGACGTAGGTTCCTGAGAATGAGAGAGTTTCGTTGGTTCTTTGTAGGTGTGTTCTGGATGTCAGTCGATAGGGCGTTGAGGTTGATGAGAGTGGAGGGAAGAGTGAGAGAACGAAAGAAAAGAAGTGCAAAGGAGGCCAAGCAGCTTTTGTCCTTCTTTGACTGGCACACAGAGTGAGATGTGTTCCCTTTTAAAGAAACGGGCATAAACAATTTTAAGCCACTGATTAAATGATCCCTGGTTCCTCCCTTGTTCCCCTCGTGTCTTGCAACAAGGGCAACCCTTCTTTCTTTTTCACTTCTACTCTCTGCTTCATTCACTTTCGAGGTTGACATTCGCCTCACACCGACAGACACAGAGAGTCATGTCAATACCGCGGACACTGCCGCCAGTCCTCGCCAGGATACACTGTCGCCCTTCAAATAACCACCACAATTATACGCAAATATGGGTCCAACGGTCTACCTTTGTACCCGTCGGGAGAACCACGGCAGCAGTCAACATAACCAGCCCTCGCAGGAACCTGACCTCGAGTCTACGACGTGTCGCCCATGCATCCTCTACTCCATCGCAGTGCCCCTTTCAGGGCCAACAGCGACGTGAACTCAGTTTCTTGGGCACCCTTCGCGCCGTATTCCAACAGTAAGAGGATCGACTTTGATTTTTTGCGGATCAAATTAAGTTGGTCAGTGCCTGAGGTCCACTTGTCTCGGATCGACTCATTTCGGATTGTGCATTGATTATTTTCTTCTTTTAGACCGACACCCCCAAAGGCACCCAAGAAGATCCCCAAGGAAACCCGCGTTCTCGGCAGGGTCCGCGTGGACGAGTACGAATGGATGGCCAACAAGGACGATCCAGTATGTAATTGACCTTGCGCTTCTGTGTTCCTCGACTGTCAACGGATACATGGTGTATTCGTATTCACAAGAGGCTAACGTTTCATTCTCTCCCTTTCTCTGTTGGATTAGGATCTCCGGGATTACATTCACGCAGAAAACACGTAAGAGGCGCCCTCACATCGACACTTTTCTCGGGACACAGTCAACAACTCGCGCACATTCAGTAACCATTGACGCTTTACTGACAGGATGCGTATCGACCATTTAACAACTTATTTAGATACGCACACGAGTACTTTGCTTCAGAGACAGCGGCGATTCACCTTTTGAACCGAGTAACGTATCCCGTGGAGCTTGTCGCAATTGATCAACGCCGGAACTTTTGAAGCACTTTATCAGGGTACAATGAACCAGACCTGACCCAGATTTCAACTTGACCTCAAATAGGAAATGAGGCAGGTTCTCAGGACAAAGAGGGTTACGGCGCCTTTGACAACAACTGTTCGCGGATACGAGTATTATACCAAGACGAGTCGGTATGGCATGGTCTACTGCAGGAGGAGGAAATCAGCCTCAGCCATGGTCAAAGAGGTAACCACATGTTCGCTGGTTGTCTTTACTTTAGGAAGCGGAGAAACTGGAGGCATACGGCGCTGATTCTAATCATCCTGTCGAACTCGCTGTATGAACAATAGGAAATATTACTGGATTCGGCATACCTACCGGAGAACTGCAACATCAAGAAGGTGTTACTATCAACAGGACATCACATTTTCTCGTTCCTAACACTAGAGGAAGGCGAGGAATTGGGGTCGCTCCATTTCAGGGATCTCAACCGGGCAGTGCCATTCGACGAAGTCCTGGAGGACGTGTTCAACTTTGTGTGGGGCAACGACAACAAGACGGTCTATTATACCAAATCGACAGATGTCCTGCGGCCCTATCAGGTCTGGGCACATCAGGTCGGGACCCCCCAGGAGGACGATATCCTGGTCTTTCAAGAAGACAATGATAGTATCTTTGTCGATGTTGGGTCGACCAAGGATCAAAAGTTTGTCACCATCAACGGGAACTCGCTATCGTCCTCGGAGGTTCGCATCTTGGACTCCAGTCATGATTTCTCGAAGGGCGCTTTGCCCGAGATGACTGTCATCGCTCCACGGGAGGATGGCGTCGAGTACTATGTCGACCACCACGACGTAAGTTCTTTTAATTACATGGCGATCTAAATTGAACACTGTCGAACTGGGTCGAATTTTCTCTAATGCCTTTATTTGATGGATACAGGACCATTATTATATTCTGACGAATGCCAACCCGAAAAGGAACTTCCGCGTCATGCGCGCCAACCGCAACAACCCCAACCGTGATTCCTGGGTCGAGCTCATGGAGGCCAAGGACGGCGAAAAGATTGAGGACGTCGACATCTTCAAGGTACATCAGGATCTCCACTCATTCATTTTATCTTCGTGCGGAGGTTACTTGAGACTGGAAATCCTAATTACTAACGTCTTTTATTTTTGTCTTTGTTTGATGGGATTAGAACTTTATGGTCATTTACGCCAAGCGGGATGCGCTACCTGTGGTATCTTGCTATCACTTCGAAACTGGAGCTGTTCATGAAGTTCCCTTGCCTGAGCAGTTCTGCACCATTGGTGCTGGCGTCAACCTTGTAAGTAGACGTGATTTGATGTGCACGTTAGTCATGAAAATTGTTTAACAACTCCACTAAACGAAACATCCATTGTCATTTTTGGTCATTGATAGGAATACGAGACGGATTCGTTCCAGTTCACGCTCAACTCGCCCTATGCGCACGAGGCAACGTACGAGTATGACATGGCGTCCCGCGTGATGACCGCCCTGCGTGTCCACCCTATCCACCGTAAGTCATCTCACCGAGAGCTTCAGGCACCTAAACAACTTAAGTATGTCGTGCCACAATTGCCTGATCATACAAATTAACCCTTGCAGGCGATGTCTCCCAAAATATCGATAGGGTTGGATCGGTCAAAATACACATGCACGAGGATCAATGTGGACGCCGAAGACGGGAAGGCCAAGATCCCAGTGACGCTCCTACATAGGAAAAACATGCAGCTCAATGGACGCAACCCGACCCTCATGCGCTCCTACGGAGCCTACGGCGTCCCTACCGATATCGATTTCCGTGTGGAACATTTCCCACTATTGGAACGTGGGTGGATCATTGCATTGGCGCATGTCCGTGGCGGATCTGAGCTGGGGACTCTCTGGTACCATCAAGGCAAACTTCTGCAGAAGCGCAATACGTTTACGGATTTCATTAATGTTGCGGAGCACTTGGTCGAGGCTGGGTATACCAATCCCCGGAGACTGACGGCCAGTGGTGTCTCTGCCGGCGGTTTACTCATGGGTAAGTTTGCCATAGTGGGTTTTTTTTATTTGGTGCTGTGAACTATCTAACAACTATGCTTCTCGAACAATTTTTTTTTGACATTTCCTACCGTGGACATTGATCACTCATCTTCTTTTCTTTGATTTGATAATAGGTGCGGTGTGTAATATGCGCCCGGACTTGTTCAGGGCCATGATCATGTCGGTGCCGTTCCTGGACCCAATGACGACAATGCTGGACCCCGAGATTCCACTCACAAAAGTTGAATACCTGGAGTGGGGCAACCCCGCTGAGTCTGAACAGATGTACGACTACATGGCTAGCTATGCCCCCTACGATACCATCCCTGACTACTTTTTCAACAGCAACAACAACAAGGACAAGGCCCTGAGTGATGGCGTTGATAACAAGGATATGGATGCCACGCAGTTGACGACGACAGGGTTCCCAAAGCCGCCATTGAGCGCGCGTCGGCCGGCGCTGATGATCAGTTGTGGCGAGCGTGACCAAAGAGTCGATTATTCTCAGTCCACGAAATTTGTGGCGCGGATACGGTCAAGGTTGGCGCCTTGGTATGGAGCTGAGGGGAAGGAGGCCTGCGTGTTGATGATTGATGAGAACCGGGGACATTTTGGAAATGGGACACAGGAGGATCGGGTCAAGAACTGGGCGAGGGAGGTTGTGTTCTTGTTGGGGAGTGTTCAGATGGAAGGTAGTGGACCCACCATGGGAGGTGTTAATCAGGAGCAGTTTGGAGAGGAAGGAGGAGTAAGAGAAGATGAACCTAAATTGCGACCATAGATAAACAATTATTTTTTTTCCTTTTTGTACATTGTACCAGTAAAACACGCGTTGGTGAATGCTCATTTTGCGTTCGCGCGAGCCTTGAGCCTTGAACTGTATTTACTTTTGAATGGGTTTATTATGAGAAAAGGAATCTTGGTATTGTCTGGGAAGGATTATGATGTTCAATTCTAACTTAGTCGAGGTCAGCGGCGCAGGTGCCGGCAGAGACCTGAGTCCAGCCCGCGGTAGGGAACTGGCACTGGGTCACCGACAACCTGCAAGAGTTTCCAAAAGTAGCTTGCTTGCCAGTCTTATCCTGGCCACACACGGGGGCAAGGACATCAGGGCACTTCTGGGCGCAGGCAGCGACGCTACGCTTGGACAAATCACCAGCACAGGTGCTGGCAGAGACTTGGGTCCAACCTGCGGTAGGGAACTGGCACTGGGTCACCGACAGCCTGCAAGAGTTTCCGAAAGTAGCCTGCTTGCCAGTCTTATCCTGGCCACACACGGGGGCAAGGACATCAGGGCACTTCTGGGCGCAGGCAGCGACGCTACGCTTGGACAAATCACCAGCACAGGTGCTGGCAGAGACTTGGGTCCAACCTGCGGTAGGGAACTGGCACTGGGTCACCGACAGCCTGCAAGAGTTTCCGAAAGTAGCCTGCTTGCCAGTCTTATCCTGGCCACAGACGGGGGCAAGGACATCAGGGCACTTCTGGGCGCAGGCAACAACGCTACGCTTGCTCATGTCGTTGGCGCACTCTCCCTTCGAGATCAGGGTCCATTGATCGGCAGGGTACTCGCAGTTGACGATGCTCATGCGGCAAGAGTTGACAAATGTCATTTGGGTGCCGGCCTGGTCCTGGGCGCAGACAGGCGAGATGACATCAGGGCACTTCTGGGGGCATCCGGGGACGGGGGCGTCACGCTTTTTCATCTCGTCAACGGGGCATGGCTTGTTCGAGATCTGTGTGTAGATGTCGCCGGGGGTATTGCAGTTGGATTTGGCGAGCTCGCAGGAGTTGACCCAGGTCTGGGTAAGGCCGGCGGCGTTCTGGGCGCAGACGGGGGCGATGACCGAGGGGCACTTTCCAGCGCAGGCAGGGTTGACGGCGTCGGACTTGGAGAGGATGGCCAAGGTCGAGGCGACCGTCAAAGTGATCAAAGTCGAGAACTTCATTTTTGGGGGTGTGTGGTAGTGGTAGGGGAGGGTACGGTGGAAAGTGGAAAGTGGAGGAACTACTGGTGAGGTTGAAAAGAAGGCGCGTCCAGTTGTATTTATACCACTTTTCGTTTTCTTGAAGTTCTTCATTGTCTCCAATTCTACTTTGCATCCTCTCTGATTCTCAATGCCAAGAGATTAATAAAAAGAAAGATGCACAAGGGTAACGCGGCGGCGGCATGGTACTCGTGTTTTTTTTCCCCTGTCAATTGACTGCAAGGGAACACAAAAAAGAAAGTTCATATCACGGAATTGCCCATCATCTCATTGAGCATTTTTTCTCTGTACTCGCCTAGATGATGTGCCGTAGCCCTCTATTTCATTCTCCTCCAGTATTTCCCTCGCTTTCAACGATGGATGCATCATCCGAAGAGGGACAGTACACGAAGAACGAAACACAATTGTGGATCAACGCGCTCACTCAAATGCTCGGTTAGCCATCCCGGCCTGGGTATGAACTATGACAAAACAATTCACCCAAAAATGAACCTCGGAACAAGCAAACATTCTCCCACGGCGCGCGTAAAAAACAGAAAAAAATATTCAACCAAGTTGGTCCAACTCTGAGGTCGTTTTATTCTAGTACTCATTCGCTATCATCAAATGACGACACGCCTCCCCATCTTCTTGTTCCCCAAAAGAGGTTAACTGGATAAAGGATGGATGGAAGTGGTAAAAAGAGAGAGCAGTTGGGCTATTGATTGTACTGTCATATAATAAAAGGGCAGGTGGACTCCAGAAGAAGACAAGGTCGCTATCGGCTCCCATTTTGTCGTCTGTCTCAAATGTGCATGTGTACACAAAACCTACCAAAAAGAACCGCGGACGTATCATATTCTTTCATTTTTTCTCTTGAGCAAACAATAAACAAATGTCGGACACAGAACAACGGAGACAACACGAACGGTCTTCTTGGGAAATTAGGTTCAGAGAAAAAAATATGCACCTCCTGGATGCAGACTAACGTGGTTTGTTTGTTGTTTGTTCCCTTTTTTTTCGTCCCTTGCCTTATTTGCTGTTTGTTTTAAATTTGGGCTGTCGTTCAACTCGTTGTTTTTCTGAAGCAGCGCGCGCTCAATTGAGAAAAAAGGCGGTGTTGGGAAATGGGCGGACCAATCCAGACCTTTGAGAGCTGAAAAAAGAGTTGTTTTGTTCTCATGACCAAAAACAGGGAGCTTTGCAGAAGCTCCCTCTTCGGCATTGGAAGTAAACAAAAAGACGGATATGGATTGATGTTTAAAGTGGAGCAAGTGAATGGGCAGAGTTGAAAGTAAGAAGGAAGGAAAAGAGGGGACGGTAAATGTTAAAGCCGATGGGTTGTGTTGGTAGTGAGAGAGACTTACATATCAATGACGGTCAATGGCGAACAATAGCGCAAAGCAATAGACAAAGTGAACACAAGGATGACCAATTTTCTTTAGTAATATTCCCTCTTATTCTCTTGCGAAAAAAAAAAAAAAAATGAGAGCGCGAGTATACCCTTTTTTTTTTCAAGCTCCCACTCGACCATTGTCTTTCCTTGTGCCATGTACCCTTTCTTGAAACGGCAATTGAGCTCAATTCAGAAATCGACACATCTGCGGCCTTTTTGACTAGTTTCCTTGTTTCGGGTTTTCCTCATTATGGGGAGTGGAAAAGAAACACCTCCATCCCACTGCTCCATTTCGTGCGCCCATACTTCATCGACTAAGTGGTGCCACATGTCGATTTGTGCACTTGTACCCATCTGTTACTGTCGTCTTTTGTTATGTTCCTACTCCTAATTGTTCTTTTTCACTGCCACTTTTTCATTTCAGTCCTTTCCTTCGGCCTCGTTGCTTGCACAAGCGTCCCCTAACAAGTCCAACAAATGCTGTTTGAGTTACACAAACAATGTTTCTCAACTCACCCGCTGTTTCAACCTTTTGCTCTTCTATCCCTACCATTTTACTAGTGGGAATGATCGGAAGAAAAGCCGAAAACCAAAAAGTGGGGGTGCAAAATAAGGGGATGATGTGGGTTCTTTCTATATTCATTGAAGAGTACAGGTATAATATATTGTTCAAACTGGAACACGATCTATGGAAGTGGATGCGAATGCAGGGAGAGAAAAATATGAGTGCAAATGAGGGTTTCATTGACTACGGTAGTGTATTATTTCAGACCCAAAGAAGGCGGATAAACTTGTCTTGTCTCCATAGAACGTGGCGTTATCTTCCACACACACGCCTTCAGTAAAAGAGGCAACGCATGTATTGTAGTCGATTGACTGTCGCAGCTCATTCAAGTAACAGGAATTGACGACGGTAAAGACTGCACCGTTGGTCGGCGAACACAGTGGGCCTGTTGGTCGCAAATTTGGCGTTAGGCATTTTTAAGTGTGTTCCCATGGGATAGTCGGCGAGCTGATCAAAAGCTCTTTTCGGTCCAGTTTGTTGTTGGGTATGCTGTGGTGGTGACGGTGAGGGTGCTGGCTGTGAGGAGCGTTACCTGGGTTAAGAAATGGAACAGCCTCGTTCTCGGTAGTGGAAGATAGATGGTTGGATGTTGGTTGGTGGCTGCTGCTGACGTGAAAGAAGCGAGAAAAAAGAATTCTTACTTTCTATTTACATGTCAAATGCGGTCCTACATATCACAGCGCTGAAAGGTCCTTCTAAAAACTAATGACTCTTTGCCCATCTGCCTCATTCCACCCCTTAGAATCATCGTCAGTATCTATTTTTTTTTCATCTCCTTCTCCTCACCTCTGCGAACACTCATCACTGTCAACTCTACACTTGCTGGCCCTCTGCTCTTTTTCGATGCGATGATGCCCGTCACCCTTCTTTTTTTTTATATGACAGATGCCCCGATATTCATGGAGTACAACCCTTTTCTTTTGTGGTACAAAGTGGCGCTTCTCGTAAAAGGTATATCCGACTGTGCCTGAGTTCATTCATCACAGCGCAAAGTCCGCACAAACGCATTCGTGCTATGCATCCGCTAGCGGGTCTTTTTTTCCCGTCCCATCCCATGAAGTCTATCACGCTTAGAGCACTGAAAAAAAGAGCGTCCCTCCTAAGACTGCAAAAACAAAACGAGAGAGCTAAGGGAACGGACGGGATGTGTGTACACTTCCGGGAACATTCCAACCACGCCGACAGAGAAGAAAGTGCGTGAGCCACATTGACAGAGAGGATTGCACGCTCTCTGGAGCGCTATTGTACTAGTAGACGCGTCTTTTTAACACCGCAAGCACGTCTTGATCGCGTCCGCCCATCACGAATCACAGTCTCCACATGTTATCCTTCTTCCACCATCTCCTTTGTCGTGACTGAGAAAATACGCCCAATCCGGTAGCCTCAGCCAGAAGACACGCTCTCTGGGCTGTTGTCACTTCTTTTTACAAACTCTGTTTTGGCGTTCTGCGAAGGCGACTGCTGCTATGAGTTTAAAATGGAGTACACCTTCCTCAGCATGCGCTGATCTTGGCTTCGCCCCTGTACCTTGTTGCACACATATGAACTTGATGATACAAGATGAAGCTAAAATTTTGTTTTATAGTGATGTTTAAGCAATAAGATTCAGTTCGCAAACGAAAATCAAGCTGGCCACTCTTAATCCACCTCCATGTAAACGTCTCCAGATGCGCGAGCCTGCATCATGCGTTGCGCCTCAGCAGCACCATACTGCTGTTGAAGCTGCTGGTGCACTCCACCAACACGCTCCAGCTTCTCCTTTTGTGCCTTCTGTCGCGCCAGGACATCGTCCAGAGTCCACAGACTAACACCCATCTGCGCCTGAGTCTCCAGGGGTTGGGCCATCGATCTCAAAAACTTTTTCGCGATCGCAATTCCCATATCCGTCGACAGGTTGACGCTGGTGTCGGTAATGTACTGGTTGATCCATTTTGGCAACTTGGATCGTTTATCCTGGCGAGCATATCGTCGGTCCGCAAACACCATCAGTCCGTAATCCGTCTTTCCTCGCAGGACACGTCCCAAACACTGAGCAGCATGACGGAGGGCATCGAATGTCAAAAAGTCGTTCTCACGGACTCGATGCTCATCTCGAAGGAACTCCAGACGCGCCTTCAGGATCCTCGACTCGGTGTACTGGTAAGGGATACCAAACATCACGACAGCGCGCCCGTAATGATGATCGAAATCGATTCCCTCCGACACCTTTCCACGAGCGACGGCCAAAAGAATCGCGCCACGACCGTTCTCGCACGCCCGCCGGTAGTTGTCCAATGCAATCGATGTCTCTGCCGAATCTGGTGTCTCGACGAAAATCAGCTTTGTCTTCCATGCCTCCGTCAGAATACCCTGTAGAAAATATAAAAGAAGGATCAGGGTGGTGGGTTGTGAGAATTAATCGCCACAATTGAAGATCGAAAAAAGAAATATTATCACATTGGAGGTTCAACGTACCATCTCATGCCACATGGCAATGATACTCTCCATGTATAGATAACTGGGGAAGAAGGCCACGATGCCGTCCGGTACAATTTTTCCAAACTCAATGAGAATGTTGCCAAAGTTGCGAACCACCGCAGGATCGTTGCGGACCTCAAACTTGGACGAGATAGCGACCTGATCCGATCCTCTTGTAATGACCATGGGCAAGAAGCAGTTCCTGGTCAGGGTCATAGGATAACTCTCCTGCACAGTCGCTTTAAAATCCAGGATCTTGGGGTACATGTCCAGAGGGGACAGTGTTCCTGAGGTGATGATGACAGACGAGAACCGCTCAAAGACTGGCTTGATCGCAATTGCGGCATCCAGGCAGGCGAATCGTAGAATCGGGTTAGGCACCGTGGCGTTCTCGCTCTCATAGGGCTCGAGTACCAACATGAATCCCTTGTCGTATGTTGCTACGAGTGTCGCCAACGCAGCCACCCTCTGCAACGATGATAAATCATCCAAGTTGTTGAGTTCCAGCGTACGGGTGAGAAGCGACAGTCGCTCAGAACAGAACTGCAACGGTTTCCGCTCAATAAAAGTGATCTCCTTCAAATGCCGTAAGAAAGATGATGGAGTCTCTGCCGTGACGTTCAGTACCCTCAATCTGGTCTTGAGATACTCGTTGAATCGCTTCAGGAACGCAACGAAATGCTCGGCCTTACGAATGTTTCCTGGCACCGCCTCATGCAAGAGGTCATCTGGTAGAGCTGGGTTGGCCATGATGCTTTCCTCGTCTCGGGCTGCCAGTGTGTCCTGTAGTCCCTGCACTAGCTTTTCGTACTCGTTCTTTAGCTTTTCTGATCCTTGCTGCTTCATTGTCTCAATTCTCTCCGATAGTTGGGCGATACTCTTTGAACTCGCCTCCAATGTCGGCCGCATGATATCCAGACTCAACGAGTCAATACAAACGTTATCTATACCGAGGGAGAGCACAGTGCCAAGGGTTAGATTGCTACATCAATTAAGTGATCAGTTCTCATCAAACGAGGTTATCAACAACATGATGAGAACCCGTACCAATGTTATGTGCCTCGTCAAAGACAACGATCGAATCCTTCGACAACTCCTTAGAGATCAAGTCGGCGATCTTGGGATCGAGCATGTAATGATACGAGTAGATAATCACATTGGCGTGTGAAAGCTATAAAGTTGAAAACAATAATAAGATCGTCAGTAACGATCATCCAATGAAACAAGCTGCGGATGAAATTAAAATGGCAGAAGGTGCCTACCAGACGGCGAGCCATGTAGTACGGACAGGTCTTCTTGACCTTTCCCAGCTCCTTGATGTCGTCCAATGTGTAGATCGCATCCGGGACTAACTCTCGAACATCACCCCGCTCCAACTCCTCGTAAAACGAGCATGTTTCGATATCCTGTCCTGCCTGTTCTGCCTCCCGAATCCATGGTGCCGTCAGGTTATGACAGCGAGCGTCGACGACTTTGCCCTTCTTTTCTTTGCTGACCGAGGGGTGTAGACACAGGTTGCGACGACTTGTCAGTCCGAGTCCCAATATCGTCTCGTTCAATCCACAGCTCTTTCGGTATTCGACAAGACGCTTCAACTCTGCCAGCGCTTTCTCGATCTCGGGCACGGTACGCGAGCAGTAAATTAATTTGCGCTTTTCGGGATAGTGCTATATTTTCATGACGTGAAAAAAGTGTGAGGCTGTCTGTCAGCCTTTGTCATAACGGTACTTGAACGACCAATGTGATTTTGGTGGCGTTGCTGTCCAATTTTCAGCAAAAAAAAGGGGGAGGAGAAGCATCCAGTTGTTTACCTGCTGGTATGAGACGATGAGTGACAGAAGAGACACTGTCTTTCCAGTTCCCGAAGGCATCTCAAGTACGCCATGGCCCTATGTTCAAGAAAAGTTAGATGGTGTTAATCCAAGTTGACAGGTCAAAAGCCATACCGTGCTGTGTGGTGATCGATCGACTGTTTGAGCAGGGAGTCCGCGTTAGGCTTACTTGAGCATCCAGAGTTTGCTTGAGTGAGCACATGTAGGCATATTGTTCCGGATAGATCCTGTCGTATGGGAAGTAGACTGGAAGGTCGTCGATATGGAACCTGTGAAAAAAAAAAGTCGTCAGTCAGAGCGTACGAGTATGTGAGAAGCGAGCAATGGTCGCCATGGACACAAACATTTCAATCTAGTTATTGTTGTTGTTGTGTTCTTACAGCATGACGAGAGATGGTTTTGTCAAAGGGTTGTACTGAGTTTGTTGATGTGTGTTTTATTCTTTGAATGTTAGAATCAGAGTGTGCTTCGGCAGAAGAGAATATAAGGTCGAAGGAGAAGAAGAAGAAGGCGAGTGAATAAAGAGAAGATGCACGATTCGTTGGCCTTTTTATGCTCGTTGTTGCGCTTCTTTCTCTTCTGAAGGCGCGCATCGCAGTCACTTTTTTGGCTCCAATGTCGTCACCCTTAACTGCTGAACATACTTCGGGACCCCTTATCTTGCTCCTCCTTTTCCTTCCTTTCTCCACTTCACCCCTTCCTTTTCTCTCTTCTTTCTATCGCGTTACAATTGCCACCTTCCCCACCTCTTCAACCTCCTCCCCCCTAACACAACCCTCACCACCACTCTGCCCACACCCAGCTCTCGACTCTCTTTTGTTGACCTCTCATATCCTCACCTCACCCACGCTGTTGTGTCAACCTTCTCCTCCCACCCACGCTTTGACTGCACAAGTCTCAGGAACGCGTCTTCCTTTCGCCCACACAGCAACAAATACACACACACATACCCCTAATAACCAACTATGCCACAAGTAAGAGCAAACTTGCCATTTTATTCATGCACACCCGCGCGCGCTACAACAATGAAAAACGCGCACACACACGCACCCTCAATAAAAACAAAACTCTCATTCGACCCATCGAACAAGCCCAGACACGTCCACTCACATGCAACCCACAGAAAACAAGCATGAAAGAGAATATAATCTGATGCCCCCTGAGAACCCCCCTTTTCACCCATCTCCAACTTTAATCTCCACTTCTCCACTTCTCGAGCTTCCTCCCCTTCTTTCGTCACCCCCTTATGCCCACTTGTCGCTCTTTTTATGATTTTCCATTTCTTCCTGTCTGTTCTTGCTTTTTTCACTCCTCAATTGATACTCATACTCACCTACGTTTGCTTTCGCTGTCAACTTGAATAGAAAACTATTACCAAGGAGATCAAGGTACCTAAGCAAGCGTGAAGAATACGTACACCTCAGAGGCAGACGCAGAGAGGCACCCAATTGCGAGCCAGGAACAGTAGTGGACTGACCTAGTTTGTTTTATTTTTTGGTGGCGTTTTTCCTATCTCTCGCTCACAGGTGATCACGGACCAGCACATCGTCAAGGGACAGAAGCAGAATGGATTCCCGATGCGCAAGTGGAAGATATCGCTCATGGGGATCAACGCCAACGGAGAGGAAGAGTCACTACCCTATGTCGACCACGTCGAGTACATCCTGCACCAGACCTTTGAGCAGCCCCTGCGGAGTAAGTCGTCACTTTTAGATAGCTATCAGTTATCACCCCTGCTTTCTGATGATCAACTTTCAAGGACAACACGGCACTATGGACCACCCACCTGCACTAATCAATCTTCTTGATGATCTCTTTTTATGACAGAGGTGACAAAGTTTCCTTTTCAGCTGCAGGAAAAGGGATGGGGCGAGTTCGATATGAAGATTATGCTGCACTTTGTCGACAATGCAGACTCACCAGCAATGCTGGACCACGACCTGAACTTTCAACAGAACCACTACGAGATCGAGCATACTTTGGTAAGGTTTCCTTGTGCTTCTTGACTACCTTTTATTTTCGGCTCAGCTTGCGATACTTTGACTTTGTTCAATCGCGTACTGACTATTATACCACTCACTATATTGTTAGTCGTTTAGGCCAGATATCAAGCCAAGTTTCTTAAAGCTGTTGAACCGGCCTGTAGAGACGATATCAGATCGGGACAGCCAAATGTCCAGCAACGACAGTGGGATTGATGGAAAGGCACATAAGCGGCGAAAGGACGCAATACTGAAGGAGAAGTCAAAACGGGTCAAGGCAGACAGGAGTTCAGACGAAGATAGCCATGGCGACAGCAGTGCTGCATCAGGAGACGACTGGGATAGTGAGGTAACGCTACGGACCGATTTGAGATGAAATGAGCAAGTCATTAGCATAATTGAAACGTGAGAATGGGTAACTTACTTCAGCTTTGCATTCTTCGGGCGGGGCAACTCTGCTCTTGATAGATCAATGTGCATGTGCTGGCAGAAAAGTTCCAGCGGCTACAAGCTTCGGATCTTATCGAGGTCATCAAGATGGTCAAAGCCAACCAGACCTCAGAGATGTATGTTCGGGAAGACGGTGAAGGTAACAAGCAGGCTTTATTAGTATTTTTGTTCTTCGTGTTGCCTCTGCTCTAGTGTCCAAGCGACATTGTCGCTAAATAATTGTTCATTTGCTTGGTCATGTAACAGCGGGCGAGTACCAGATCGATTTACGGACACTGGGCGACGACTTGCTGAATCAGCTTTGGCAATTCTGCACCAAGAGACTGGAAGGTTAATTGAGCAAGGGACAACTTGATGTGCCCGATTTCTGGGAGGCATAGTTGTTATGTCGCAGTGACAGGTGCATCTTTACACTGCCAACACACGTCCCTTCACCGCCGACCCACCCCACATTCCTCGTTGTTCACCTCGTGTATGACAAAGTCGGCATAGATGTAATGGCAGACTATCTTACTCCAGTAACTGTAGTACATTAAAAAAATACAATTGGATCATCAAGCAACAGGAGTACTTTCCACGGTTTTGACTGTCGGCTTGCGCCCAAGCATTGGCTGAAAGAGTTGACAAAAAAAATAAGGATGGCACGAACCGATTATTTCTTGCCCTGGACTAACAGGACTAGCCAAGGAGGGAGGTGCGTTCGAAAGTGACATTGTATGTGCGTGTTATGTGTGTGTGTGTGTGCACGTTGATTTGACCAGACAAGCCTCTGGCAAGGAGAGCACCATTTTTAAGGTTGCTTCTCATCTCAGAATAAAGAAAAAATAGAGTCGACAGCCAAAAGTGCGGCGTGTGGCGGACACTGCCTTCAACCCTAAAATGGCTCTAATTGCTTATGGTCCCTGTTTTGCCCCCTGGCCCATGGCGGACAAAAGAGTCTGACCCTGCTTCTACTCTGTTCCTCACTCGGCACTTTCTTTCTCTCTCTTTTGCCTTTTCTTCCCTTTCCCCTTTCTTCTTCCTCCACCTCCACCTCCACCTCCACCTCCACCTCCTCACTCACCTTCGCCTCATTCACACTCCCATCGTCGCCATGTCAGTCCTCCTGGCGCGATTCAGGATCGGAATCGCCGCCCTACTCCTCTTCGTCATAATCCTCGACATTACCTACTGGGTCCTCTACTTCAACGGCCTCTCCCCCAACGACAAAGCCACACGCACGCTCCTTACCCCAGAACGACTCATCCTCGCCGACCATATTTTGCTCGTCCTTATCATTGGCTATGCCGCCGTACCCCGGTTCCCCACAAAAGTGCCGCGCTATGCCCGTGCCTTTGTGCTCTTTGTCCTGGCGGTCTATATGCTCTACTACCACCTGAACAACCTCTCTTCTCTCTTTGCGTCACGTGTCTTTCTCTGCAGCACCTCGTATATCAAGAACGCCTGTGGTGTTAATCGTGTCATCCAGATCTTTGGCACAGTCGCTGGCTTCTTGATCATGTATGAGAATGCCTTGACCCTCAAAGAGACCGACCCTAGCCCGTCCACCAAAGCAGCGGCAGCAGGAGGGGCTGGAGGAACTGAAGGAACTGGAGGAGCACAGCCGAACCCTAACATTGTCCCTTACAATCCAGGGATGCAGACCTTTAACCCGACCTATCCGCAGCAGCAACAATTCCAGCAGCAGCAGCAGCAGCTTGTATACTATCCTCAGCAACAGCAACCTTATACACTGGCGCAGCAGCAACCTCTCCAGAACGCGACACATAAGTTTGAGGCCCAAGGACAAGCACAACAGCAACAACAGTTCCAGCCACAACCACTTTACCAGCTGACCCCTCAACAACAGCAACAACAACTGTTCTACCAGCCCCTTCAACCTGGTCAACAACCATTAATACAGCAGCAGCAAAGCCCCTATTCACAACAACAACAACAACAACAACAACAACAACAACAGACCGTAGCTGCTCAACCTATGGTTCCTGGATCGTTGGTCACGACAACTCCTCAGCCAGGCGGACAGGCTATTGCCCCTTACACAAGCTCGGGTGGTGCCTCGGTTGCTGTCTCACCGGTGCTTCCTGTTGGAGGGTACTCGACTCCTTCACCCTCTGTCGGTCACCAGTCGCCTGTCCATCCTCCTCAGTAACGTTTAGGTTGGTTGTTTACCGCTAGTTTCTCCCTTACCATCCACATAATGATTTCCCTCTTTTTTTCTTACCAGGCATTCAAAATAATAATAATAAACGCATGCTCCTCGTATTTACGGACGTGCAGGGTCGGATAGGAGGAGAATTGTCGCTGTGCCATGTATGTGGAGAAAGGAAGTGGCAGTAGCACCTCTTCCTTTGTTTTGACCTTTTGCGACAGCACCAACAGAACTTTTATCACAAGAGGAGAAAAGTACCGCGTCAGACGAGAAAAGAAGGAACACCCTTCCTCTCACTGCTGGGCGAAGCACAACTGATGAACGCCCTATTCTTCGAGAAATGTCTGAAAGAGTTACATAGGAATTGAGTTGGAACGAGTTGGAGAACTATGGAAGCGATGATGATGATGCTGATGTTGTGGTGCTTCCGCCCAATTTCATCGATGAGATAGGTTTTGTTGGCAAGGCAACAATGACCGTATCGATCAACACCTTTTCCCAGGATTCAGAATCATTCATATCCCGGTAACCAACAACAGCCAAAAAAAAAGAAAATGTCATAATTTCCGAATGTTAAAATGGCCAGTGCTTGATCAAGGAGATGAGGAGAGAGAGAGAGAGAACCCTTTTATCACTTTTTTTCTTTTTCAACCTCTATCTCTTTCTTACACCTCCTTCATCCTCCTCGATCATCTCACTCTCCTTCTCTTCTTCCCTCCTCCCTTTACACAAACAGACACACGCGCCAAACATGGTTAAAATATCCTCAACAGCCCAACTAACAGTTGTCCGCCCGCGTCCGGATCGCACTATGCATAAATTTCATTCTCATGGTCGCCCTCTACTCCTTCCAAGCCTATCTCAGTAACAACCCTTCCAAAATACCGCGATGAGCCTCGAATACCGTCCCTCCTCTGGCAAGATTGCATCCTCATCATCTCTTCGGTTTTATTCGTGGCTGTCTGTTACTATGCCTTGAGGGGGTTCTAGCTCATACCCAAGACTATACATGTGATTATGTTACTCGTCCCGGCGGTATTGTTAATATACGTCAGTTATATTTTTGATGGTCCAGGCGACGGACATAGGATGGCGATGGTTTCTGTGTTCAAATGTGGTGGGATCTATCCAATACAGAAGATTTCTTTACGTCGGTGATAACTCTGGCGGTTGAGTGATCCTCAAGTAAGGGTGAGAAAAAGGCATTAACAGTAGGGATTACCATCGCTCCAGTTGATCGACTTTGGCAGATCATCAGAGTAACAAGCTCACTCAGACGTATTTCGGGTCTTGGTGCTCCCTCTTCTTTTTTTTATTTTTTTTTATTTCTTTTAGTTTAATGGAATAAATGATCTATAAAGACCACTCGGAGTCGGAATCGGTCCATTCGGAGAAGGTCGTATGAGGCAAGAATGGCTTGATATACCGCTCCATCGTCTCATCACAATCATTCGAGTGCCCAACCAAGTACGACAACGTCAACTCCTTCAATCGAATCGGTCGGTTCCCAATCCTGACCAGCGCGCCTGCTACCGCGTCCTCCGAGGACAACGTCTCGTCGGACGACCGGCAGACCTGATCCAGGATCAGTTCTTCGAGATTTGGCAGGAACTCCAAGAGGCTGTAGAATATCGTGAGTGTTGCCTGATCGTAAATGAGTTCTAGTAACGCCAGTTGCGGGAAGGTGCGCGAGAGTAGGAGGTTTTCGCTCTTTGTACGTCGAAAGCCCCAGGGGAAAAATACGCACGTGTAATGGCGGAGGTTTGGGAGTACCTCCAGGAGTGTTTGCAACTTGAGGGTCCTGAAGTCGTTCCTAAGTCGAGTGAGGTTGGTCAGAGAGGCGAATGTATCGTACATGAACTGCTCCTGTATGGGATGGTAGCCGATCCAGGCATGGTGACCCAAATAGAGATACTCGAGTAATGGATTTGATAGGATAAGGTGCCAGCACCGCTGTGCTGTCATCCAAACCTTGATGCCCTTGCTACAGATTTCCCCAACTGAAGGTATGAAGTCCTTGAGCAAAGGGGAAAGCATATGGTTGGAGTATTCCTCTGAGCGTTGGTATCTTGTCAAGACCTCCTCCGCATGATCACCCATTATTTTCATTTTGGAGGCGTCGATGACAGTTAAGGAGGTTAGGTTCGTGCAGGATCCTGTGGTAACGGCGGCTCTCACGGTGCTGTCCCAATGTGTCGTGAGGTGTCGAATATGGTGTCCGTGCTTGCTGAAAACGTCTCGAAGCCAGGCCTTGAGAACCTTTTTGGGACTCTGAATGGCGCTCTCCTCGGTGTGGATGGCGAGTTTCGAAATGTGTTCGTCGTCAAAGATCCTCCAGGCGAATGGAGTGAAGAGGTGGTTCCAGAAACGACAGACTTGAATGCAGGAGAGCAGGTCATGGCGGTCCAAGTGAGATCCGATGATGATCAGGATCTCGGGAAAGTATGCGAGTGGCGTTTTCTGGTTGTTACCTATCATGGTGGATGATAGAAAAATAGGGAAAGAAGAGTAGAGTGAGAGTGAAATAGTTAAAAAAAAGCGCACCTTTTATTTGACAGTGCATGGATCCATTCCAATGTAATGAAGAAAGTCCAATGGAGATGTCTTCGCCTCCTGTACAGCCCACAGCTCTCCCCTTCCATGTGTTTCCAATGGGGGGTTTATTTTATTGCGCAGTAACTCAGAAGAAAGTGTTGTTATGATGCCGCGACGTCTCATGAACCTCCTCGATCGCCTCATGCTTTACACTTGGACGCAATTTTTCCATATAGTCCTTCAAGATCTGTACTTTAACATCATCGTCATACTTCAAGTTAAGAAGTAGCTCTTGAAAACCTCGCATACTCCTCAACCTAGGCCAGCTCGCCGCCATCCACGCCAGCTCCCTGGTCCCGATCCGGTGTCTGACGCTCTCAAATCCAAACATCTTTTGGCCCTTGAGCGTACTCAATCGACCCATTCCCGACACCAACGTTAGTTCCAAGCTGTTGCGAATGGGTGGGCTGATATCTGTGTATAACCGACCATTGATTTGCATGATTACAATGTCGCCGGTAATTAGACGTAATACCTCAAAACCTAGTCGACTCTCATATCCCAAGTCAAGTACTTTCAGCTGCGTCGTCTCTCCCAGTCGACTATACACTCGTTCGTGCAGTTCATGACTACGCCGCTGCTTCTCACAATCTCCATCGCTCTGCCACCCACTCTCCTTCGTATTTTCCCCTTATCGTCCCGATCAGTCGCAACCTCCCAAGCGTTTAGATGTCCTGTTCTCAAAACTCCAATCGCTCCATACCGATGATCTGACAACGGAGGGTCTCCAGCCCTCGACAGACCCAAGGCTCGGCCAGAAGGTGGCCTCTCCATGTGCAAAAGGATATAAAAAAGCATATAAAGAATATCCAAAGCCCAAGGAATGCACTGTAGACTTCCATATGTGATATATCTCTTCACAGTCGGCAACAGTACTGAGGGTGAGATAGCAACAGACAGCACAAGATCTTTTAAAAATGTAATCTCTCCCCTGTATTTCACAGCAAAGATACAATTGAGAGCATAAGAGCCTTAGATGATCACGTACAAGAACTACTCCCCTGAATCTTGTAGGGAGGGGTACAGTTTAATAGTAGATGGACACATTCAAGAAGACTTCGTTGTTTGGAGAATGGGTTGGCGTTTAATAGGATATTTACATGAGGAGTGTTACAATGGTTGTCTTACATGCTTGGTATCATATATACATTCTCATCTCATAGTCGCTATTGATATCATCGAGATCTACAGAGATGTAACAAACACCATATGATAATTTGGACGTGAAAGGCCTCCTATTCGGTCAACTCGGAGTCGGTCCACTCGGTGAAGGTCGTCTGAGGCAAGAAAGGCTTGACATACCGCTCCATCGTCTCATCACAATCCTTCGAATGCCCAACAAAGTACCACAACGTCAACTCCTTCAATTGAATCGGTCGGTCCCCAATCCTGGCCAGTGCGCCTGCTACCGCGTCCTCCGAGGACGACGTCTCGTCGGACGACCGGCAGACCTGATCCAGGATCAGTTCTTCGAGATTTGGCAAGAACTCCAGGATATTGTAGAATATCGTGGGTGTTGCCTGATCGTAAATGAGTTCTAGTGACGCCAGTTGCGGGAAGGTGCGCGAGAGTAGGAGGTTTTCACTCTTGGTACGTCGAAAGCCGCAGTGGAAATATGCGCACGTGTAATGGCGGAGGTTTGGGAGTACCTCCAGGAGTGTTTGCAACTTGAGGATTCTGAAGTCGTTCCTTAGTCGAGTGAGGTTGGTCAGGGAGGCGAATGTATCGTACATGAACTGCTCCTGTATGGGATGGTACCTGTTCCAGGCATAACAATCCAAATAGAGAGACTCGAGTAATGGATTTGATAGGATAAGGTGCCAGCACCGCTGTGTTGTCATCCAAAGCTTGATACTGTCCTTGCTGCAGGGTTCCCCAACTGAGGGTATGAAGTCCTTGAGCAAAGGGGAAAGCATATGGTTGGAGTATTCCTCTGAGCGTTGGTATCTTGTCAAGACCTCCTCCGCATGATCATCCATTATTCTCATTTTGGAGGCGTCAATGACAGTCAAGGAGGTCAGGCGCGTGCAGGATCCTGTGGTAACGGCGGCTCTCACGGTGCTGTCCCAATGTGTCGTGAGGTGTCGAATATGGTGTCCGTGCTTGCTGAAAACGTCTCGAAGCCAGGCCTTGAGAACCTTTTTGGGACTCTGAATGGCGCTCTCCTCGGTGTGGATGGCGAGTTTCGAAATGTGTTCGTCGTCAAAGATCCTCCAGGCGAATGGAGTGAAGAGCTGGTTCCAGAAACGACAGACTTGAATGCAAGAGAGCAGGTCATGGCGGTCCAAGTGAGATCCGATGATGATCAGGATCTCGGGAAAGTATGCGAGTGGCGTTTTCTGGTTGTTACTTATCATGGTGGACGATGGAAAAATAGAGAAAGAAGAGTAAAAAAAAGCGCACCTTTTATTTTACATCTATGCATGGATCCATTCCAATGTAATGAAAAAAAGTCCAATGAAAATGACTTCGCCTCCTGTACAGTCCACATCCCTCCACTTTTTATTTATGTTATCTCTCAGCGAGACAGATAGAGTGATCAGTGATGGTGCCCGGATGGAGATCGACCTTCTAGAGATTGTCGATCTTCGTTTGAAGGCAAGAAGGGATGCCATTATCTGCGAACTGACTTGTACCATAGAGCGCCTACTAACTTATCAATTGCTCCATTCTCTCTCTTGGTTCCTTCTGACACGAAATGATTTGACCAAGAAAGTGAGTAGTGATTTGGTTCTGGTTCGGCATTTTCTTGTTAGATTCGTCGTTGGTTTGTCCGGTGGCTCACTTTTCTTCGATCGTTTTGGTTGCTTTTAGGTTTCCTCTTGCAACGCGTACCCTCTTCTGATAAGAAGAAATGACCAAAGTCAAAAGAATGAGTCGTCAACTCCACTCTGATAGTTGTTCTTTGTGTCTAGCAAGCATAAACAAGAGTGTGTGTGCGTTATGTATATTAGAAGAAAAGTTAAAATTACAGTCTACGAGACGAAAGCAAAAAAAGGAGTAAGCGTGGGAGTGTGTCGAATCCAGGCCTCGTTCAGATCTAGTTCTCCTTCTTGGCAGCAGCAGCAGGGGCAGCCTTGGCCTTGTTGTCCTTCTCGACTTGAGAGAAAGCAAAGTACTTGAGCATAACCAAGAACGCCTCGACGATGAACCAAGCTGCAATCAAGACGCTCAATCCTCCAAGACCGCCCATGAAAATAGCCATATGGTTGGCATAAGGGGTATAGAAAATAGCATCTCCTTGCTCCTGACCTTCCTGCTTGTCCTGAACAATAACAGCCTCCTGACCGGCGTTCCGACGAAGGGTCTTTGTAACCTCCTCCAGAAGGACCTCCTTGGGTGAGAACAAGGATGCGTTACCCTGGAGGGGGAGGAAGATATGGTAGGAGGCCCAGAGGGCGGCAAAGGTCAACTGAATCGGGAGTTGGTTGCGGAGTTTTGAGAGCGGGCGGGCGGTGTATTCGGCAGGGAAGAAGTAGATGTAGATGAGGGAGATGATCTCGAGGGCGAAGAAGAGATGGGTGACCATTCCGTCCATGAAGAGGGCGGTGTGGAGGAAGCCGTGGATGACGACGAAGCCGATGATGGTGAGCTGGTACTGACGGAGGCCGTATTGGGTTGCGATATCGGGGAGGATCTTGGACAACATCTTGGGTGGTGGTCTTGTTTGCTGTAGTGTCTTGTTGGCGGAGGTGGGAAGGACGGTGGAGTGTAAGGAGAAGGGAAGAAAGAAAAGAAGAAAGAAGAAGAAGGAGGAAGGTGAGGGGATGAAGAGTTAAAGAAGGATGATAGTCGAACGAGCGAATGAGTGTGAACGAACGAAGGGCTCTTTGGAAAGAAGGGACTTGACCACTCGAGGAGATTGAGGCACAAGGACAGCGAGCAAGTTGTGGCCCAATCAAAAACTACACCAATCATCGTCTCGCCGTTGTGCCGCTGCTCGAATCAAATGCGACTTGGAACAAGGGTTTTTTTGAATGTGGTCGCTCAAGAAGACTGTTACGTTGGCTACTGCGTCAACCAGAGCTCACACACGCATACACATGCTTCAATTGGACGCGCTAGAAAGGTCTAGGTCTTGGATATCATCGCTTCTTTTCTTTATTCAACATAGAGAAGAGCTTCTACTTCTGGAGACGGTCCTCCCAGCCAGAAGAAAAGTCCCACGCTTCCGCTTCCTCATCCCACTCACACAGAATCGTCCCCACAATCGCCTCCTCCTGTAACAGGTCCCCATACACATGTGGAAAGATTCTACTGACATCCGTCGGATGTTCTCCCTTGGCAGCCTCCCATTTCACTTGAGGCTTGATGGCCTCAAACTTGATCTTGAGGATGAGAAGGTCGTTGAATTTCGACTTTGGGAAGAACCGGTTGGCGGTGCCGGGGACTTGGGCGGATGTCGAGAGGTGGTAGAAGCCGTCGGCCTTGTCGAGGGCCGAGAGGGGGAGGACCTTGTCGGATGGGCTGAAGGTTGAGGCGGGCGAAATCAGTTTGTAGACGAACGAGGGGTCGACGGAGGGCGCCAGTGGGTGGTTGGACATTGTGTTATGTGTTTGTTGTTTGTGGAGGGTGGAGTTGAGAGGATTGAAAAAAAGTGTTTTCCTCTTTCTTGCTCAAGTTGCGCAGACAAGCAAAAAAGTAAAAAAAAAGTGGTGGCGTGTGAATCGCACTTGCGCGTCCTTCAGACTTTATCTCCGCTTCTTTTCTTTGTCACCTTGCTTTTACTTCTTTCCTCTTCCTTCTTCTTTTTCACACATTCACGCACCACAACCAACAAGCAACATCACACAATGGACTCAGTCAGCCTCTCCTCACGGGAATACGAATTCAACAACTACTCCATCGAACCCCTCGAGATCTATGAAGACCCCTCCGGTCTCCTGTAAGCACCACTTTTCGACTTCTATTGGCACTTTTTTTCACTTTTACTCACAAACATACGCAAAACAATTACCTAACAACTTTCTTCTTTCGTCATTGAATAGGCACGGAGGCGTAGGTTCAACAGTCTGGGATACAGCAATCGTCCTCTCCAAATACCTCGAGAAATCAAACATCCTCGCCACATCTTCCGCAACCGCCTCAAGATCAAAACGGACAACCCTCAACATCCTCGAACTCGGATCAGGAACTGGACTCGTCGGTTTGGCAGTCGCTAGGATGTTGAGTGCCACAGGTCAGAAAGCTAGGATCGTCTTGACGGATAAGGCTAATGTTTTGCCGTTGCTTCAGAGGAACATGGAAAAGAATCCTGCGGAGGGGGTTGAACTGGAGGCGCGGGTCTTGGATTGGGAGGCTGTTAGTGGGGTTAGGGCTAAAGCTATCGCAAAGGCACCAGACTCGGAAGCAGACCAATCTTCATCAGAGGAAACAGTGTCTGCGACGGAACCAGAAGCAACAACTACATCAGAACCATCATCATCTCCAGTGGCAACAACAACTACAGAATCACCTAACGCGGACGACATAGTATCAACAGAATGGGACCTAGTCATTCTCAGCGACTGCATCTGGTTCCCGGCACTCTACGCACCCCTCATAGGAACACTCATCCGCCTCCTTGGACCCGAAACCGCATCCTCTTCAAAACTGATTGTCGCGTTTGAGAAGCGTAACTTTTCAGAAGAGATGGAATTCTTTGCGACGCTCGGCAAGTCCTTTACGTTCAGGGATGTTAAGCCAGAAGAGCAGGACCCCAGTTATCAAAGTGACGATATCTTTTTGTTTCTCTGTCAGCGTCGTCCCTTGGATCAATAAAAAAAAAAGACAGTGTGAGTGGAATCGGATGCAATTTGCAAGAAAAACTGGGATTTTTTGGCCTGCTCAATGTGAGTGCGCCAGTCAGAAGGTTTATTTTCTTTTTTCTGGATTGAGCCATTCAAAGTAATTACAGCGGTGATCAGGGCTCTGTCCAATCCTATCGCCATTCGGGCCCACTGGTCTGAAGACACACACACAAAGCAGAAATAGGAGAATGGTAAGCATCAGATCATACAATCATATCAGCATAACAGCAACGGCAGCAAGTAGCAGGGAAAACCTACAGGGAACATAAAAAAAACCGCCGCCCTTTGTTAGGTCCCTTCTTGTTAACGGTATACTCTGTACAGGGCTGGTTATGGAACTTGCATTTGGGGACCGTCTTGGGTGTAAACAGCGTCTGCCATTTAGATGTTGTTGTCTCGCCATTGATCGAAAAGGGTAGTACATCCTGAGAGCCCGGGATCCAGTCTGCATAGTCCTGAGGCGAGAAAGTTGATGAGGACGAGGACGGTGCTGCGGTAGTGGTGGATGTTAGCATGGACAAAGACTCCTGTGAGGAACCGATTGAGGACTCCAGTGATGCCGATATCGCCGTGGGTGAAGGTATAGATTGCTGAAAAGCGCCATTGACATTGCTACTATCCTGCTGCTGCTGCTCTGGTAGTTTGCCGCTGCTGGGTGTAGCTTCCTTAGCCGGTTTCTTGGTAGATGCACCAAAGAACGAATGCATGGTCTGCTGTCCCGACGGGTTGACAGCGGCGGTTGAGGATTTCTTGGTAGTTGCGGCAGATCCAGGTTTGGCGGTTGACTTGATAGTAGGCTTGGGTATACTGTCAGGGGTGGACGTCCTAGTTAGTGAGCCAGTTCTTGGTGACGGTGGAGTGCTCGGAAGGGTCGGTGTTGTTGATGGGGAGGCAAAGAACGGTTTCTTTCTCGGCGCATTACTGTCATCCTCGTTTGTCTGCGCGCCTGCTGGTCGTTTGTTGTCCGAGACAAAGGACACACTCGCTGTCGCTGGTTTGACCGCTGCTGTTAATGAGCCTGTTGTCAGTGAGCCCGTTGTCGAGGACGCAGGTTTCTTGAAGAAGGCGGACAGTTTCTGTTGTTTTCCAGAAAACTCGTCAAAGAACCTGGCCGCCAGAGGGTGATCCGTCGTCCCGCCATAAGAGTCCAGAATATCCTGCAGGACACGCTTCCCCTCCTTTAGTGGAGCAAGTTGCTGCAGCGATGATTCCTGTCCTTCTTGTGTCACAGACTGCTCCTCTTCCTTGCCCAGTACCAACTCAGTGGCCATTTCAGCGACGACCGGGCAGTGGTCTGAACCGACGATTTGAGGTTGGCGATCGCAGGATGAGAACCAGGGGAGCAAATTTTCTGTCACAAGGATGTAGTCCAGTCTTGTTCCGTAATTTGAAGGCCTATTCGGAAAAAAAGAAAGTAAATCAGCACGTTAAATGCTCCGACATGTTTTTTCACCGAGCAGAAATACCAATTCAAAATAATTCACAACCTCAGAAATCCATACCTGGCATTGATTTTCGTGTTCCAGCAAGTAAAAGCCCCTCTCTCATCCTTATGAAAAACCCTATACAAATCCGTCAACGGTCCCCCCTGCGTCGCCAAGAACGCATTAAACCACCTCCTAGGCTCCGTATTCCCAAACTCATTCTCCCCACTCTCCTTCTTCCACCGTTCCGGATCACAATGATCCAACTCTGTCGGTACAACATTCATATCACCCACCACAATGACTTCCTTGCCCTGCGCAATCAGATCCCGGACACGTGCCTCGAGGAGGTGGTAGTATGCCATCTTGAAAGGCCGTCGTTGGTCGTCCGTCTCGTTGGGACAGTAGAGGTTGAAGAGCACAAAGAATCCGAAATCGAGGATCAACCCGCGCCCTTCATTGTCGAGTTCTGGGAACTGGGTCATTGTTTCTGCCACCGTCTGCTCGAACGACAACTGCCGCCGTACTCCCATCTCATTGGTGCTGCCTGAAAAGTGCTTATCATCATCGTCACCATCGTCTCCAAAGTCCACCGGATCATCCGGCTCAAAACTCCTACTCGTCACTGGAAGCGCAGGCGCAGGGACATACCCCGAAAGAATTCCCGAAATCCCCTCCTCCGCACCCAAGAGCTTGATATGATCCTTGATGTAGATGACAACTCCCGAATATCCTGACTTGGTTCGATGAAAGGACCAGTAAGAGTCATAACCAGGGACAAGAGCGATATCTGCATCAAGTTTTGACCTTGAGATTTTTGTTTCCTGAAGACAAATGATGTCTGCTCCAAGGTAGTCCAGGATCTCCTATTTTGTGTGCGTTTGTATAAAACGACATGGCGAAAAGAGGGGTGTCGGTGAGGAATGGAAGTAGTTGGTTACATGCCGAATAAAGACTTTATTCACCAGAGACGTGAGTGGAAGGAGAGTAGAGAGGCGGTACCTTGTAGTTCTTGTGGAGGTCGTCGCAGTAGGGGTGGTATTGAGTCAAGGTCCTGATCCCGTTGACATTCCAGGTCATGAATTTCATGGTTGATGCAGGGAATGGATGAAAGAAGATTCACCAAGTCAGTCCATCATCACCGAGAAGAAAAAAACGTTAAAGAAAAATTAAATGTTTTGGCGGCGTTTATTGTCAACCTTATGATATTGTGTATTGTTTTTTATTTATTCAATGAGAGCGCTGCTTGGACATGGTTGTAAGCGACAAGAAACGCAAATCACGCAAGAGGAATGAGGGACAAAGAGTGATATGAAAAAAAGAAAAAAGAAAAAAAAGGTATGCAAAATATATTGGTATGTGCTTGTGTTTGTGCTCGAGAGTAAGTGTCTGTTGTGCGAAGGTCCAGTCGCTTTACTTCTTGTTGTAATACTTCTTGAAGAGTGCATGGTGCTCCCCCTTGTCCCTGTTCTTGTCTTTATCCTTCATGTTCACCGGCTTGTTGTACTCGATATAGGCCATCTGATCCCCTCCGCTCAAACTCTTGAGGCCTCCAACAGATCGTCTGGCTCCGTTCGAGCCTCCAGCGACAGAACTGCCAACATGGCTTAGGATCGATCCCCCACCAGCACCAGTGCGCCGGACAGTGTTTCCAGTCAAATCATAGTCATCGTGCTCAACATCGGCGTTCATGTCGGCTGCGCTCTCCTGTGCCAGCAATACCGTCTGTAAAAGACTCAGCTGCTCCGCAGGCGTCGAGTAGACCAAGTCCTGCTCCTGGTCCATTCCATCAAGGTTGGTGATAACCTTGAACGCATATCCCTGGTCAATCAAAAACTGCTGGCGCTTGGTCGAATAATACATCTCCTGCGTGTCCTTTGAGACCAACGAGTAAAAGAAGGCGTTGAATCCCTCATCGTTCCTGCGCTTGGCTCGCAGAATACGTCCCAAACGCTGTGCTTCCTGACGACGAGATCCGTAGTGAGACGAGACCTGAATCAAACAGGTGGCCTCGGGCAGATCGATGGACGTATCTCCGACCTTGGACAGGAAGATTGTGTTGATCTGGGGATTGTGTTGGAAGTTTTGCAGGATACGGACACGCTCCTGCTGACTCGTCTCACCGTAAATAAACGGCTTCTCCAGTTTGCGGGCATAGGCGACCAATGCAAACACATTATCCGAGAATACAATAATCTTGTCGCCGCGCTCCTCGTGGTACCGGATCAGATATTGGCAGGCCTGGAACTTGTTGGGGTTCATGACATACAACAGAGCGCGTTTACGAGAGTTCTCGCGAAGGTACTCGCGGTAGAAAGCAGGGGTCATCGGGCACCAGACTTCGGCACACTGGACGTTCGCAATGTGTCCTCGAGAGGCCAGATCCATCCAGTTGGCCTCGTACAGTTTAGGTCCGATCAAAAAGTTGAGATCGTCAATCTTTTCATCCTCTCGAACCAGCGTGGCCGTCAGACCGAGCTTGGCGTGGGCGGCAATCGTTGTCAAGACCTTACGGAACATGTTGGCAGGGACGACGTGCACCTCATCCAGTAACAAGAAGCCCCACTCCTGACTCCTCAGAAACTTCATCATCTTCTCGGCATCGTGAGATCGGTTTCGTGTGTTGGCAACCATACTGTAGGTCGAGATGACGATTCCGGATGCTCCCAAGAACTTTTCCTTTTGATCCGCCGTGAACAGTGCAATCTGATGGGGCTTGATGTTGGACCAGAGCAAGAACTGCTGCTTCCACTGCAACACCGACACCGACGACGTGCACAGAACAAGCGTGTTCTTCTTGACTGTACACGCTGCAGTGATGCCGACAAGAGTTTTACCGGCACCGCAGGGCAATACAATGATTCCTGAACGAGCACGGCCGTTACCAAACATCTTGCTTAGAGACTTTTCTTGGTACTGTGTAGCGCAAAAGTAAAAATCAATAATTAGTCGCGTCATTTCTAACTGCTGGCATTGTCGTCGTGTCACAATGTACTTTCAGAGTAACCTACGGGGCGAATCACGGTGATGGGCTTGAGATCCATCTCCAGGTTAGGGTTTCTGGTGTCGTTCCTGAAGTCGTACTCTTCAAGCATAGGGTAGTCGAGCTCGTTACATCTCTTCTTGACGATCTATTCTTACAAAAGGTGACGTGACATTTCAGATGTTTAGACACTGCTTTTCATATACAAAACAGGGTGAGATCCGTTGCAACCGAACGAAAAGTGTTACCTCAACTGAGCTGGAACCAATCTCGAACGAGTGTACATCGTCCGGTTCAATGTCATCGTCATCCTTGTCCAAACCGACAACAGCAAAGATCTCATCCTCGCTTCGTGCACTTGTACCAGCTCCATTGGCAGGCTTGTTGGGGTCAGGGACGTCCTTCTTGATTCCTGGAATTGTCAGATCCTTGGCGTTGGGCGCCTTTCCTGTAATCAACCCACCTGCAGCGCTGGCGTCCTCATCGCCAACGACACGCGCCTCTCTGATAACCTGATCCCTGAGCAACTTCTGCAACATCTCTGGGTGAGACGACTCGACAAAGTACCGGTTGTGCTTCAGGACCAGTTTCACTTTTCCGTATGATAATGTGCAATCACGGATGAGTCCCAGGATACTCTCGGGAACAGGAACCTTGGAGAGACGACTCAGCACTTCGATGATATCTTCAGTCTCCAGTCCGACAGACACGGCAGCATAGAGAGAGTATGGCGTCAATCGGTACTCGTGGATGTGCGAAGGTCTAGATTCAAGTCGAAGGATCATCTTAGTTACTTGAACAGGCATAATATCGTAATCACATCGCTCGACAATATCAGACGAGATATCGTTTTGATCGTCATACCTGCTAACGGGCTCGGCAATAGTAATCAGAAAGTCGATAGCCTTTTCCGCGATGGGCGAGAACCCTTCCAGAATAATGTGTCCATCCTCGGTAATCCACAGTGGTCGCGACTCATGGTCTTGTTTGAGAGGGAGCCAAGTGTAGTCGTGGTTGCCAAAGATTTTAGACACACTGTCCCTTTGGAAGTTGTGCGATTGTGACACGACGTCCATTGTCGCGTGCTTGGGAACTATTTCGACATGAATACCAATGATAACGACCCCGTCAGCTTCAATGCCAAGTACAAGGAGTTCACAAGCAGTCTCATCAAGATAACTGTTGTCAAAGAACAATAACAACTCAGCCTTTCTTACCATTTAGCATGCTCGAGTAATCTTCATTCGTATCATCGTCCTCCATCTCGGGGTTATCGACATCATGCATAGGCCCTTGCTCGCGACGACGTCTGCTCGGCTTCTCGCCGTCTGAAAGTTAACGCAAATGAATTAAAGACAAACAAAATAAACGTCGTCAGTGCTGTGTCCACGGCACACTGGCTCAGCATATAAAATAAAAAATGGTGGCGACACGATTCAACATGAAGGGGGAACACTCAGAGAAGCCAAGAATGCAAAGTGACGAAAGACTAATGAGGTGCCTTCGGTCAACGATGTCAGCGCAACAGCTACAGCAAACAAGCATACCATCGGATGGTCCTCGCTTGGTAGCCATGGTATGTGTTGCTGTGTGGAGAAGAGCTTTGGCTCAGAGTCTGAAAAGTAAAAAAAAAAAGGCGTGCTACTATATGTCTCTCTACTCCTTAATAATCCTTGCAGGTGGCTGAAGAGTCCGTTTGTACAGGGTGAGGAAGGGACGAGTGAAAGAGAGAAAAAGAGGAATGGTTACAAGGAATTGAAAGACGGATCGTGGTCCAATTTATAGCCGTTTTCAAGCCCCTTAACTTTCATCAAAGCAACTGTCAATCGATGACATATCCAAGCCTCTAAGTGCCGCGCGATTTTGTTTCTTTTTTTTTTTTTATTCCGGTGCTGAGTTCGGCTCTGTGCACCTCACTCAATGGGGGTTATCTCCATGCCGGAGCTCTTCCTCCGCCTACTCGATGGCTGCCCACTCGAACTTGACGTCGTTCCTAGTAACCCATCCGATCCTGCTGTCCGAGTCGTAGGTGTAGTCGAACTCGAGGCGTTTCCTGAGCCTCCCGTGCCTCCAGATACGCCAGTTGGCGCAAACGACTGCGAGCTCTTGAAGTTCTTGATGATCTGCTCCACCTCCGTCATCATCGCCATTGCCATCTGATACACCTCCGTGTCCTCGCCATTGTACATCAGCGCATTCATGAACATCAACAGCACATCCCGGTGGAACTCGTCTGCGTTGGTAATTTGCTATTTGGAACAAGACCCATACAATAAAAACAATCCACATTGTTAGTAAGTCACTCACGACACAAAACATCTTTGCTATGACCAGCAACTTAAGGTAAGAAATGGTAGAAAGGCGCTTACACCATCCCGGATCCGCTCCTTGATGCTTTTGAGATCCATTGGCCGCTTGATCATGAGGTAGTATCCGGGTGCATCGTGTTCCTTGATAGGTTGCATAAACACCGCTCCGTATCGGTGGTTAGTAATTTCGGTCCAGATGATCATGAGGATCTTTTTCCACTTTTTGTCGTCCATCTGGTTCCGCTGGTCTGACATGTTACTGACACTCTCTGTCGCCTCGCTGTCGGAGCTGTTGTAGCCATCCTCGACGTCGGCACCGCCTCGTCCGGATCGCCTTTTACGCTTCACAGGGACACTCGTCTTGATTTTCCTTGGCTTTTTGGGTGACTTGGTGACCGCCTCCTCTTCCTCTTCCTCTTCCTCGTCCGCACTGGTGGCACCCTCGTCATTTCCATCCTTTGCTGCATCTTCTTCCTCCTCCTCCTCCTCCTCCTGCTCGGTGTCATTCGTCGGATCCTCAGACTTTACGGCCACATCCTCGTCCATTTTGGAACCGTCGCCAGCTTCGGAAGATCCATCAGGGCTTCCTCTCGATTCTACTTCCATCTCCCGATCAGCGTTCTCATCCTTATCTGCCTCCTCGTCCTCTTCTTCGTCTGCCTCTTCGTTTGCCTCCTTGTCCACCTCCTCTTCCTTGACGGAGTCTCCTTCCTTGACCTGATCGCTCTCATCAACCTCGCTATCGTCCTTTGTTTTGTCGCCTGCTGGTGAGGATGAAACTGGCTCCTTTTTTGGTGTGTCGTCTTCCTCTCCATTCTCCTCGTCCTCATCCTCTTCCTCTTCCATGGCTCCAGGTGGCGACAAATCTGAAGCCGAAGTTGGTGAGCTTGCGATGGATCCATTGTCGACCTCCACCTTCAAATTGCTTCCTTCATCCTGAACCGTTGTGCTTTTAATGACCTCAACCGGTGTGACCGCTTCCGATACAACTGAGGGCGAATCCGTCGAGGTGATATCCTCCATCTCAACGTCTTCATCAACGTCTCCTGCCGCTGGTGTGTTGCTCAAAGCTACTGGCGTCGGAGCCGAGACGACTGGAGTTTCCGAGGTAGATTCTGGTTCGCCGGCCTCTTCCATCTCCACATCCTTTAGCTCACTTCGTGTCTGATTCTCCAACACCTCTTCTGTGCTGGATGCTGTTGATGTGACCGGTTGTTCCACCTTTGGGGCGGCCTCCTGCATAGCTTGGCTGGCATCCTCCGGTTTCTCCAATGAGGTTAATGATACGGGTGAAGACAGAGGTAAGGGAGCAGCTGTATCGATCTGGAGTGGTTCGCCGTCCTGTTGCGGTTGCTGACTAGTCTCTGCAGACAATGTTGCCGCCTCGTTGGTAGATGGTTCAGGCTCTTGTTCTGGTTCTGGTGGTGGTGGGTTCTTCTTGAGCTCTTCTTCCAGTTGATTGTCCCATTTTCCCTGCCGAATGTCGTCCAGCTCAGCCACTAATGCCCTGAACCGTTCCTCGTCCTTGCGGATAAGCGCTTTGATCTCAAGTATCCGTTGGTTATAAAGTTGACCGGCAAGCTTCACTACTGTCGGGATGTCTACGTGGCGAGAGTTGAAGAAAAAGCGACAAACGGGTTGGCTATTCAATTCATAACTTCCAGGGGTATTGATTGAGCATACATATGCGCAACGTGTCCTCTAATAACAATGAAAATAAAAGTCCAGGAGGTAAACGCACCTGCATCGTTGGCGCGTGTTTGTTTCGACCGACTGCTGGTGCAATAGCCATTAAGAAGCAGATGTGATTAGTATGAAGGCTTCGCTGTATTCCTTTTGACTTTTGAAGAATTTCCCAATAAGACGTGTTCGACTGTTGGGGCGGTCGATCATGCCGTTGCCACTTACGTTTCCGTCTCAAGGTTTTCCAGGAGCAGGGTATATTGAATAGCACAACTCTAATAGCATCAAATCAAGAGGCGACAGAGAGGTGCGTGAGTATTAGTGCGAAACCAAAGTCGACACGCGTGTGGGGGGTGTATGTGGGTTGAGGTTGAGCGGTATTTGTTTGTGGCTTACACGCCATATGACGGAGAGACACGTAAAAAATGAAGAGAGAAACAAGGGGGGGTACCTTTTGAGAAAAGAAGTTGCTGGAGCGGTGGATTTGTGGGTGTCCTTTGATGGTGCGCGCGATGGCAACCCAGTTTGTGTCGCCGCACTTGTAGATGGCTTGGGCAAGAATCAGGTTTTCAAGGACGGACCATGGCTCCGAGTCGCTCTTGATGTCTGCTGCTGCTGTTATTGATGTTGGTGTTGTGGTTACGTCTGACATGCGCAGTGTGTGTGTGTGTGTGTGTGTGTGTGTGTGTGTGTGTGTATGAGAATGTATGTTTTTTTGCGTCTATTGTTATTTTAGGCGCTGTACGTGATTATTGTTGCTTGGAGGGGAAAAAGGATTGCACAAAAAAAGCTCGTGTGTTTGGCTGGCGTCGTCGTAAGAGGGCGGGAAGATGGGTGGGCAAAAAGAAATTAAGAGAAAGAAAACAAAAGGATGAGTTGTTTGATGTGAGTGCACGTCTTTAAGGATGGCCAGGAGTGTTGGCAAGAGTGGAGTTAGGAAAAAAAAAGAGCAACGTAGTCGCGAGAACAGAAAAGAAAGGAAAGGACAACAAAACGGGAATCAGCCAAAGAGGGACGAGCAGGGACGGGTAGATGATGACTCGACTCGATAGCACACAGAACACACATAGCAATCGCACAACAAACACCCCACAACGCTCAACAAACGACAGCGACTTGAAGCGAAGTGGAAGTCTGTTTACGACATCGAAAAGTGACTGGTGTTTTCTAACTGACGATTAGAGTTCTCTTTATTTGCACACGGCCCTAGACATCGATCGGACTCGCTCATTCGTCAAACAGAGACGCCAGCCCATCGCCAATATCCTCGTACTGCTCAGAGTCCATAACGTTTTGCGAGGGACGCTCGTACGATCCTGCAATGGTTCGAACTGGCACTGGCTTATCGCCTTGCTCCTTTTGCTTGAACCATTCCGACTTGGCGACCTACAAAACAAAGTCAACGTGCGCGTGTGTAAATAAGTGAGATCAAAGAGCCAACTTCTATATCATAAAATGACCCAGGCGAGACTCACCCCGATGATGCCTTGCAGAAAGTTGCGGACAAGAGCATGCTTCTTGGTTTTGTTCGTAGTCATAGACAGTTCTTGCTCAAATGCCTATTAAATACGTATTCAGGTTAATGAGTTGACACTTGCTACTTTCCATTAGCATTTTTAGCGGCAGGAAATCATAGTGGCGCTGCAATACCTCAAGTCTGGAAGCGTCGGCACCCGATGCTCGCTGAAAGACGGCCTTGGGTGCCTCATTAAAGGCTCGCACCTCGACGTACACTTCCGTGATAAGCAAAATCAGCTTCTCTTGTCCTTCTTGATGGTATGGGTCGTGGAGGGCCTCCAAGGCAGCTTGAAGGACCATGGTCGCAAAGTCACCGATGATGGTCTGCGTCCTTGGATACGACTGCACAAGAGCACCCAAGACACATAACGCTGTCTCTGCAGAGCGAGTACAGCTCTTGGTGTCCTTGTAGGTGATGATTCGACAGAAAAGAGGGATCACGGACTGAGCGATGGCATTGTTGGACAGGATGTACAAGGCAAGGGGTGTCAACTCCTTGAGCGTGCCAGATGCGCCGGCGCCCTTTTGACGTCCAAAATCAAGGACGGCAAAGAGAAAGTTGGCCACATAGTACGTCAAGTCCCTGAGCATCATCTCCTTGACGATCTCGTCAGATACATCCAAGTCCTCTGGATCATCTTGCTCGTCCATAACCAGTCCGTCAGCAGCAGCCGCCTTCCAGTCTCGTTCAAGTCGTTGGTCAAGGTATGGGAAAAGCACTACCAACAAATGCGAAAGCGTTGAATCCATGTACTCTGCCGGGCAGTTGATCACAATGGGTAGTACCGCAGAATTAATAAGCAGCCGCAGTTGTCGGTTAGTGAGATTCTCGACATGCTCAAAGAGGGACTGCTCGAGAATCGTCTGAAGAGAAGGAATCGAGTAAAACGCGGCGCCAAGGGTAGTGAGCTGAGCCAAGAACTTGTAGCAGTGATCGCGTAGGACCGAGAGCCATGTCTTGAGATCGGCAATAAGTTTGATCACAGTCAGTGCCGACTCTCCTGAAGTGGATCTTGGAGCTTTCCCTGTCACCATGAATTCCTTCTCCTCCGGAGACAACACCAGCACACGGTTCATCTCAGGAGAAAGTCCAGCCCAAGCTTGCTCGTCGCATATTGCGTTCAGGCAGCGGATGGTGGAGAGTAGGTTAGGCAACATTGGCCCTAAATACGCAGCCCAGAGTTCTTTCCTGGTGCTCTCCTTTGAATCCATTGTCTCTCTCATAAATGTCACAAGCGCATCGACAGACCATGACAACAATGCGCGGCGTTGAGCAATGGCTGTCCCCAGCTGCCCGACCTCTTGTCCCTGAAGATTCTTGCTCGATGCTTCCGACAGCTCCATTGCTCCAATGAATGCCATAAACTTGGCAGGATCAGAAAGAATATCCTCTAGTTCTGCCGACTGGAAACCGAGAGCCACTGGACCAACCACTTTTTCGAAAATGGTGCTGCGTTCCAAGGCCATGCCAGCATTAAATCCAATGACAAGCTGGAAACTGAGAAGCGTCTTCTTCTCTCCCCCGGAGATGGCGCCCTGTTGAATCAAACGCTGGATTGCTGCGTCGATTTCTCCATAGATCGGGAAGAGTGTGTTGGGAATGGCCTTGCCAATCTTGACCAAGGTAATTCCAGAACGATGGCGCAACTCGCGGACTTCCAGATATCCTTTGCTTGACACTGGATACTCGACGGATTTGAAGAGCTAAAGATACAAATTGTCATAACGTCAGAGAAACAACTCAGGAACGTGCATATCATGTTGCCTCTGTCACTATCAGAAACAACAAGTACCTTGTCCAGGCAACGGAATAAAAGAGTGGAGTTCAACTTGAACATATCGGTGTAGGACGACAGAGATGCGGCAATCCTCTCCAATGCTGCTGGACACTACATAAACACATGGGGAGACGTGTTAGTCCTACCTATCTGAGTCGTTATCAAAGTGTCAACGGATGAATATAGTGTTTCACTGCATAGACATACCTTGCCATCGTACTCAATGAGCAACCCTAGGAGAGCGTTCATAGCCGCTAGAATCTGTGTTTCAAAAAAAAAAAGTTTCTGTCAGCTCATGAAAATATATATGGCGCAAGTTTGTAGCGATCACACTGGTTCCTATCCACATCATACCTCTGCAGACTGTGGGTTGGCGTTGTCGTTGATAATATCGGTAAGACTAGATATAGCAACCTCCATCAAGGTGAGTACACCGTCGAATGTCTGGAACTGAATCGTATTCTTGACTATTGATACAGTGGGCAGAACGTGTAAGGTTAGACAAGCGAACAATTGTCTGAATCAAGAGGCGATACATGGAGCGTGCGTTATGAACTTACCATTCGTGGAAGCTGGAAACTCGATTTTCAATGCGTCCGAGACCTTGTTGGCTACCCAAACAAAAGCGGGTAGGGGTACGATCGGCACACCAAGGTGGATGACATCGACAGCCTTTTGAAAGATGCTGCCAACTTTGGTACGAAAGTCGGAGGGGGATTCAAAGTCTTGGGCGACAAAGTGCGCATAGGCTGGATCTGATTCTCTCCTGTACTCAAAATCCTTTGCAAGAACGCCAGAGTAGAGTTCTAGGAGGGGTGGAATGAACGCATGAACAGTAGGCTCCTACTCGAGACAGCAATGGCATGATCAGAATATTAGTGACAACATCGAACCTGTTGAATCATATCCTTTACATTGCTCGATGATGCCTACCTTGGAGAAGGTGTCGTGACGAAGCAGCGTTGTCCAGAAAAAAGAAACAAACGAAGAGAGGTTGACCGAAGGGTGAGAGGCCATTGCATATAACAGTTGTAGGAATCTAATTGTACGTGAGTTGGGTTGAAGTGAGTATTGTCGATATTGGAATTTAACGTGGTTCAATACGACAATAACAGGTGTCAATCTTACTTTGTCAGTTCCTTTGGCACGCGAGCGTTTCGCTTGGCGCACAGTTGTTGCTCCCCGAGGTTAACGGTGGCCTATAGAACATGAAGTTGAATTCCGGGGATGCGTTAATTTCCAGTCCAGACAGTATGTAGCGATAATCTTACATGTGTGATAGCTCTCCTGACCTGCACCATCTTCTGGAGAAACAAGTACGAGTCACCCTGTAAGGCTTGGTTCGAATGTGTCAGGTACGCCTTGGAGATGAGATCGATTCCGCCGTCGTCCAGCAATGGCCAGATCATCTTTTCGCGTTCATGCTCTGACAAATTCCTGCTCGACAGGACATCATAGCACTCTGCACCGGCCTAATTGATGCGAAAGATTTGTGTGTGAGTATCGTTGCAGCTCGTCTTTGTTCAAGGGGATAGATTCTACACAAGTATATGTACACGATGCTAATTACTAAGCGGATTTTCTCAGAAGGCGACAAGGTAGCTTGACAGATCAAAGGGACTACAGAGGTGGAGGAAACAGACCTATGAGTATAGAAAAATTTAGTTAGAGATGGCGCTTTATCCAATAAATAATGTCATCACAGGCAGGTAGCGAGCTGACAGCGGGATGACACATACGAACTAATAACCCAGTCCAATGTGGCCGACAGCGTCCTCAAAGCGGCGACGGCGATTTTTTCGTCCGCAGGTGTTTTGGCCTATGAATAGGCAAAGAGAAGAACGTTAGTAAAAACGACAAGCTATTATTTGGTGAGGAGAGAGCTGGACAACTTTACGAATATACATACTTCCGTCTGACATCTAGGTAAGAGCTCCTGGAGTAGAACAGAAAGCCGATTCAGCCAGCCATCGTTGCCTTGTTCGCCCACCATGAGGGTCACTTCGTCTTTGTGTCCTTTGACGCCGTCAGGGTAGTGCTCACGGAGGATCGCCTCACTTGACATAATGACCAGCAATCCTGCCCTCAGATCCTTCTTTCTTAGTCCAGCAACGGGGTCGTCGTAGATGCACACGTCTTCACAAAGCGACCTCAAAATGAACAACGACATCTCCCTGGTTGTCTCCTATAAAAGTCCGAAAGAGTTCGTCATAGTTAGTTCAATTGCCAGATTTGCTGTGCCATATTGAATTCATGATCACGAGGTAGCTTACGTCTTTGTAGAACATCTGTCTCAGGAACACATCCATATCGTCCCAAGTACCGGGCCACTCGCGCTTTACTACCTCCACGAACAAGCTGGCCACTTTCTCCTTGATGAATGGCCTCTCCGTCATTAACGGTAGTATCCCCTACAAAGTGTTGATCGACAAAAGCAAAATTAATACGCGAAGACATGTCGCCTGGGTCATAACGTCAACATAGAAGGTCATTCTAATGATCGCAATCGAGTACCTCTGAGGCTAGGGCCATAACGTTCATTCGTATCTGTCCTTTGAGTTCGGGGGTGAGGCTCGCATCGGACCATTTGTAGCGCGCTGTATTTTCCATGAGTGAAAGTCCAAAGTGCCTGACGATATCGGGTTGTTGGTTGTCCTTGTGAGCAAGGTAGTAGCCGTAGAGGGGTCCTGCTGGGTCGCGCTTCAGAGTCTCGCAGTACTATTACAACAATGAACCGTGTGTGCACACGGTGAATGTAGGTTTTGGACGTGTTAGTTTATAAAATAGTGAAGGTTCTCTTATTGTCCGTGTAATGTCTTGTCGTACATACCTCCTGTGCTTGTTGACGCGCGTTATTAGTTGTTGCCGCATTGTTAATGGTCTCCAAGGCAGAGAGGAGATTCCTCAAGACTAAACATTGCGTTGAGAACAGGAGTCTAGTTAGCCGAATGTGTTTTCACTGCGTTGACATGATGGAGCAGACGACGTATTGTGTGGCAAAGCGCCAAGGCATACCTGATTCGTCCATGGTGGAATGGGAAGGAGTGTAAAGAGTCGTACTGTCCTAAAAATAAGGACTGTGCACATATTTTTTTTCTGATCACCTCCATTCTCTGTCCATTGCTCTCTCGTCTTTATTCTTTTCTGCTCCCTATAGCACTCTCCCTTTCTTTGTATACCGCAGTTGTCTCCACCTGGGTATCCATTCGAGTTGCAAGTGGTGAAGGAGGGTTGTTGCCCAAGTTTTTTCCCCCCTTCCATGGCGACCGTTTTTTGTGTTTTTTCGTTCATGTCAGCTTGGGTGGGGATCGACCTTTTGTTCGGTCGTCAATTTTCTTAAGGGTGAACTCTTCTCTTCATTTTTCTCCTTCAAAACCCTTTTCGGATCGTGGCATCAAATATCTTCGTTTTTCAAGTTGTGTCGACCCTTTCTTACTCGTTGAAGCTCTTCGCAGTGAAGATATGAGTGGAGGGTTGGGGGTTGCACGTTTACCTCGTCCTTATTATTTTAAGTTGACTGCAGCGGATACAGCCTTTTTCATGTTGTTTTTTTTGGCCATTTGGACATCCTTTTTTGTTTCGTGTATGATGATGGCACACTAGGATATTGTGTTTTCCAAGAACAAGACCCAATTGAGTGCTTGGCCCAATCGTTGTGTTGTGGGAGGATATAAGATATTCACAAACGAATTGAGTGCTATGCTCAGTTGTAGTATGGAGGAAAGATAGATATATTTTATGATAACAAGAGTGAAATCATGGAGTGAAGGAAAACAGCAAAGAGTCAATGTTCATCTCCTCTTGTCACGGCTACAGCATTACAGGGCAAGAGAGACGGTCCATGGCTGTACCTTGGTTGAATTGATATTGATCCATGGCGAGAAAAAAAAATGGACGAACGATATCATCATGAGTAGGACCCTCTTCTTTTTCGAACGCGCCGCGATAATCAACCTTTGTACACACCCGGCTTCGCCAGGCGAGCGGATCGTGTGTCAGCGAGACGGCTTGTAAGGAAAAGGAGTGCAAGAGCGTAAAAATAAAAAAAAGGTGCGAAATCTATCGCCGCCGCCACACATTCCACGTTGGCGTTGGTGGCGCTCTGTGGGGTTCTTGAACATTTGGCAGAACAAACGTATGACGAGAGCGGAGAGAGATCTCATTTATGTCGTGAACGGGAAGGAAAAGAAAGGGGGAGGAAACAGTCGCGGGATCTTTTTTGTCACCTGTGCGGTCGGCATTCTGGGTGGATTGAATCGCCTACTCACTTCCACTGATGAGTCGTACGAGTGGTTCGTCCCCTCTTTTTGTGAGAAGAGACAACAATAACAGTAAAACGACTTGTCGCTGAGCCAAGGCACTTCAAGGGTGCAAGTCGTGTTGAAGAGAAGCTAAAAAATAATGTCTTGAGGTGCATAAAGTGAGCTCTCTTGTCTCTGGTCTCCGTTCAACTCCACTTTAGCGAAATTGATTTTTTTTTCTTCTATTTTCCTTTCAATCATCTTTCTCTCTTCACTCTTTCCACTTTTCCCTTATTCCCGCCTCACCCACCTTCTAATTCCTCTCTCACTCACTCTTACCAGCTCACTCTTTCACACCCGGCTCAGCTCACGACTTCTGTTCACCCCCACCCCCACCATTGCTGTACCACCCCCCCTCACATCCACACACAACCTCACTAAACCACAACTCACATCACACGAGGCTTTGATTAACCATGGACGAGTACGGATCCGCTCCAGAGGAAAACTTCACCGCGATCCCCGTCCAAGAGAGACTCGACCACAAGGTAACAATCATCCCACCCGTTGTTCAACACGGCAATAAAATGGACATGTTCCCTTTTTTGTATGCCTTGTTCCTTGTTCCAACAAAGACTAAAAACCAATTTTGCTTTATTTATTGGTCCATGCAACACAAACCCCAATATAGAACTGGAAAGCACGCGTCTCAGCATACGAGGAACTGGCAAAGCTTTTCAGGACAAGTGTCGAAGACTCTGACTTTAGGCGCTATGAAGGCTCGCTAAAAAAGATCGCTCTCGACTCGAATGCAGTTGCCCAGGAGTCAGGATTAACAACTCTCATTCAGTTTGTGGAGAATGCACCAGATCCCAACAGGTAGGAAGAGCTTACACGTCCAATTTGCTTGGAGGCGTCTGGTCATGCAAGGCGACAAGAAGAAAAGGACACCGTTCAGAAGAGAAATGATGAAACTCATTACAAAAACAACGTTACCTTTTTTTATGCATCGTTTTTTGTAGGACAAAGAACGTTGTTGTCCCCGCAGTTGTCGAAAAATGCCTCTCCTCCACACGAGCAGGAACCAAAGCTAAAGCACTGGAGCTTATTCTCTTATATGTCGAAGTCGACTCGGCAGACCCGGTGATTGTATGCAGCCCTTTCTCGTAGCTGAAACTGCCATAACTAGCCTCAGACATCGCTTTGGGAGTACCCGAACACATGACAAACTAACAAGCACGGCTTGTCCTTTAACGATTCAATAGGAGGATGTGCTACCAGGACTGGACGCCAAGTTGCCCAAGCTAGTAGCCACTACAACCAATGTCCTGACGAACATTGTCCGGTACGACCATCCCTTCGTTGCGACGTATTGAATCAGGAGTAATTCTCACTCTCCTTATGCTAATCTTTCACCGTTTCTCTTCGCTTTATCGTCGTGACCTTAGCACTTTTGGTATCAAGAACCTCAATGTCAAGCCCTTGGTGAAAAAGCTGCCACCACTTTTCGGACATTCGGACAAGAATGTCAGAGCAGAGGCTAACGCCATGACGATAGAGTTGTACCGGTGGCTCGGAAAGGCCATCATGCCATCACTCGAGGATCTGAAGCCAGTTCAGCAAAAAGAATTGACAGAGGCATTCGAGAAGCTACCTGACGAACGACCAGCCCCACAGCGATACCTCCGATCACAACAAGCAGAAATGGCAGCAGCCGCAGCCGCAGCAGAGGCAGGAGAAGGAGGTGGGGACGATGCCGAAGCAGAGGATGAGGAGATGGCTGAGGTTGATGCTCTGGATCTCTTTGATCCCGTTGATGTCAACGCCAAGATGGAGAAAAACTTTTATGAGTTACTGGCGTCTAAGAAATGGCAGGAGAGGAAGGAGGCTTTGGATGCTCTTTTGGTCCTTTGTAAATCTCCAAAGATCCTCGACAGCCATTACTCCGAGCTGGTGGGCGCCCTTGGCAAGGTAAGGACTTCTTTTTCTTCTTACCTAGGCATCTAGTTGAGACCATTTCTGACATAAGGTTTCTCGTACTCACTGCGATACTACAATTTCACAATTCTGTTTTTAGCGCATGGCTGATACCAACATCAATATTGTCATCGTGGCGGCCAATTGCTTGGAAGGTCTTGCTCGTGGATTGCGGGACAGCTTCAACAAGTACAAGCCTTCTGCTGCGGGATTGATCATGGATCGACTCAAGGAGCGTAAAGTTACTGTCGTGGAGGCACTCGCAGGAGCTCTAAACGCCATGTACAGCACAGTAAGGTCAACGTTGATTCTGAGACACACTTGCGCTCGATTTTATTCTTAGCTCAGTAATGCCATTGCTAATGCGTTAACCGGTCCACTTTGTAGATATCATATGCCGAACTACTGGAGGACACAGCTGCGAATGTGGTACACAAGAACCCGCAAATTAGAGCAGAGGTCATCAAATTGCAGATCCATCGGCTGAAGGAAATCAAGATTGCGCCTTCCAAAGTGGAAATCAAAACTGCTTGTGAGATGCTGATCAAGGCCATCGACGATAGTGATGCTACCGTCCGTGAGGCGACGGCAGAGGCTCTTGGTACCCTTATGAAGTGCTGTGGCGAGAAACCGCTACTGGTTTACACGGAGAAACTGGACGCTGTCAAGACAGGCAAGGTCAAGGAATACTTTGACAAGGCTGTAGTCAAGGCAAAGGCTGCCCCTGTGGTTGCCCCTCCCAAACCCGCTCCAAAGGTCGTGGCAGCCGCCAAATCAGCCCCCAAGGTATAATTTATTTATTTTTTTTAGCTGTGCGACGGATCAAGACGCATCATTGTGCTCAATTAATTACTAACATTCTTCTTTGTCTTCGTGAACCTCATAGAAAGCGGCACCAGCAGCGAAGGAGGCCGAGGCACCAGCGGCCGCCCCAGCAAAGAAGCCTCTAGGAAAGGCACCAGCGTTGTCGTCCGCCAAGAAACCAGTCACTAAAGCCCCAGCCGCTGCCGCATCAACCGCCAGCGCAGCAACTAAGAAGGTCGCACCTGTCGCGGGAGGAGGAGCAAAGAAGGAAGAGGAGCCACTGCGATACAAGTTCTTGAGTGAAACAGCAGAAGAGCAAGCAGCCGACTTTTTGTCACCTGAGCTGATCGCCGAGTTTGGAGATTCGAGCTGGAAGGTGCGTCTGGAGGCCATGGAGAAACTGCACGAACTTGTTGACAGCAACCCAGGATTTGAGGCAGAACTGATTACACGTGTTCTCGCCAAGAAGCCAGGTTGGAAGGAGAGCAATTTCCAGGTTACAACCAAACTCTATGGCATTCTCCAGCTTCAATCGCAGAAGCTCCCCTCTTTTTCCAAGGCGTGCGCTGCCTTGACAATTCCAGGTGCGCCTCATATGGATATGTATGCGCGATAAACATTATAACAAACACGCGTCATTGCAGGAACTAACTGGCATTTCGCTCTTTTATATTTCCTCATAATAGCCATGATTGACAAGATGGGAGACATCAAGTTGAAGAAGGCAGCCGGAGACTGTTTGACAGCGTATGCGGAGGCGCTCTCGCTCCAGTTCGTCCTCAGCCAATCATACGACCCTCTGAAGAAATTGAAGGCACCCAAGGCTCTCGCCGATTCGCTGGCTTGGATTAACCAACAACTGGAGGACTTTGGCATTGCTGGTCTCGCTATCCGTGAGCTAATCGATTTTTTGAAGTTTGCGTTGGGAAGCGCAAACGCGGCGGTCCGTACCAACGCCGTCAGTGTTCTTGGGATCCTGAGGCGTTTCATTGGACCAAGTACAGTTGTCGGTGATTAAGATACATAAGTCAAATGATACATTGGCGATGGGAGTAAATTAGCTGACAATTCCCGGTTTACCATTATACATCACTTAGGCATTCGGTCGTTCGTGGAGGACTGCAACTCGGCGCTGTTGGCGGCTATTGACACAGAATTTGCCAAGGTGGCCGACATGGAACCACCACAGGTGTCCAAGGGAGCAGCGGAGGAGAGCGCCGGCAGTACTGCCGCGGTCGAGGAACTCTTCCCAAAAGTGGATGTCAGCAATCAGTTCACAACACCACTACTGGAGGAGTGTGGTGACGCCAACTGGAAGGTGCGCAAGGAGGGTCTGGAGAAGGTTGCTGCCATTATTGACGCCAACAAACGCATTAAGCCTAACCTTGGTGGACTTCCAGGAGCATTGAAGCTGAGGCTCGCCGACAGCAACAAGAACCTGCAGATTTTGACGATGGAGATATGTGCCAACCTCGCCGTGGCCATGGGCAAGCCTTTTGACAAGTACGCCAGAATCCTGTGCTCCAACGTCGCCAGCTGTCTCACGGATCAGAAAGACAATGTCAGGAACGCATCGATTGCTGCGTTGGATGCGTTTGCTACACAGTCGGGCTTGGACTCGCTCGTGTCGTCTCTGGCAGTTTCTCTTGTCACCAACTCGCCTACCTTGCGTAAGGATCTCTTGGTCTGGTTAACTTCGTTCTGCAACGGAGCCAAGGAACGTGATGTCACGCTCCCAGACTTGTCACCTCTGACTCCACCTGTTCTGCAGTGCTTGCAGGACCGTAGTGTTGACGTTCGCAAGGCTGGCCAGAACTTCCTGCCGATTTTGATGGCTAGTGTCGGATATGATGCTATCGTGTCCAAATGCAGCGACCTCAAGGGTGCCGCCAAGTCGGCGATCATGCCCATGCTCGAGGCTGCCAAGCCTGCCCCCCCACCCCGCCCTCCATCCGCAGCGGGAGCTGCCAAGGCACCCCCACCCGAGAGAGGTGCATTGAGCAGTTTGCCTAGTCTGGCGCGCCCGGGAGCGAAACCTGGCGCACGCCCTGCCACTGCCCTACCCGGCGCCCCATCTAAGATCGGCACCGCAAAGCCGGCAGCAAGCACTCTCCCCACCATGCCTGGACCACCTAGAGAGCAGCAATCATCTCCCATTCCTACCTTGCCCTCGCTTCCTTCGTTGCCAGGACCCGGACAGCCCTCGGGGCTCATGGCACCACGGTCGCGACTGACGCTCAAGAAACCAGGCCAGGGCATCCCTCAGCCTATGGACTCGGGTATTCCAGGAGCCCCAGCACCACGTGTGTCGCGACTTCAGGACATGCCCCCAGAGTTCGACGAATTTTCAGTTCCTCCTCCCAGCAACGGCATAGGTATGGGTATGGGCATGCAACAACGTTCGTTCGATCCTATGGATGGCGTTGTCCAGACCTCGCAGCCTTTGAACGGATCCCGACCTATGGGTGGTGGTAACATGGGAGGCATGGGCAACATGGGAGGCGGCCAGCCGATGGGCAACAGCAGCATAATCCAGTCTTTGCCGACGATCGTTGTCCCTCCATCTGCTCAAATCAAGCGGCTCTCGGTGTCAGGGGGCGACAGGAGAGGCGAGGCAGCTATGGACTACCTTGTGACCCAGATCACAAGCGACGACGCATCACAGAGTATCGACGCGTTGAAGCAGCTGGAGAAGGCGCTTCATGGACCTCTGGACCCTATCATCCCTCACATCAACGACCTCGTCAACGCCCACACGCTGCAAATTCGTCTTGCCTACACTGGACTCGAGCAGAGAAACAACTCCACGACGCGTGTGTGCAAGCATTTGGTGAACTCGCTCGTAAGCATCTTCTCCAACAAGCAGCTAGCGAGCAAGGTTCAGTCAGACCCACTCTACAACCTGCTTCACGAATTGGCTAGTCGGCTCCTGGACAAGAACCTGGACAGGGTGGAGAGTGGCCAACAACTTGCCAAGGCTCTGAATGTTACGATGGTCAAGGTACTCGAGAACAGTAACCGCAACGCCACCTTCAGCGCTCTGCTGTTGATCTTGGTTCGTTGTGCTCAACCGCTTCGGTCGATGGAAGATTCCGCCCAGCAGGCCAAGTTTGGTGATCTCATTATGAAGTGCATCTGGAAGCTGACCAAGACGATTAAGGAGTGCGTCGCAGCCGGAACCTTAAAGCCCAACGAGCTCCTCGCGGACATGAACGACTTTTTGGTCTCGATCTCACCTCCCGACTGGAAGAGACGTGCCCAGGAAGGTGTGCCTCTGGGAGATATGCCGTTGAGGACTGTCAAGACCGTCTTGGTCGAGTTGTCTTCGGGAATGGGTGATGAGGTGTTCAACCATCTGGATCTGATTCAGGACCCGACGAAGTCTGCTATCCATCAATACTTGGTGCATATGACTGGATCCAAGAAGCGCCCCATTACTCAGCTCAGCAACCCTTCGCCTCAACCACTTGCTGCCAATGATCGGATGTCGACCATCGGAGCCATGACCAATCAGAACCTGAGCGCCCACAACATGCACCAGCAACAGCAGCAACAGTCGCCCCTGCAGCAGTTCAGGTCATCACCCCAATCGCCACAATTCCAGCAACAGCAACAACACCAGCAACAGCAACAACAACAACAGCAACAGTTCCAACAGCAGCAGTTTCAACAGCAACAGTTCCAACAACAACAGCAACAGCAACAACAACAGCAACAGTTCCAACAGCAACAGCAGTCGTTGTCGCCAATGTCATCCCACCAGTCAGCGTTCGGAAACCAGGTCCAGATGCAACAAGGACCTTCGACTGGGTTCGGTATGCAACCTCCGCAAGCTCAAGGTGATTTCGGTGGCGCAGGCCTTAACTCCCATCGCATGAGCATGGCCATGGCTCCACCACCCACGCCAGGGCTTGGCGGTGGCGCCAAAGGCCTTGGTGAGAACAAGAGCGCCGAGGACCTTTCAGTCGGCAAGTCCGAAACAGAGATGAACAGTCGGCTCACTCAAATCTTTACCAAGATCGGAACCAGAGAGGAGACTAAGCAGGCACGCGCATTCACATATTAACTGCATTTTGCGATGCCGCTATTACAGTGTTTAATGTTTTCATTGATGACTAACACTTAGTTCCTTGTTTTGTTTTGTTTGTGTCTTCTAGGGTATTATTGATCTGTACCAGTTCCAAAAGATGCACCCCAACATGGAACCCAAGGTTAATGCGCAATTGGCAAAGACAGGAACGTTCTTCCAGAGTTATATCCGTCGTGGACTTGCCAACCTGGATGCAGAAGCCAATGCAGCCAGTTCTGGTGGCTCAACGGCCAGCTCGATCAGTGGCCTAAGCGGATTCACCGGAAGCTCTGCTTCACCTACAGTGAGGGCACGTGAGATTGTGGATGCAGCTGCCAGGAAGCGGGAGAGCGTGATGTCGATGGCCAGCAGTGAGAGCAGCGGAGTGGCAGATCCTTCCGAGTCATACAAGGATCGCCTGGCGCGTTTGCAGCAGATGTTTGGATACAAATCGGTAAGAACTGTTAAAACGGGATGTTTTTGCCAATGGCTTTGCAAATAGGTCAGCAAATCGCAAGGAACATTTTTCTGACATGGCTCATTTCGGTTTTGTTTGCATTGGTTTTGTAGGAGTCAAAGACACCGTCACCAGTGAATGACCACCACGATACATTGAGCAGGGCAATGGATGGCCGTAACAGCCCCAGTCTGAGTCTTCGTCAGCAGCAGGAACTGGACTACCAGCAACACCAATTGCAGCAACAGCAAATTTTGGCCCAGCACAGTCGATCTCGGCCGTCGTCCGTCTATCAAACAAATTTGACGCCATCGAGCACAACACCAACAGCGACCTCCCCTTATCAATCTCACTTTAATCTTCATCCCGAGGGGAACAACGGATACTCGTCGCCTCTCAATGGAGGGGGAGTAGGCGGTGGAGGTTCGTCAATGTCGATGGGGGGCATGTCACCCTCGACGTCAGCACCGCCACCCTCGTTGCAGTCGCTGCAGGAGTCGATGGCAGCCAAGGAGAGGGCACAGACGGTGGCATTGATGAAGGAGAGACTTGCGCGGATGAAGACTCAGACACTGACGTCTTCACAGTTGGCGCTACAGCAGTTCCATCAGCAGCAGGCATCGGGACCTGAGCAAGGACAGGGCAATAATGGCAACGGCCATGGAGGATCAGGCAACCAGTACTTTTAAACAATCTACACTTGTAACAACACTACCATCACCTAAAGAATACGGACTGCAATAAAAGCGAATGAACTCGTAACCATTTTCACGAAGTATGGCGATCAAGGTGGGGTGCGAACGGGGAAAGGTAGGGGTGCTTGTTGCAGGATGGATGGAGGGTGAGGGAAAGGAACAGAGGTGCAAGGGAACCCAAAAAAGAAGGTTTATGTGAGAAGAAAGTTAAGAGTACAAAGGGGAAGTACAAAGGGGAAGTACAAAGGGAGCATCGACCTGTGTGAGTTTTTACGACTAGTCAGTGTGCTGTTTTTTTGTGCATTGTCCTTTTCTTCTTTTTCTTCGTTCATTTTCCTTCTCTCTCTTTCTTTTTCACACACTCCAGCTCTATCACATCTCCACCGCCCTCATCCCCAAAGCTACTGGCGACCTATCTCTAATAAGGATGATTCTCAAGACGCCACCCAACTCGTCTGTCTGTATTGGGAGTAACCAGGCTGGCGAGTCAGTTTCTGCTGTCGGTCAGGAGAATACCACCGCTGTACGCGCTAGGAAACTCACGTCGACAGGGGCGGGAAGTGACGAGATTGACGAACAGCAGGACCATAATCAAGGTGGAGATATCTCGCTCAACTCCTACGATGCTACTGCTGCTGCTGCTGCTGCTGCTGACTATGGAAGGCAGCGACCTACGGCTCTGGACCAAGAGAATTCGAACAAGTCAACGACGACGGCAGTTCGAGCGTCCGGCAGTATTCACGAACACAGTTCTCATATCGGCAACGACAGTATTAGCAACGGCCAGGCCGAGGGACAGAAGCAGGCCGCCGCATTCTCGACATCAAGCACACAAGTCAACGACAACAACGACAATAACAACAACAACGATAAGGGTTTAGGTCGTCGTGAGGTGAGGAGGATCGGGCGATTGTCGACCCCTGACCGTGGGAGAATTATGGTGGCCTGGTCCATGATTCCCAGGGGCACATTCTTGTACCGCTTAGCTGCTCAAGCCACTGTCTGTGATACTGATAATCGGACTCGACGGTGTGCTTCTTGTCTCAAGCAGATTGGTTCCCACGACCACGACATGGCGGTCGTGAAAGAGGAGAAGGTGGAGGTGGCAAGGAAGGTGAGCGGCGGTGGTCATGGGTGTGAGGGGTGTGGAGAGATTTGGTATTGTGATCACGCCTGTGCGGATCGGGATTGGGAGGTCTTGCATGCTGCCGAGTGTCGGTTCCTCAAGGCCCTCTACCAAGGCGTTCCTTCTACCACCACCACCTCCTCCTCTTCCAACGATAACACCAACACCGACGAGGACGAAGTAGCATGGATGACATCAGTTGGAAACCCGCACCGCGAAGCCATCACCCGATTCTCCCAACAAGGATTCGAACCCTACACCCAAGACTACTGCCGAATCCTCATCCGGATCCTCACCCATCGATTCCACGAATTCACAGACCCTCCTCTCTCGATTCAACTCGGTGTTACTCTTACCGACCCACCCTACTTGGAGTCTGCAGATCCGGACCAGTCGAAGGGACCGTTACCGTATTCGGTTGTTGACGATCTAGTGATGAACAAGGAGAGTTTTTCGAGGGAGAAGGTTGAGGGGGAGTTTCGGGATGTGGTGCGGATCCTGGATGCGTTTCAGAGTCACCTTGAGGCTTCTTACCTGCCGCGGATGGACCGACGTCATCGTCAGCATAAAGGAACAAAGGCGATGACAGAAGGATCTGGGAAGGCGCTAAAGCCGCCACGGAGACTTTTGGAGACAGAATTGATGAACCTGGTCATGAGGGAGGAATGCAACTCCTTTGGAATGTACGAGTACCCTTCCTTCCCCCTTACTCCTCCTCCGACCACTTCCACTTCCACCACCACCGTCGTCGCCGCCGCCGCCGCCGCCGCCGCCTCAGGCACGGATGCAGGAGAAAAAAGCGAAGGAAAGGACAACTCTAAAATATGCTACGCTCTGGGCCTCTTCGTCCGCCAACACCTCTACGGATTCAACCACTCCTGTAGCCCCAACTTGTTTCATGTGGCCCACAACAACCAGCTCCTGTTGTACGCTGCGCGTGATATCCAGCCCGGGGAGGAGATCAATATCACCTACCTCGAGTTTGGACCCCATTACCGGATCCCCCCACCTTCAAGAGCTGAAGCAGGAACAAGGAAGGGAGTTGAGGAGGAGGAGGAGGAGGAGAAGGAGGGGAGGAAGAAGAAGAAGGAGGCTTTCGAGAATCGGAAGCGGTTTCTGAAGAGCCATTTTTATTTCGACTGTAGGTGTGCTCGATGCACCTACGAGGATACCCTCTACTCTTCCTCTGACGATGACGCAAAGGAGGGGGTGAAGGGATTGACAGGGGGGGAGGAGGAGCGGTTCTTGAGGGAGGGGTTGAGTTGTGAGCGGGAAGGATGTTTTGGATTCTATGCTCCACCTACAGTCCTTCGTGCCCGACAGGACAACAAGGGTAGCAAGAATGGTTGGGATGATGGATCGAATATGGGCGGACGATGGGGATGTGTTGCCTGTAGTCGTCTCCAATCTTAAATCCTTTCTCTTTTCTTCTTCCTCACCGTCCTCACTTCTTTTACACAACATACACAACTTTCCTTGCATGGAGTAGTAAAAAATATGATGTTCGAAATCGTCTGCCACAAGAGCAAAACCCAATAGTATTTGGTTTGTTAACCTGTCTCTGTCTGTACCTAAATTATGACCGGTAGTCAGCGTTGATAGAGATGTACTCGTGCGAAAGGTCACAAGTCCAGTAGGCAGTCTTCTCCTCTCCCAAATTCAACTCCACCAGAATCTCCAAATCCTCCATCTTCAAGATCTCGCTCGCTCTAGCCTCATCCACCTGCTCAGGCTCGCCATTGACCAGCAACTTCAAGGGCTCCGACTTGTCCTGAGGGATAAAGGAGACAGAGACCTTCTTGGGGTCGATCTCGGAGACGCCCGAGTATCCGACGGCGCAGAGGATGCGGCCCCAGTTTGCGTCTTGGCCGTAGAGGGCGGTCTTGACGAGGGAGGATGTTGCGATGGTCGAGGCTACTGTCTTTGCAGCCTCGAACGATGGTGCTCCCTAATTTTTGATTAGAACAGGAAGAGGAGGGTGATTAGAGTTTTTTTTCCACGAGGGGATAAGAAAAAATGAGCATTGGTGAATGCAAGAGGAAGAGATAATGGACGTTGAGAGATTTTCTGAGTTGCATGAATTGATTATCGTCCAATCCTCGCTTTTTTTTGGTCCCTGTTTGGTTGTATGTGCGTCAATTATGCAGTGAGAATCATAAGACACCCAAGAAAGAAAGAGAACAAAAACACCTCAAAACGGCACAAACAAAAAAAAGCACAAGCGTGTCTTACCTCAACGGAAACCTTGACAAACTTGGTAGCTCCCTCGCCATCACGAACAACTAACTGAGAAAGATCCTGCGCAAACTCGGTCAAGTTTTCCCGGAAGGCCTCAAAGTCCTTACTGGTCACATCCTCGACCACAATCTTTCCGCCGGAAGCACCACCGTTGGCCAAAAGCGCCACAGTATCGTTGGTACTCATATCTCCATCAACACTGATCGCATTGAACGACCGATCAACCGCATGAGTCAAAGCATACTGCAACAGACCGGGCGCAACTCCCAGATCGGTAACAATAGTACCCAAAAGCGTCGCCATGTTGGGGTGGATCATTCCGGCGCCCTTGGTAATACCAGCCATACGGTACTCAACTCCCGAAACAGGCAACTGGAAGGTCTTGCTCCTCAACTTGGGGAACGTGTCCGTCGTCATATATGCCTCAGCACAGTCCATCCAATGCTTATGGTCTCCTCCCAAAGCCTGCTTCGAATCCTGAATCCCCTTCAAGATCTTATCCATCTTCAAGTGCTGTCCAATCACACCGGTCGACATGACAAGCGAACTACGTTGGTGTCCCGTCAAGTCATCCAAGGCCTCCAGCATCTCCTTGGCGTTCTCGAGTCCCTGCGCTCCCGTGACAGCATTGGCACATCCAGAGTTGGTCACCATTCCATGGATCCCCTTTCCGCCATTATCCTGTAACCGGGTGCGAGAGGCAACAACGGGCGCGGCCTGGAAGACGTTCTTGGTAAAAACGGCTGCTGCAGAGCAGGGCCAGTCGGGGGAGGTGATCAGGGCCAGATCCTTGGCGCCAGACTTCTTGACGGCAGAGGAGATGCCAGAGACGAGGAACCCTTTGGGGTAGGTGCCAGAGGTGGGAATTAGCTTCTGCTTGGAGGCGGGGAGGGAGGCCGAGGTAGGGGGTGCTTTGGTCGAGTATGCACGCGCCACCGAGAAGGTGTTATTCATACCGCTAAGGACGCGGCGGGGGAGTGCGAGGAAGGACATTGTACAGTTTTTGGTCGCGTAGTGGTCGTGATGAGAGGAATGTGATTCAGGAAAAGGGTTGGAAAGAAGAAGATGGTGATGAAGGAAGTAGTGGAAAAGCGAATAAGGGGTAAGGAGCAAAAATCAAGGGTCCGTCGCGCGGCTCTTATTCGAAAAGAAAGACAGTCTCAAGATGAGGGTGATGATTCCTGAGTCAGAGAATGTGTTCTGAAAATGAAGATATTATTAAAGATATATGTGCTAGAGAGACTGTTGTTGAACAGGCAGGGTGTTGAGGATGCAGGCATGCATCGGTCGAAATGTGTACGAGTGGACAGATGCAACTTGCGCTGCAGGGATCTCTTCCATCCAAAATTGCAAAAAACGATGACGGGGCGGAAAATCCCGTTCCGGCCCCGTCTGGCTGATTCAAGCTGGGATCTGCGCCACATTGAAAAACTGGTCGAACTGTTTCAGCCACGCGCACATCTCATCCCGCGAGGGTGCCTGCATCAAGTACGCGTTGTTCGACGTGAATATCGAAAACACGTACTTTCGCTAATCATCACAACATTAAAGATAAAATAAAGAGTCATGGTAAGCCATTGTGAGCAAGTAGAAGAGGGAATACAACCAAGAAAAAAAACAGAGACACGTACGTTGAGCATTTCCTCAAGATCTTGCTTGTAATCAACGCGGACATGGGTCAGATTGACAACAGCAAGCTCCTCCATCTCAGAATTGGTGGCGTAGATAAACATGTACGGGCGGCGGATCACAAACCATCGCTTCACCCACACATCGTCCTTGAACTCGGGATAGTGCAAATATCCTCGCTTCGACATATTCTCGCTAATAAGGACAAAACACACATCAAATGTCTGTGTAAGTTATTATAACGCCTCTGAAAGTTGGTAACAGTCGCCTTATCCATTGTCAATCATTCGACTAGCAGTTGGTTACCTTTTGGTGACAAAATTCACCTCAGACTGGAAACGAGCGACAGGTCGCCCCGATTTTGCTGCCTCCGAATCTTCCTCGTCCGATGGTGGGTCCTGTCGGCGCAACACCTATGTATTGTAGATGAATCACGACACATCTCTGGTGAGAATCCTGAAGAAAACACTCGGACATCTAACATGAAACTACTTCAAATAAAAGAGCCAAGTTACCTCATCAGCAGTCAGCTCCTTGCGTGTCCAGAGCTGGAGCATCCGTTGCAGCAGATCTTGCGAGTGCTGATCCAATGCCTTGTCCTCTCCAGAGTCGTCCACAACTGTCTCTGCTTCATCTCCGCTTGACCCACTGGATGCTTCCTCTGGGTTTAAAAGTCCTCGCAGTTGCAGGAACTGTCGCGTCTTGGAAACCTCCTCGTGCCGAGCCAAACGTGATGTCCGTGTTTTGAACCCTGTGACTAGAGAGACTCCTCGGGGTTTCCAGTCAGCCAAAAACTCTGCTCCTCTCACGTAATTTCCCGCCGTGTCCATCCTCCACAACTCAGACACTCTTCTGGGAATAATCGGCTTGAGGTTCAACAAGAACAGACCACACACACGAGAGAGCATCCTCGTCGACGCAAGGAAAGAAGTCAGCTTGGACGGTGCTCTTGCCTCCCGATCCTGAATCTGCATTGCAATATCCATCTGGAACCGGACAGGCTCGGGGCATCGATCGGCCTCCACTGTCCATGTCAAGGTGAGAAGAACGCGGGTGCCAGAAGCAGTCACTCTGTTCAGGAACAGTGAGTCGTGGAGAGTGCTATCCCATGATGCTTGCACAACGAGGTCACTTGTGCCGTCAGTCGGATAGTCCACCTTTTGACCAGGCACAAGGTTGAGAGAAATGTCATCCCGAACAGGCGAATCGGTGGTGCGACCCTTGTTGTCAACAAGTCGAACGTTTCCCACTTGAATCCTAGAGACCTTATTCCACTGAAACTGCCGACCGGAAGTATGCGAGAGAGACAAAATAATGCGCCTCTGCAGTCCTTGGCGAAGCTGGAACGCTCCCGAGTCCATGACTGTGTTCGAAAGGACTTGGACTGGGACATAGTCGCCCTCGGGTGCAAGCTCACAGACTTGCACAAACGCCAAAACATCGTGCTGCTCCTCCTTCGCGTTCTCCTCCTCTGATCGCAGGTCCGAAAGTCCACTGGCAGACCCAATACTCTCCAAGGATGATCGGTTGTTAGGTCCATTCACGCCTGATTTTGACGCCGCCAGTCCACTCTTTCGGGCCTCCTCCTGTTGCTGGATTTGTTGCTGATGAGAAAGTTCTTGCTCAAGATCCCACTTCTCCCACGCCGTCAATGTCGCGGGTCTCGCTTGCCCAAACACCTCGAAATGGAGACTCCCGCTTGTCAGGACCTCCAACATTGGCTCAGTGACCACCATAGAGATCGTCTGTGTGAAACCAAAAAAGATGGCTTGATCGTCGAAACCATTGACGGGCTCCGTAGCGAAAATCTTCTCTCCAGCAGTGTTGGGAGCGGCTCCGCCAAAGTTCGAAAGGCGAAACTGGGCGTGGACCTGGGTATATTGCTTCTCGGAGAGTCCCTCAATAGCGACTAGCGAGATCTCGAACAGGAGCTGGTCACCAACACCGACAGCCGACTCTGCACCGTCCACCTTGCCATTGCTGGTTCCAAGACGCGATCGCTCGCGGCTGTGGCCTCTGCTGGGTCCTCGACTCTGACTGAGGGTTGTTGGAGAAGTGGGTGTCGAAGTGATGGGTGTAAGGCTGGATCGGACTTTGGCGTCGCTATAACTCAATGGGGTGAGTCCGATCCTGCAGCGGCCCATAGTGTTGCCAGTAGTGCGGCAGACGATCGGAATGACGCTCTCCGTGAACTGCATCTTGATCAAACTTTTCAAGGGAACCGAGGCTGTACCGACAAAGGTGAAGCGTGGGCTAGGCGTCTCGTAGAATGGATCCTCCATGTTGAAGTGTTTCCTGTACTGCGGCCGGTCGGCAAAGTTGTAAAGGTTCCGCATCCGCTGAAGTCGTACTTTGAGCTTTTCGATAGACCAGAGATAGATCGAGTGGTGCTTGTTGTCAATCACCTTGATGCCCACGCACGACCGCTTCAGATTCGACAGTGACGGCTCTTCATCTGGGTTGGGGTTGAACTGCGACAATCCAGCTGTGCTCTCCCAGAATGACGTTGGGTTGGAAAAGGACCCGGCCTCGAGGATGGTGAACTGGTAAACGACGTCCTTGGAGAGTTCCCGACTGATGATGTTGGCTTCCTTGATCAGCACCGCGTTCGTCAAAATAGATTCGGCCATCTGCACACTCCGCTCCTCCTTCCAACGCTTCAATGTCTTGTGGATAATCTTCAGCTCGTAGTCCGAGTAAAGTGGCAACAACTGCCTGCCCTTCAGCTGCGACTCTTCCAGGTGATGGCTGGCAACACTCGTAAGAGAAAGACGCTTCATCTTATCCTCAAACTGCTCCCTCTGCTGGTCTAGTTTCTTCATCAGGTCCTCCTTGGCTTGTCGAAGTCGCTCCTCCATCAATGCCTTCTCCGCCAAGAGTTCGTCCGATTTAGCCTCTGCCGCCGACAAGTTCTGAATTTTGGCCTCATACTCGGCCTTTTGCTGGTTCATGAGCTGCATCTCCTCTTGCGCCAATCGCAGCTTCTCCTTCAAGGCCAATGCAGAAGACTCCAAGGGAGGGATAGGACTCTCGCGCCCGTCCTCCGTCATCGTATTCTCGCCGTGCCACCGTCCGTTGAAAGAAAGACGTGATGATCTCGACTCGGTTTCGTCATCAAAGTTTGATCCTGCGCGACTCTCAGACCTTACGCTCTTCCGCATGTACCGAATTTTGGCGATGTTGTCAAAGAGAACGTCCAAATCCTGATCCTTAAGCTGGTTGATATTGGACTCGGAGAGCATGTGTGCATGGATGACGGCCTCCTTGCGGGCATAGTTCCAATCAACAAACTCTGAATGAACTGATCCTGACGACAGAGGCGAGTCTGGACGATCATCGGGACGATCTTCCTCCATGCCGTTTGAGTGCGCAGCCTGAACTTTGCCGACTGGGGACGAGACCGTGCTGGAATGAGGCGTACTGGCTTGTTGCTGTTGAAGATCCCTCTCCCGTCGAACCTCTTCCGGATGATTAAAGCGAAAGACGTGGTAGTCTCCCAAGATGACACGGAATCCTGATCGAAGGCGCTTGGGCTTGCTGATGCGGAGTCCATTCACCATCGTCATCGACGACTTTCCTGGGTACAAGGTCACCTTGGAGTTGTTGTTCTCAAAGTAACAATGTGCGTCGTGGATGTTGGTTCCTGATAGCCGGATATCAGCAGGTGCTGAGGACTCCAGGCGTCCCACAAGCGTCTTGCCAGGTTTGAGGTGATACACCAGACACTCGGACATAAGAGGGTCCTCGTTGAGGTTGACCAAATGGGGCATCTTTTTTGGCGTGTGAACTCCGACGTGGCCCTTGTCGACAGAGATTCCAAGCTCCTCCAGCGTCTTTTCCCTCTCCTGTTGAATCTCCTGGGTCTTGCGCAGCTTTTCCTCCCATGTCTCGTTCAGTTCGGCCATAATCTTTTCTGACGCCTTGACTTCATCCTGAAGCTGGTCCTTGGTGAGTGTCCTGGTGTTACCATGGAGATCGACGATGGTGACGGCGGAGTTGGGAGCCTTCAAGTCGGAGCCAGCCTGTGATGGATCATAGATACTGAGTTTCGATCGTAGGTCCAGCAGCTCCTCCTTCAATTCTCTAACCAACTTGGCGTTCGGGTCCTCGTTCACGACAGCCTTGTTCTTGATACGCTTAGCCTGATCTGCATAGCGGAGGGTGCTCAGTGTCTCGTCGTAGTTGACGTCTGCAGGAGAAAGAGCGGCGATGATGGTAGTTTTCGAGTTTCCTCCCAGACAGTCTTTAAGCAGCCATGTCAGAACCTACAACATGTCAGCAGCATGACGCGTTAGTCGTAACCCCTAATGCGGCTGAAATCAATTATAGATTGGCATCGTGGAAAGCACAATCCTATAACATACCGAGTCTCGGTAGGGTATAAAGGCTTCTGCAGGCTTTTTGAGGGACTTTTTGAGTGTGGTTGTGGATGCTGATGACGCGTCGGCAAGGGCCGAGATGACCTTGCCTAGAGTCGTCAATGATTTGTTGATATTGGCTCCTTCTTTCAAACGTGCTCCCGTGGCTCCTGTGGAATTGGCACGCTCACTTCCAGCAAGATCCACAAGACTAGCAGTAAAGCATTTAAAAAAGCAGATGGTATTAGCATTGTAATTTTACTTCGGTGAACTGGGTAGACATACGCCTGTACTTTGCAAAGAGTACATCTGAGGTGATTCCTTACCAAATTCTAGATACTTTTTCCGTCTCCAGCTTTGTCAAGGTGTCATGTCGTCGTTGTGTGAGCAGCACGGTAAAGACTGCGTGAGATCGACTTGAAGTCTCGTTCATGTTGGTCGCCGCCACCGTGCGTGCCTATATTCCATACAAGGAAAAAGATAATTGTCCAGTTTAGTCACACATGACCATTGACATTGTTCAGGCACGCACAATATGTTTCTCTCCTGCTCTCGGATAGCTGAATAAAATGTTACCTTGTTGCCTTCATCCATCAAGTTCTCGATATCCTTGAAAGAGGTGACCATCAATTTAGAAAGGTCCTCGACATAGGGTCCTAGTGAAGGGTGCTCTCGAACTTTGAGGTGACCCTTGTTCTTGGGGTTCAAAAGGTCGCGTACCCTCTCGCAGTAGATTTCCATGTATGAGACCTCGACTCGATAACTAAGGGTTGGATCCGTATTGGCTTCAATCCGGCGGAAAAGTTCGTGGCAGGAAAGGGGTATAATGCCACGGTCTTCACCATAACCCATCTAACCATGATGAAAGAAGAAGAGATATGAAGGATCCATTTAGCCTTTCTTCCCCCTGCGCCATGGTTCTTCCCGTCGGGAAAAAAAACGGTTGTATCCCATGTGATCATTCCGCATCAATCATCCCTCATTTTTGTTCAATTTTCACATCTTGATCTTGTCAGCGACTGAAGTTCATCTGTTCCTTTGACCATGTAAGCTTCCGACTCACCATTGAATAGGACTTGCCACTGCCCGTTTGTCCATCTATAGATGTAGAATGAAGACATCAATCAGTCAGGGTCAGTATAATAGATGGCACTGCGGACAGATCCTGTTGCCTCTATCGCGAACGGACGCCATCACTGCGGGCTTTAGATGTGGACTAATTAAGCTCAGAATGCCCAACCAGCTACAAGACGTCTTTTTATGTATATTTTCTCCCATTCGAGGGATACTTTCCACGGAAAAGGGCAAGGTATGACCAGCCTAATCGCAAAGACCCACAAGGACTAAACAAGAGGCGTAAAAGAAAAAGAAAAAGAAAAAGAAAAAGAAAAAGAAAAGAAAAAAAAACAAGAAAAACTTACAGGCAACGATGCAGGTGTTGTAGCCGCTGAAAGAGTGATTGAGGAGTTCGACACCCAGATCGTCGTACAAACGTTGTTGGCCTGCGTAGTTTGGATCGCTCTTATCATAAGACCAGTAGGAGTGGTCAAAGGAGAAGGATTTCGTCCCACCGTCGTCCGGCTTTCGAATAGTAGTCATATCCCCGTCCATTTGAATGATGCATTCCGCCTGCTTTCCAATCTCTATGTATGCGAGAAAAAGAGTTCCACTTGTTAGTCTGGTCTCATTTAGCGATCCCTCGTGGCATTCCATCATAAAGATTGTAAACGAATACAAAGAGGCTCTAGTCCTGCATGACTGATCCTAGATCTCTGTGGTCTCTTTACCTCGACTGTTGAGTGGTCGACATCGGACCACGACCTTGATGTTTCCTCCTTTGCTCATGGCAGTTGTTTTGAGTGTGAAAGGTGTTGTTTGAGGAGTGATGTGGTATGTGGTGTAGGTTGGTGAGTCCTAACTTGACGGTACTACGCCGGTGTTGAAGTATTCCAGTGTGTCCTGCTGCTGCTGTTGTTGTAAGGGTCGAGGAAGAGGTGAGGAAGAGGGTTAGGATGAAGACGGGGGAGCTTGCCGAGGATGCGGCTGTGAGATGAGTGTGAAAGGAAAAGTGGTGTCTGAGAGGAGGAAAGGAAGCTGGGGCGATGCAAAGTGTGTGATGATTAGTGCAATGTGCGGGAGTGAATGTACAAGAAAGGAAGGAGGGATCGGTGATGGAGACAAGGGCGCGTGAGGAGTGTCTCCCAAAGGTCTGAGTCGAAGGGAAGGAAGAAAGGAGACAAAAGACAAGAAAGAAGGGAAGGAAGGGAAGGGAAGGGAAGGGATGGAAGGGAGGCAAGAAGATAAGCGTGAAGGGCACAAAGGCAAGTAATAAAAAGGTGCAGCCACAGTGAAACAAAAAGATTGGTCATGGTCCACAAGGTCTCTTCACTTGTCCTTGTGTACTTTGTACTCTTCTTCTTGTCTTCTCTTCTTCTCGTACACCCCTTCGTCCTGGAGTTGTTCGAAATGAGTCTTTTCTTTTTTTTTGTCGAGAGTGTGGCCCAGTTCACACATTCGTCATTGTCGATCGAACACCACTCACCCCTTTGTGAAAAAAACACTACACCGCAACGAGAGACAGACAGAGTGAGATGACAACAACGCTACTCAACCACACGAACAAAGAACAGGGGAAGAAGGAAAAGAAGAAGGACAAAGAAGGTGCGCTTGATCAGGCTGTGGAAGAACGAGGCACTATACAGAGTTAGGGACAAATGGGAAGGAGAAAGAGGGAAGGCTCACTTTTTTTTCTTTTCCTGTTCTAGTATCCTACTACAAAAAAAAAGAGAGAAAGAGATGCGACTTTGTCGGCTCTGAATGGGTGCGTGGGTATGTTGATAGATGGGACAGAGAGATAGACGAGAAGGAGAGGGAGGAGCCCAAAAGAGGAGGAATGTTTTCTGTGGGTTGACGGATTGCGGATTGCGTGCGAAGAAGGCGTCGGGTCGTGTTTTTTGTTCCTGAAGACAAAAATGTGAGTAAAGTTGAGTGTGAAAATAGGCAATGAAAGGATAGAGTGGTGAACAGGAAGAGGGAGTGGAGAAAGTGAAAGAGAAGAGTTGACACAAACGCTACGTCTTCTTGTTCCTCTTGTTGTTCACCCCTTTGTCATCCCCCATTCACCCCCCATTCACCCCCCATTCCCCATTCCTCCGAATGGCATCTCTTTTTCTTACACGTCTTTTCATGTTCTCCTACTTGCTGGGTTTGACAAAAAAGGGGGGAGTCGAGCAGTCAGGGGATGTAGTGTGGTCATACTTTTTCTTGGACTTCGCTGCACAGTTGCGACATGCACGTTGCCACCCCCACATACACTGGCAGTCCCCAGTCATTGTCGTCATGGGACCTCTCTCGTCCTTCCTTCCTCCCTCCTCCTCTTCCTCCAAAGCTCTTTAATCTCTCACTTCTCCAACTATTAGCTATGCTATTTTACAGATAAAAAACAACGTGGTTGGGTCCCCTTTTCAAGAGCATCTTGGAAGTCTCGAACCTCTCTTTTCAGGCACCGACCAAAATTAGTTCTCGATTTACCCCGGAAGCGGTCCACAGCCCCTTTTTAAAACATACCTAAACCCTGCCACGGGATCATACCATGCCCATGCTCCTCCACCCCTTTTATTCTTGGAGTCCTTGAAGGCGACAAAGCAATTGGATATTAGAAAACATGATCACGTGGAGACTGCCGTGATTTGGTGGCGCATTTCTAACTGATAAGCTTTTAATTGACAAGATATCTATTTTGTCCGACCGTTATCTTACAACGGTCGTGAAATTCTCTCGCTTCTCTCTACCATCGAATCATCAAGTAACATCTCAACATGTTGCATGAGTGAGTCTTGGTAACATTGGTAAGAAGTAGCCACTTTCGGTATGAAGAGATGCGTGATAGAGAAAAACGTGACCCGAATGAAGAATGAACAGGCAAAATAAACAAGCGAGAGATAGGTAGAGGAAGTAGAGAATAGCCATTGAAAATATGTTCTTTGTTCTTTATTCTATAAGTTGTTGGCGCGTGGATCGGCAGATTTCTCACATCCCACCCACCTTTATGAAAATTGCGATGTTTGCATATCATTATTGGATTGGTGGAGGATCCGGTTTTGTCAGACCGCATTTTGCTTATTATGTCAGTCCCTCTTGAGCCAATTTGACCTTGCTCTCCGTTCCCTTTTCTTCTCTCTTCTTGTTTCGCTCCTTCTTCAGAATCCTCGCGTCGATTCGAAGTCTCCCTTTCCCTTACTCGCAAATGATCGGCTGTGGAATGTAATTCTCTCTGTTACTGTCCACTTGATCGCTGCCGATAGCTCTACGATATCATTCGCGCAAACGCAAAGAATAGTTGAGGAAACTAACGACATTTACTTAGGATGGAACTCACGGCCCTCGTTTATTGCAAAACAAGAAATAAAGAAAGAGGAAACAAAGGGGCAAACAAAGAGAGTGGGCGGTAACGATGTCATTCGAACAACGAAGCTCACATTGACAAAGAGAAGAGGAGGCTGATAGGAGATAGCAATTGAAGTTTGTGAACAATTGGCTATATATCAACGCAAGGCACGAAGGTGAGCGAGAGAGTTCTATGGGTAGGACGGGAATAGAATGAAAAGAAGAGAAAGAGAAGAATGAGAGAAAACAAAAATAGGGAAAACGAAAAAAGCAAAGCAAGAAGAGAAGGATAAGAAATGATAAAAAGAGAAGAAGAAAATGAAGAGGAAAACGCGAGACAAGGTTGAGCAAGATAGCTTATCGATGCGATCAAACCTCATTCGATCGAGCAGGGCCTCAAAACTTTCCCTTTCCCATCGAGCGAGGCTGAGAAGGAAGTTCTTTTGAGGAACGAGATTCCTGCCTCGGAGATCCAAAGGCTGTCGATCGGAGTGGATGCCGGTGGAATGGATATGATCCATGTGGCAGAATGGAAGGGCCAGAAGGTCGCCATCAAGGAAGCCTCAGCTCGCGTCATTTCCAAAGAGGCAAGAACACCAACCTTTCTGTCTCTACATCCCTCGGTCAGGCGCTCCTCTTCTCCGTTCCCTGTTCTTCTCCTTGACGAAATTCATGTATCCCTAATTTATGTCATATTGCAGGGCTTGTGGGACCGTGCGTTGGAGATCGAAATCCAGATAGTTTGGCTTGGGTGTGCACCAAAGCTCAAACTCAAGGTGCTGGAGCGTGTGCTGTGTTATTTATTCTTCCGTTCGTACACGACAACACCATCTCTCTTTGCCTTCTCGACCCGCCCCCGCCTTCCTTATTTCGCAATACCTTGATTTTTTGTTTGTTCTCCTCGCGGAGCACATCCCCTTGCATATCAGACTAGGTCGAGATCTATAGCCGCATGAAGGGGTGCGAGAGTGTCGTCAAGTTTTACGGAGTGACTTTCCCTCCTGGCTTGGACAAGATGTGCATTGTGACCAAGTTTACCAACAAAGGCTCGCTCACATGGCATCTCAAGGTCGAGTACCATACAATAAGATCATTATTGCAAACGATATCTGTTTTATTTCATCGAGGTTCAGGAGTTTGTTATTTGTTATTGTTGCAGAAGGCAATGGAGTTGTGACAGCACTGGGGAAGGGTTGTGGATTTTTTTGTACGTTTTTTTTCTTATTGATAAAGGAGGGGTTTATCATCACTACCTATGAAGAGCAGAATAGACGACCTCGGATTTCTCCCTGTAAGGTGGGGGTGCAACCACCGAGGTTGAAGCCGAGGTTGAGGAGGTCATCTCGGAATCGTTGGCAAGAGCGTTGTTATTGGGCCAGGGGGAATCGGCACCGGGGAGGACCTTTTGGCCGTGGACGGGTTTGGGCTTCTTGAAGAAGCGGATAATTATCTTTGTGCAGAGGCATGTCATTTTTAGGGGGAAAAGGAGGAGGATGTTTTGAATGTTTTGTTGATTTTGATGTGGTCACTGGAGTCAAAAGAAAGTATAGGTGTTTGTTAATGAGGAAAACGAAAAAGAAGAAAGAAACACTCTGGTAGTTGGTGTCAAGCTGCACCCTTTTTGTACTCATTTGTTTGGCATGTGGCTGCCCTCCCATAGCCCAACGTGAAGGACGACGCCAATCGCCACAAGAACTACCTCAAAGATGACTGCGAAAAATGACCACTGAGGGGTCGTGTGTCGACTTTGGTGCCAAAACACCCTCCTTTGTCTACTTTCGCGTCTAACGAACAGTAGTAGATAATAAAAAACGCCCTTTTGCTTTATTGCGCAGCCCAAACAAAAAAAGGTGCTAACGCAGATTGCATGCACGGACATTTCTCTTCTCTCTCTTCTTTCTGCCATTTCTCTTTCTCTCACAGACATTCTCTCTCTCTCTCCGTTCGTCCACCCGCCCTCAACAACAACAGGAATCCCCTCACACGCCCTCCTTCCCCTTCTCTCACTCACTGAGCCATGTTAATAACCCCCAAGTTGAACCCTGCAGAAGTAGCGCTATCGCTCCCAGAGGTCCTAGATGTCCTGGGTCCTTTATTGACTCTTCAGATATCGGATCCTGTGTCTTGGTCAACCTTCTCTGGAATGAAGTCTTCAACTCCTGGCTCTGGCACACAATCGACGACAACACCTTTAACTGGTCCAACCTTCTCTCAGTCATAGCTAGCTCTTGCTATCCGCGTGAGGACGGCACCGTCGTCGAGAAGGACGAAAAGTGGCTTCGGGCGATCTTGGCCAAGAACGGAAGATACATCCGACACCTCAACATGACCTGGATCGCTTTACTCCTGAACGCCGGTGCAGCAGGATCAACCATCACTCGACTACGGTCTCTCTCTGCATACCACTTTTCGATGGGTCTCCTTTTCGAGGAGGAGGCGCCCCTATACGACTTGCCGGTCCTGGCGGGACAACAGGCGGTCATTTCGTCGTATATCCTCTCTCCAGCCTTTGAGGATGCCTTGGAACCCACCCCTAATATCAGATTCAACAGGTTCATACGCGGTGTTGTCGCCTCGCAGCGGTTTTGACTCTTGGTCCTGCAGAATCCTGATCTAGAGAGTCTGTACCTTGGACAACATTTTAGGTTGAACGGTATGGCATTCAAAATTGAGGCGATGATCAACACCATGCAGTCTCTCTCAAAGCTGACACGGTTGAAAAATGTTATCATGCACCGCCCCCTTCAGAAGATTCTAGGAAAGCTTCCAGGACTCCAACATTACACGTATTGTTCGCCTATTAGCTCTGGGAGATATTTCTTCCCTAACGACTTGGAACTCGACCAAGCGATCCCCCGTCTCCTGTCGCTCGAGATTCTCAGTCACAGACCTCTACGATTGGCGTCCCTTCTAAACCTCCTGGAGTTCTTGCCGAGCCTGGAGCAGCTGACGATCAGCGCATTCCTACCGGCATCGAGGTATTTCTCGGGCCTCCAAATGGAAGAGTCTATCGCAAGCATGCAGGAGTCTCTCAGCAACAAGTCACACAGCCGATTACACATTGTCAAGGAAGACCATGAGATCACGGCAGCCCTGGACGAGACGATTGCCGGAATAGTTCTTCCTGTGATACCGTTCCTGGCAGAAATTACCCTGAGAGTCTTGCTGCCGGCGACGGTGGTAGCGCTAGTAGAGCACTGTTTGCACCTCGAAACGGTAAAGGCAGTGGATGATGTTTGTTCGAACAAGGTTAAGGTGACGCTCCCCGAGAATGTGCCGCTGGTCCCCTTACATGGTTATCCGACCCTCAAGCACCTGGACGCCGCGTGCCATTCTGTGGATTCCCGTCTGTTGCTGGAGAAGCCTATTGTCTGTCGCGAGCTCGAGACGTTTCTGCTGTCAAGTTGTTGGCGTTGATCGCCTGACTGATGATGAACAAGTTCTCTATGATTCCTGGACGTTGATTGGATAGGCTGAGCAAACAGCCATCGCGAACACGACCACGGACACAACAGAAGACGAGAAGCGCCGAGTAATAGTAAAGCACAAGGCAAGCCAAGACCTCCACCACCAGATCTACGCCACATTCTCAGGGCTGACCAACCTCCACCGATTGGATTTCGGGCACGACCTCCATGTCAGCGGTCGTCATCGAGACCACTGGCTGCCAATGGACCAAGTCTTTGTCCCAGAGACCATCCTCGTCGCTGGACGAGTCTACCACACCATGTACCCACCCAACCGCACCACGCTCAAACTGTCTCTCGATGCAGGACTAGACCCGTTGAGGACTCTGTCGAGGTTGAAAGTGTTTGGGTTCCGAGGTGTCGATCATCGTGTCGGGAAAGAGGAATTGGATTGGATGGCGACCGCTTGGCCGAGGTTAGAGAGGGTGTTGGGAGTTGGAGATGATTTTTGCATTTGAAGTATTTTAGACTGGGTTGTGAACGGCCGCGGTTGTTGATGGAGTATGTCCTAACGACCTTGCAGATCAAGTACGAGTGAGTGAGTGGGCGTCTCTAGGTGTTGTTGATTTTTTTTTGTCGCGAAACAAACATAAGTTGTTCCTTTAAGTTGACTAGGTTTTGAAGTAGGAGGTAGATAAGAGAGGGGATGGATGGTGAAAAAGCATGAATAGCAACCAAGAAAAAGAGAACACACCGCGACCGGAAAAAAAAATTCAACCAGGCGCTGCGTAAAAAGCATTTGAGAGTTTGTTTCTATTTCTTGTTTTTTGTTGCCGCCCTTTTTGTTCATGGATGGGTGGTTATATTTGATGAAAGTCAGTGCAATAGGTGAGGGCAGAGGCGGGGAAGTTGGGGATAGGGTCGAGAGTTGGACTAGTGTTGTTGTTACTATGCTACAGCCATATATGCAAGTAGGACAACTAGATTTCTAGGTGATGTTTCCAAGAAGCGTCAGAAATAGAAGCAGCAATGATATCTTTGCAATAATTTCTGGTGTCGACTTTGGAGAGACAGGGAAGGATGAGCATCAGCCATTAGGACAATCAAAGGCATGTTATGTGGAATGATATAGAGATAGATGGTTTATTTCTTGATGGTGTTTGACTATTGACTATGAGTAAACAATGTAAATAAGTATTGGCTGTACTACATGGTATTTATGCTGTGTGATGAATGATGATGAATGTGTGTGTGACAAAAAAAAAAAAACAATGAAAATAGAAAAGAGGGTGCATAACGCTCCATGTCAACAAGTGTTTCCAATCTACTGCAAGAAGCAGCTCTTGTCGTCAACAAACTCCAACCCAGCGGTGGGGTGCGCGCACGTGTACTGGGTCAAAAGGCAGAGGTTGTTGAAACGACGCATCTGACCCCGCTTGTCCTTGGCACAGACAGGGTCCACCACCATCGTACACATCGTACCACACTTGTTAAAGTCATTGTCCTCGATGGCCAAGTCGTCGATTGCACCATCAGCAGCGTCGGCAGAAGCTTCAACGGCGGCAGGGGCAGGAGCATCAGGGGAAAAGGCGTCACTATCGATGGGGCAGAGTTCATGAGCGACGACATGGAAGGTGTTGTCGGGATTCTGGCAGTTGAAGACCGAGAGGGCGCACTTGTTGCTGAATGTTTGGTAGTGGTTACCATTCTTGGAGGCCGTGCAGACGGGGGCATACTCCATTGTGCAGACGATGTCGCAGGTTGGGAGCAAGGGGGTAGAACGCTTTTCGGGAACGGTGACCGCGGCGGCGCCGGTTTCACAAGCTTCGTCGGAGACGATGGTGAACGAGTTGTCGGGGTTCTGGCAATTGAAAACTGAGAGGGCACATTTGTTGCTGAACGTTTGGAAGTGCTTGCCATTCTTGGAGGCCGTGCAGACGGGGGCATACTCCATTGTGCAAACGATATCGCAGACTGGGAGCAATGGAGTTGAGCGCTTCTCGGGTGCAGCGGTCTCGGTGGCATCGGTTTCACAAGCTTCGTCGGAAACGATGGTGAACGAGTTGTCGGGGTTCTGGCAATTGAAAACTGAGAGGGCGCACTTGTTGCTGAACGTTTGGAAGTGCTTTCCATTCTTGGAGGCCGTGCAGACGGGAGCATACTCCATTGTGCAAATGATATCGCAGACTGGGAGCATAGGAGTTGAGCGCTTCTCGGGGGCGGGGACAACGGCGGTATCAGCTCCCTCATCCTCCTCGACCTCACAGGCAGTCTCGGAGACAACACTGAACAAATTATCTGGGTTCTGGCAGTTATGAACTCTCAACAGACAGGAGTTACCGAAGGTCTGGCGGGTCTTGCCATCCTTGGAGGTCGCACAGACGGGATCCTCGACCATGGCACACATGATGTCGCAGGTTGGATACATCTCCTCACAGGCCGACTGAGCGAGGACCTTGGCCTTGGCGTGCGGGTGCTGGCAGTTGTAGACGCCGAGGGTGCAGGCGTTTCCGAAAGTTTGCTTCTCGCCAGATTTGAGCTGGGCGCAGACAGGCTGGTAAATGAAGGTACAGGCTTTGTTGCAGACCATGGGGGCGGCTTGGACGGATGATGAGTACATCAACAGTGTAGCGACGGCTGAAAAGGAAATGAGTTTTGAGAACTGCATTGTGGAGAAGGAATGGGGGAATGGAAGGAAGTGCTTGTTTTTTTTTTGGTTATGGTTATGTGTTGGTATGGTTTGGTTGGTTGATGATGAAGATGAATGTGAAGATGGAGATGAAAGAGTGGTCATCATCGATGCTTATATACCTATTTTCATCTCTATAGTCAGCGTCACTCTTGCACCAACGAGGACGACTTAACCGATACTTGACGTTGGTACCTACCACTCCAACACCGCAACCCGCATCAGAACCATAGGCAAGCATCAGTTGACTCTCAGCGCATACCCAATTTCTCTCCTCTCTCGCTCACCTCTTCGGCCCGGATTCCTTTTGATACCATTAAAACCTAGCAGCCTCCGATGTACCTTTACCTGGCGTATCGGCTGAAGTCACTTACCGACCTGCCTATACGTATCTGACTGTCTTATTCTTTATGCGCGCTTGATAATACCCCGACTACAAAACGCACTCTGACGACACTTTTCCACAATTGCCACCTGCAATGGTAGAACAGAGAAGGAACGTGGATCATCCTTCTTCTTGCGCTGGATAGGGAGAGGACACATACTTCCTGGATTTACTAGTCTTTGCTGGCCTTTGCGGAGTTTATTCTCGTCTTTTCATTCTGCAACGTTTCTTCTCACTACGCACTTGGCTGCATAATACGCCCAAGACCCGGAAAGAAAGAAGGAAAGAAAGAAGGAAAGAAAGATGGAAAGAACAAAGAAAAGAACGGCCTGAAAGGAACATAATTCTGAGTTTGGAAAAGAATGAGCAAAGAGATGAAAAACAAGCAGTGCATGGGCCAGCAATGGGTTAACCGACATTTTGTATACGATCCATGTATAATGGCGGTACATGAATATAGGAAAGGAAGGAAGGAAAAATACAAAAGAGGGAAGCAGGAGGAAGGAGGAATGCGGGGCATGAGAGAGTCGTACCTAAAAATGGATGGGTGAGTAAGTAATGCGTACATGTATCTTGGAGCTAATTCAATAGAGGAGGATGCATATTTTGAGTTCATTGCGAAGTATGTTTTTGGCCCGGGATCTGACTATGTTTGTTAGTGCCCATGAAGGATGAATGAAAAGAAAAGTACTTTTGGTCGAGTACTTGTGCCAAACGCCTAAAACATGGAACACGTTTTTCTTTTGTTCCATGCTCCCAATGGATGGCGATGTATGACGACAGAATGGACATACGATATGCTCTCTGTTGTTGTCAGCGTTCTGGCTGTAGACATGGGTTGGTCATAGCCTGGTAAAGGGACATCCATCGGAAGGAAGAAAAAAAGAGAACGCGAAATAGTAGCGCCGATACCTGCGCTAAAGTAGACAAAGGGATCACTGCGACATATAGGGTTTTAATCCCTCAATGGTCAAGTTTCTTACGGGCCAAGGCTATTGTCAGTTCTCATGATACTTGTTCCTTTTTACGCCTAACGTGATGATGTCTATCCAAGACTTGTCGATAAGTTAAGATCGTATCTCGAGCCTTTAAAGGTTGACCCAGCTGGTTTCTAGAAAAAAAATCAAAGGATGAATGTATGCTACTGCGACAGTCATCGAAGGAAGGGAGGGTTTTGCCCGTCATCCCTCACTTTTCTTTGCTTTGATATAGATCAAAACCTTCCTTGAACAAACTGACCTAAACAAGACACATCCCGCATATTCTTTCTTCCTCCTTTCTGGGTAGTGCTTGCGGTTGGCTTCATTTGTTTTATTCTCGCGAGAACCGCTTTTTTAAATTCGGTTGAGGCGAGCAGAGCGTGTGATAAGATGGCAGGAGGAGGAGAAGGAGAAGGAGAAGAGGAATAAAGAGTGTTCGTTTTATTTCTTCTTCTTTGCATTGGGCTCTTGGTAGGGGTTCTTCCCACCATTGCGAGATATCGCTCAGGAGTTCGAGGTGTTGGAAATGACCAAGCATCAAGAGGAATCGCCCTACGGTCCAGAGTCTTGGCGTTGGCGATCATGACCAATTTGCGTACTTGAAAGAGGGTATAGAGCATCTCCTCATGAACGTCAAGTTGACTCAGTTGTGATGGTAGGGTGATGATGCTCAACTTGGAATGAACAATTACGTTGCCAACTTTGGCTCTTAAATAGAACGTTACAACTCCACCAATGGCCTGAAAGGATATCACCGGTGGAGGACTGGCGAGCTTCCGATCCAGTTGGTCAAGAGAGTCCTTTATGAAAATTGCAATCCTGAGACGGTCGGTATTGCTGTCTTCCATCCGCGGATTCTTGGACTTGAGTTCGCCATAATACAGCTCGAAGGGCGCCGCGCAACTACTGATAACATCTGGTTGCCTTGCTTGGCCGTCCTGGTTCAAGTTGGCCTTTCGTTCCTGACCTGCAAGTGTCGTTGAGTTCGTGCTAAGTAATAAATGCTATTTATTAGCACGACCTTGAGTTGGTGGTCCTGGAAAACCTCCAGCATTCCCTGTTTGTATTTTTTGGTGATATGCTCATCCTTTGCTTGTTCCATTGGTTCCAGTAAACGGCGCCTATCAGACTTCAATGCCTTTTCAAGCCGCGCCCCAGTTTCTCGAAGACATTTGTCCTTGCTCTCTTTCAGTTTCGGTATAAGTTTGTCTTGCCACTCGTTCCGCAGTCGCTTCTCCGCGGAATCGTCCTGCACAATTGGGCCTCGACAAGAAATGAAATATCCTTCCGCGCTGTACTCTCCTGGACTTGTATCAAAAAATACTGCGAATTAGACAATAGCGCTGGCGTCTCCTTGACTGCGTCCAACAGGGATTCCTTCATGCTTCCTATTATCGAAAGTTATACCACATTACTATCAGATTACGTTTGCTTTATAGTAAGCATTAAGCCATCATGCAGACATACCAGCACCGGGAGTTAAATAGGGATGCAACACGGTTGTTTGGGTCAGGCCATAACAATAAAAGGAGATATTTAGGTGTTATTAAATCGATGGCATGATAGTGCGGAATGGATAACAGAAAAAGAATAGGAAAAGCACTCTAAAAGCGCAATCAGTTGCCCCCTTTGCTAGAGAGGCGCCGCTGACATGTGTTGTCCAACCACTGTGCCACACACCAATCACAAATCCTCGCATAACGGTTATGTGATCGGCTGATGAGAATTTTCATCCTCACCCGCACGCACAACGAGAGCTCTTTAATCCATAGCGAATATCCCAGCCAGTGTTGGGGGGATGATCCAAATATGGTGAGTCCACAACCACATCTTTCACTTCTGGCACATTTAAAGAGATGAAATGACAAGACGCACAACAGAATATTACCTATGCAAGAACGAATGAGACAGGCAGGAGAAACACGCGGGCAGTGATCAGGGAAAGGCGGTGGTGAAGGAAAAGAGTGATGATGGAAACGAGTGATGAAGGAAACGAGTGAAAGGAGCGATGGACAAGACGTGTTAACGTCCTGGAAACAAGACATGAGCGAGAAAACAGGACAATTGGCGCGAAAATTACGTCACCGAAGTGAGTAAATCGCCCGCCCCGAATCCGGAACTACACTCCTTTTTACCTTATCATATCTTTTCGCAAAAGAGAGTACATAAAAGGGCTACTCTCTAGTTCGATTGACTTAACTGTGCTCCCTTACACCCGGCCTTTCGCTTTGACCCTTCTGCCTACCATACCCTCCGAGGCGTGGCCCGGAACTGTACCTACACTACATCCAGGGATAATTTCTGTCACTGTCCTGGGGCTGGAGGTAGAGTGGCCACTGTTGCTCGAGCAATTATCCTCGAATGGCACTACAAATGTTGTGGCCGGTTATGATATCTCTGTGAATAAGGACTTGCAGTTCTTGCAGCACAGCCGCCGAGTGATGACCTGGCAAACGATCTGCTCGCATATGAGACACTTCTTGGAGGTGCAGAATTCGTTGATACCGACAACAATATAGCCGAGAAACATTGCCTACAAGGCGAACAAAGCGATAGATAGGGGATGATTATAAATGAAGTATTCGAAACTTACGAGCTAGACAAAGTACGCCAGAAAGGATCCATGAAGGGATGTAAGGCCAGAGCTCGACTTGAACTGGCTGAGATCAATTCCGATCACCATCTTATTCTCCTCCTTCCTCTTTGCACCCACCGATCCTTTGATGGCATTCAACAGACAGTTGGCCGTTGTCCTGAATTCTTCCTCCTTGGCGTGCTCTGCATCTCACGCATAACGATTGCAGAGCATTTTGTTACCCTGGCAGTCGTTCAGTGGTTCTTGCACCTGCTCCAACTCTTCAAGATACTTGATAACGCTTGCACCTTCACTGCAAAGTGGGGGCAAGCTTGACTCGAGATCCTTGATGGAGATTCCACCACCTTTGGGAACTATCGTCTTAGCCTCCTCCATCCAGCGTCGACGCGTCAGTGTGGGTTGCAATACCGCTTTCTGTGACACAGCGACAACGACATTGTGGAACGTTTGGCTTGATGAGGTCAAATTAGAGAATGCTGAAGGTGGTGTAAGGGCGGTCGAGGCACTTGAGAAAGTCATTGGGGTAACATACTCACTGGAAGTGAACTCGGCTTTCTTGTCAATAGAACCCCTGATGCGAACAGTCTTGTGCAGTTTCATGTTCTCCGACCTCATAATGAATCTGTTGACCATGGTGCCGATTCCAGTGTTCCTTGGATAGTTGTTTGAGTAGATATATCTCATGAACCATCCAATAAACTGAACCTGTCTGTCAAAGGTGTCGTCGTCATCACCTAAGGTAATGCTGTCCTGGCTCGGCAGTGTGTTGGAGGTGGCGTCTTCAGTCATCTCTCGGGGAATAGGAAGGCAGATCTCCTTTAGAAACTCTTTGTCGTCGGAAGTAGCGCCACCTATGTTGACTCATTCAAAGTATGCACCGAAAGACCTTGACATTGAGAGCACTCTTGTTTGCCGCCAGCGTTCCAATGTCAAGAGTAGCCATGGAGTGTTCCCACGTAAAAACCTTAACCAGTTGTACCTTTGTCATTCGGTCAATCGAGGGGAGACGGGGACCTCGACGTGGGGCATTCCTCTTGGACGAGACATTTTGATTCCTAAATGAAAAGAGATGCCTCCAAGCGACCTACTGCAACTTTTCACCTCCAGTGTGATATGGCCTTCTGAACACTTTTCTGTCGTGTACGTGCCCCTATAATATGTTGCAGATGAGGGAGTCGTTGTAGGTTAAAGGACCCACCGAACCCATCAGTCTTTCCCACTCATCAGTTTTTCCTATCCCCGTGGTATGAGAACGATTTCAGCGACATAAAACTCTTTTGAGTCAAATCACGTATGATAACAGGCAAAAAAGAGGAAAACTTGAGGAATGCCCCCGAATCCAGATACCAGGCTTACTTTCACCTCTTCCTCTTCCAAATCTCCATTCAGAGTAATGGGGAGCAGATCATGCACTCCAATTCTTCTCCCTCCTCCTCCTCCTCCTCCTCCTTAACATGGTCAGGCGTCTCCTCGACGATCTTACGACGGCTTTGGGGGCATGGGAGTTAGGAGTTAGACAAAGTGGATGTGAACAAGGTTTGGGTGATGAATGAGTGAGATAAATGAGAGGGAATGAATGCAATTGCTTTTGACAAAAAAAAGTCACAACAGTTGGTCAGCAACGCTGTTTTGGGTTATTAGCGCTACCAAAGGGGGTCTCCAAGCCTGTTTAAGAGATCTCGCTGTGTAATCAGAAAGTTCTGTCGAGGCTCGAGGGAACACCCATTTGATTGTGCTCGCGTCTTATGTTCACGTATCGTTTCAGATCGCGTCAATCATGGCGTGTGACGAACTTTATTTTCGCATCGAAGAGCCAAAGGAAACAAAAAGCTCGACCAGTCAATGATAAAACAAACTTGGCGAAATTAGGGAGGAGTGAGAAGGGTACTATTCATCTATGACTTAGGACATCTGCCCTTGGTCACCTTGACGTTTTCCTTGGGACGTTCGCACATGGCGTTATCCAGCTCGCACTGGTTGCCAAAGGTTTTGGTCCTGCCATCATGGAACTTTGCACAGACAGGGTGGTACATCTTGATGCAGACCTTTTCACAGGTTGAAGGGGGGGCCGTTGTAGGCTGTTCTGGACAGGCGGTCTTGGAGATGAGCTTGACTTTCTCCTTGGGATGCTTACAGACGTAAGCTTCGTAGGCGCACTGGTTGCCAAAGGTCTGGTACCTGCCGCATTCTAGCTTCATGCACCTTGGGTCATACTCTCCGGTGCAGATTGTCTCGCACTTGGGAGGCTTGGGCTTGTTGTTGGCGGCTTCGACGGCAGGAGCGGCGGAAGAGATTGTGACCACGGTGGACAGGATGGCGATAAAGGCCAAGGAGACGATGGTGGAGAATTTCATATTGGGACGGTGTTGTATGTGTGTTTTTGTTACTTGTGATGCGTGATGGAAGGGGAAAAGGGGGAGTGCGCCCTTTTTATCGCTTTTTATTGTTGACTCCTTGATCTTTAATCCTCCTTGAACAATTCTTTATTCTCGTTTGACCCCCTTACGTGTGGGCTTTTATTCTTGTCTTTTCTCCCTCTCCCTTCCTGTCAAGAGTATATAAAAGGTCACTGGGCGCGCCTCTCCTGGAGCATTCATGCGTAAGGCGCCATGCTGTACATGCAACCTCCTGGTGGTCAAAAATAAAGTGGGTCATTACTGTAAAGTGGTTTATTTTAGTGCTACAAGATCGGCGGCGTCTCTCATCTAGTCAAGGAACCGAAAGAAGGGAGAGGCATGATATGAAACGTAGGGAAAGAAGTAGGGTAAACGACCTCATAGCTTCCGCTAACATCTGCCTTGATGGACAAGCTGGTAATAGGAATCGGTCCGACAGTTCCTGAGGGTCATAAAACACTCGTTATCAAATGTGTTGTACTTACCATTATCCACTGCACAGATAGGTCTTGAGTCGGGAGGGCAGTTCTTTGGGCAAACGGCGATGGGTTGACCGTCTGTTCCGATGGTAGTCCCAGGGCTTGTGTTTGTTGACCCCATTGAGAGGAGGAAGGTCATGAAAAATGTGAATGTGGGGTATGAGGAACGCATTCTATCTTGATTTTGGGGTGTTGTTGAGTAAAATGCGTATGTGTGTGGATTTGAATGTACGAGCGTGAAAGGGAAGCGAGTGATGAGTATATATCGCTTTTTTCGGCTCGCGATTGAAATGGAACTGATAACCGATGGATAACAAGACGGGTGAGAGAGGAGAGGCCTCCTTTATTCTGACCAATCGCACGTTCCCTCCTTTTTCGATGTGTGCTAAAAGGGCAGCAAGCAAACAGACGAAGAGCATTGAAGGCGATGCATTCCATTGTTTTTATTTGAGTGCCAGCCAAAGACAGCCCCTTCTCCTCCTCCTGTTCTATCTGCGTATCATCACAATGTGGGGGGTGATCCCACGAAAGCTATTTTAAGTCCATCAACGCATGTACACAAACCACCTCGATGACTGTTGATCAGTTTCACGAGAAAAAAAAATTGATGCGATTGTTTGCTTGTACACAAGGAACAGCCCTCTAACAATGTAAATTTTATTGCAAAGAAGAGAAATGAGGATAGCCGACATGTGGGGGAAGAGAGACACAAGTAGTAGAAAAGAGAGCGAGAAAGAGGGAGAGACGCAAACAGGACTCTACTGGTCCTCGCACTTGCCCTGGTGGACGAACTTGTACCGGTCATTGGGGAGGCTGCAGTTATGAGTCTCAAGGAGGCATTTGTTAGTGAACGTCTTTTGACAGCCTTTCTTGTTTTGACCGCAGACAGGTAGGTAGAGCCGCGAACAGCGCATCTGGCACTTGCTGCTTGGGAGAACGTCGGGCGCAGGTACTGGGCTCGCGTTGGCAGACAGGATGCCCATCGAGAGGACGACCATCAGCAGGGTCAATGGGGAGGAGCGCATTTTTACGTATTCAGGTAGTAGTAGTATTGTGTGTGTATTGAAGGGTAAGTGGGGTGTGGGCGTATGTGGAAGAAGGGACAATGAGGGCGGCGAAAGAATCCCATTTATCCCTTCCTTCGTTTTTGGGCCGAAATCGGCACGAAATAGCGGGAGGATACCCTCAACTCCTTATTTGCAAAAAAAAACACTAATGCTCACCCCCCCTATTCTTAAGCAAAAATGAGAGACTTCACCGAGACCCTCATCAGCATCCACCTTTTTTCCCTTCCCTCATCATTCGCATTAAGTGAATGCTGCAATGAAAAAAACTCAATTAGTTCTGAGGCCTCCCAGTCATTGAAGCATTAGACAATGACAATGATGTCGTATCCCAAAAAAAAGTGGATGGGCATGTTCCGTATTCTCTTCCCTCTCTTTTGCGTTTAAGACGCAACACCAAAAAAATTGGAAAAAAGCGGTTCAAGGGTTACCCTTCATAAATGAAAAAAGTTGAAAAAGTCTGACGGAGGAAGGGATACTTACGAACCAAAGATTGCTCTCGCAAGCTCGATGACCATAAGTGTCCTCGAGGTCTGCGATAGTTTTTTAGGCGCGCTCCTTGGGTTCGGATAGAGGTTGCATACTTGGCGTCGCGGGACGAAGGATGGTTAGTAATGACTAGGGCGGGCAGAATACGCCCGCTCAGTGCGCCCATCACGTTTGAGCAGCACAATCTGGTCAATGATCCGTCTGTTGATTGGGGGCTGACATCGGGAGGTGATGGTGACATCTTGATGGTGGATGTTGATGTTGGGGAGTGTTTCGAGCTCAAAGAAATTTGCGGACGTTGCAGACTTGGCCTAGATTGGCGTCGTGACGAGTTCAGTCAGCTTGATAAAGGCGGACATGGTTGACGCTATTGTTCCAGGAGAGTGTAGAGTGATGAGTGTGCAAATGTGTGGTTGACTTAAGGTTCGTTATTAGTTTACTGTGTGTGCTTTTGTATATGGGCGAGAGATAATAGGGGCTCAAAGGGCCAACAAGAGAAGCAGAGGTACAATGAGAGAGGCAAAACGAGACATGAAAGAGATAAAGAAAGAACCAAAAAGAGAAAGGAATGAGACAAAGAGAGTACCAAAAAGAGAAGAAAAGAAGAGAATATGGTTTGCGATGTTGACCATCACCCAAGGTGCGAATAAAACAGGCCTTATTTTTTGTTTTTTTTTGAAGCAAAACCATAGCCCTGCCATTTCCACAATAAACTCTTGGGTTATTGTTTTGGTGACTTCATGCTGCATGGTGTGGAAACAAAGAGAGAGAGAGAGAGGCAAAAGGAAAAAAGAAAGGGACAATGAGAGAACAAAAGGTGTTTGTGATGGTGACCATCATCCACGGTATACATGAAGCAGGTTATTGTGGAAATGGTTTCTTGCTGTATGATATGGAAACAAAGAGGGAGAGAGAGAGGCAAAAAGAAAAAAGAGAGGGACAATGAGAGAACCAAAAAGAGACATGAAAGAGACATGAAGGAGATATGAAAGAGACAAAAGGTGTTTGTGATGGTGACCATCATCCACGGTATGCATGAAGCAAGTTATCGTGGAAATGTCAGGTTATTTTTGGGCTTTTGTTTTGGCGATTTGTTCCTGAATGGTATAGATTATATCGCTTGTGTGTGATGATTGAGTGATAGTGGTCTCGACATGTAAGCCTTTGTCCTTTCCACTGCCCACTTTTCCTATAAAATCCCGCTTCCATTTTCCTTCTTCCCTCTTTCTTTCTTCCTCTCTAACCACACTCTCCTCAGCACACCTCACATCTCACACTCTCCTCCACATCCACCTATTCCTCCACATCCACCTACATACTACTTTACATATATCTTCGCCACACCCTTTCGAAGCAACCCACAACAGCCATTCTGTAAGGCCGATGCTGGATGTGATTGCGAACAGTACTCATTATACCCTTTCACAACTTATCAAGCAAGAAGACTCACACTAGCTCTCACACTTTTCTTAACATAGTTCAAGAATGGGAATCAGTGTCCTTCCTTCATGGATCAAGGAGGCCTCCGACGGAATCGAGGAAGATCTCACCCAAAAAACATGCCATGTGGACTTTCCGGCGATGTTTTTCGCCCTGTTGAACTCGCGTGCATTTTACGGAACCGTCAGCATCGAAGCCAGGCAGGCCCGACTGCACTACTCACTAAAAACAACTGTCGCTACCAACGTACCAGGCGAACAAAAACATCCACATTCGCCATCTGGGTCTGAGGGGACCGAGTCGGGGAGTCCATCCATCAAACATGCTCGCCTCACATTGGGAGCTCCCTCAGGCACAAGTACATCGACCGGTCCTGTGTTTGTTGCGATCCCTCCTGGCTCGGTTCCGACAACCCTTATGACACAGGTCCAACACCTACTGCAAGGAGGACCAGCTCAGATCTTTCTCGACAGCAATGGTACTCTCACAACAACACGTACCGAAAACAAAGGCATTGTAAGTACATTCGATTTTCAAATACAACCGGCAAAGACAAAGCTGCTGTAAGAAATATACCTAATACTATCTCATTGCTTTGTGTTTTCAATAGGACTATGGCCACATAGGCCAGGTTATTCACGACATCCTCACGAAAAAAGTCTCACAGGGGCGCACAACAATCCATGCCGACGGTCCCCGTTCGGTCGAGAAAGAGCACGCCCATCAGAAACGGGACCGTGATCTAACAACGCGGATGAGAAAACTCATGGAGGACTACGACGAAGACAAGATCAAAGGGACGAAACGGCTATACCGGCGCCTAAAGTCTGTTTATCGGGCACCACCCGATGCCGCGAGACAAGTGCTGGATGCTCTTCAGAATCTGGGGTGGACAATATGTCGCTGCCCCCACCAAGCCGACTGCTGTATTGCCCGTTGTCTCAATAATGCCGTCAAGCCGGAGGATGTACGAATCATCACCAAAGACTCTGACTTGTTGGTCTATGAGGCCTCTACATCGATCACTATTCCTGTCGGCAGTCAGTGGAAAACATTCCAGAAGCAGGACCTTATGGATCGACACCAGCTCCCCACTCCAGCCCACCTTCTTCTTCTTGGTATATTAACAACAAACGACTATACCGACGGCGTTCCTTACTATGGCTTGGTGTCGAACGCTGACATTGTTCGGACGTTTACATTGGACGGACTCGACGGATTGAGCGACCAGGAGCGACTTGGACAATTCAAACACCACGTCATTCAGTACTTGAAGATTGTATACGACAGCGCCCACAAGCTCCAGGAGATCGCAGAGGAGTCCTACCTCCAATATGGGAAACACAGGCAACTGTATAAGAAACACGCTAAAAGGTCCTTGAACAGGGTCGGGATAACTCAGTACCAGAAGAACGTAAAAGACAGCCAGTTCGATCATGCCCTTCAGGCGTTCGTGATGTGCACCGAGCATCCTTTACCTATGGGT